GTGTGTGTGTGTGTGTGTGTGTGTGTGTGTGTGTGTGTGTGTGTGTGAACGGATCCTCACTTGCTGCTCTGTTCTCCCGTGCGGTACAGGAAGGCGTTCAAAGTAGCTCTGAGGTCTTCACTGATCTTCTCCTGCAAGAGTAACGTCACAAATTAAAATATCAGTCATCAGCATGAAAAATCTGTGACGATTTGGGCGACTTGCAGACTTACGGTGGATCTCTTGCGGAGAAACGCATCGGCTTCGTCAACGAACAGCAGCAACCTGCGAGAGGAGCTCGTTTAATGGCACACGCACAGAAATCTGCACATCATGCTTGTGCTTTTCCAAGTAATGAGAATCTAAATAGATCATGGTCTGCTTACCCACGCCGACTTGTGCCGGCCCAGTCAAAGACTTTGTGCATGGCGGTCACACCGTCGCGGCCCATCGGTGCCACGTCGCCGCCAGTCATGATGGCGTAGTCCATCCCAGAATGCATTGCCAGCTTCTACTTGACACAAAGGGAAACATTTCACCATCTGGTGAGGTGCTTGCTCGTGTGGCGTGGCGTGGCCCTCGTCTCAGACGTACCTTGGCAAACAGCGTTTTGCCCGTTCCCGGAGGGCCGTACATGAGGATGTTCCGGTACAGGCCGTTGTTCTGTCTGGTGTTTCTTGTTGCAATGGCAATGTCGCGCACGCGCTCCTCCAAGGGGGGCTAAGAGACAGAAAATAGCAGCCATTTGAACGGGCTCGAAAACTTTGATAACAGGCACGCCTGTGATACAGTTTAGATCAAACGTCTACTTACATTGAGCACAACTCCCTCAAGGGCATCCTGAGGTTTACTCTTCAATCTTTTGACCGTCTAATTGGACGGAGGGACAGAAAATGATTAGCACCATGGTACAATCTACCCATGACTTTGTAAAAAAAAAAAAAAAAAAAAGGATCTATCTCTTTAAGATACCTTAATTGGATGTTTGATGGCTTCCCCCACAGTGAACCTGGATGTCTCTCGCACTAGAGAGGGTTTCCCCAGCCTGGCCTCGATGTAGCGTCCTGCTACCCCTGTAGCGTTTCGGGCCGAATACACTCCCACGGCCAAAAGTGTCAGTCCTGCCACCTGGTGGGCAGAACAAAAACATTATTATGTGACCTGCCGATCAGAAAGCGATCTGCCTTTCATGATGCAGGCTGAGACCTTGTTTCGTTTCTGGGATGTTTCCCTGCTTTCTGGCCTGTTCTTAGTACAGTGTGGCTGTAGAAGAATGCACTCGTAGTATCACTGTGAGGGCATTTAATCGGCTTACTCTACCAAATTCGAACTGGATAATCGTCGTTAAGTAACTGAGATGACGATTCTAATACATATTTAACGTGTTTTCCTAAAGGAGCCCCTGGGGTGGGACTCATCTGAAGTAAAGCACATCTGTACGTTTAAGTGACGAATGCAACTACGGTGTACTTTTCGTTTAATCATTCACCAAGCTGGACGTAGAGGGAGCTCACCGTGGCAGTGACTTTGTCCCAGTCTGACACAAAAGCCCTGAATCCTTCTCCAAACACCGTACCTGCCGTCCTGAAAGGGAAGTCCTGTTAGTTGGCAGTGCACCTGTACAGCCTTGATAAGGAAACGTAATGTGCAAAACTAATAATCCAACAACATTCACACACCGGCTAGGATCCTGCAGAGTAAAACCACCTACTTTATGGACTCCAGGACGGTCTGCCTGTGTTCCGCAGCTTTCAGACGGATCTGCTCTCGGATTATATCTGCGTTTTCCCTCTCCACGCGGGCTCGGGCTTTAGACTCGGCCTCGATTCGCAGAAGCTCGTTCTTGTGTCTCAGCTCCATCTCGTGCTCTATGGTTGCTATAGAAACCACGACACGACAAAATCAGAAAACTTTATACGACCATTTCCAAAGGATCCCGTGGTCATTGTTGCCAGGGGAGGTGTTCACCTTTCCTCATGGCCTCCTGCTTCTGCACAGACTCCTCCTGTTTGCGAAGGTTCTCCTCATTCAGCATTTGCTGATAAGGGGGAGGCAAAGAAAAAAAATCTGTAAGTAATTTGCTTCATTCTAGAGGGTTTTACAACGAGCTGGGATCAAAAAGTCTCACCTGTTGCCTGAGTTGGTCCTCATATCGCTGTCTGGCCAGCTTATCCTGGTACTGAGCTCTCTGTAAAGAGGCCAAACATCCATAATGACACAACCCAACTTTGCCTATTTAATAGGTACCGAATACCACAGTATGGTAGTGAAAACCGTTGATTGACTCCCACCGCTTGATGCTGCTTGGTCTCCTCGTTTAGCGTTTTCCTCCTCTCCTCTGCTTGGATGCGGATCTGGTCGCCTTTGAGCTGCTCCACTGCTGCTTCGTACTCCTGTTGCATTGACATGCAAAGAAAATTCCAACCTGAAAGAGCCTTCACCTCATAAATTGCCTCTGAAGTCATAATCAGCCAAATCCAAAATAAAAAAAAGAAACAGGTTTTATTGACACTTCATTATTCTATCTCCTTTACAACATAACTATAGTCTAAGATGCTCAGGCTGCACTAAAAATTCTCCTCTTTAAATTCAGCCGTGTGCATCAAACATGCATGCCCTGAGCCATGATTTAGACAAATACATTTAGTCAACAAAGTTTCCATATTAATCCCTTTTTGCAAAAGTATTTTTGCCACTTTTGAATGTAACGCCACCAAACAGTGACTGAAGACTGTGCTACTTGGTTGAATGAAAAATTCACAGATAAGAAAAGCACGTGTACACAATGTAAACACTACACAAAGCACAATAACCCAATAATGATGAGGCAGAAGCTTAATCAGCTGCAGTGCAACACACAATGAATATGGTAGTGTTGTCATTGCTAGTGTTATGCACGAACAAAGCCTTTACTTTTCAAAAATAATGAGTCCCTTCTGACAATCTAGCTGGAGTAAACTGACACCATCAATGACCTGCAGCAGATACCCTCTCTGCTGGCTTTACCACTGCTGTTCTCCATGTTTTATCTCTGCTTTTGTGAGCCTGTGTGCACGCTTAGTCAGTTCTGCTGGTGCATCAGATGTCTTTGACTTGACTTTGAGCGCGTTTGTCCACTGTACCTTCATTTTACTCTGGTGCTCAATCTGTGTGCTCTGCTCCTGCATTCGAGCCAGCTCCAGAGCTTCTTTGGCATGGCCTGAAAACGGGCGAAAAGAGAGACAAACACACAACGCAGGGTTTAAGGACGGACTGGAATCCCTCAGTAAGGTTGGTAAGCCCCTACTGCCTCCCTGATCTCTGGCATGTGCCTGCTGCTGAACGTCCAGCAGTACATTGGTCCTCTTTTTGATTGACTATTTCGGGTTATCCTTTATTTAAACTCCTCAGACAAGGACAAACCTCCGGAGCAGTTCAGATGCCTGTATGTTGGTAAAGTTTTTGACCTTTGAACCCATTTCTCGATGAATAAGGTTGCAGAGTAGCTACTTTCTGTTTAACTGTAAGTAAGTTACCATAAATATAGTCACGAGTACGTGTAGATGCCGACTGTCGGTGCGGAACAAATAATCAGAGCAGTTCACATCATTGAAGCGGAGAGCAAGCAGATAGACTCGAGATGCAGGCGCATCTTGACCGTCTCAAAGGATTATTACAATAATCCAAACTAACGGCCTCGCCGACGACCCGCGCGGAGCCTCCCGAACACTTACGGGACTGGTCGAGCTCTTTGGCTGCCTGGGCAGCGCGTTCCAGACCAGTGGGATCGAAGTTGCTCCATTTGTCCTTGGGTTTATCTCCACCGCCGCTCGAGCCCCCGGCCGGCGGAGGCGGTGGAGGCTGGGGCGGCAGGCCCGGAGGCGGCTCCGGCTGCCCTTTGTTCAGTCCGAACAGCCACGACATTTTCCCCGGAGCGAATAAAGCACAGTTTGGCCGGTTGAGTGAGGAGCGTGAGGGCGGCGGTGAAGGCTGCAGACCTGTCAGTACACTTCCTCCACACGCGTGTTACGCCGCGACCTTCTGCGCATGTCCGCAGGACTGGCGCTAGCTTGGCTGAATAACGAACACAATGATTGGCTAACGCGAAGTACTTCCTGTTGGGATTGGGTGTTCGTCGGAGACGTTCTGTGGAGGTCATTCACGTAGCTCCACCCACAATCCACACGGTGGCCGCAGAGGGTCATACCAAGTGTAATTCTTCTGGTTGCATCAGACAGCTTGAGGTTTTGTAATTCCGAGGTTACCGACAAACTGTGACACGATTATTGGGAACCGGACTCTTAGGAAAGCGTGTTCTGGAGTATACATATGTGGTACCATCAGAACCTAATGCTGGGTCGGTTTAAGACCAGGATTCACACTCATCCACCAAGATTTGATAATATTTCTGCACTTATTCTTTATTATCTAGATGTTGTGCAGCAGAGGACAGGGGAACACAATGGGAAAGGTGAACTGGAGGGCCAATTTTGAATACAATTACTGTTTTCAAATAGCATAAAAGCTTCAGACACTTAATCAAAACAGGACAACAGAATATATTTCAAAATGTTTAATGAACATTTAGAGAATAGCGTCTTCACAATAAATGGTCAAATATTTATTTACATAGAAAAAGGAAATCCAACCTCCTGAAAATAGTTTTAATAACCATTTTAATAACTTAAGAAGGTTTGTCTTTTACACAGAAATGAATGAAGTTCTCGGTTATGAAAAAAAGGAGTAACCAAGAGGGACGTTACTAAAGGCAACAACACATAAGGACTGATGACAGCTTTTTTAAATAATAATGTTTCTTTGCTTTTAACCACTGCTGCAATTTGGATAATAATGATCTCTTTGTGATAACTGTAAAAAAATATCCAAAATATTTTTATGCATTTACTAGCTACAGTCAGAAACATATTTCAAAATGAGTGAGCTCTCAGATCAGCCACTCTTTACGGACAGTACAACCACACTATGGTCAAAGAAACAAAGTTGTTAAATGACAGGGATCAAAACAGTGCAGCAGTTGTTGTTTTTTTTTTTAAACAAAGCAACACTGAGAGCAAGACCCTGGTCTCAAGGGTCCCTGAGAGAGTGACTGATAAAGGTTCACATAAGTAAACCAATCTGAATATATCTTATATGAAAACAATATCACATGTGAAGTAGGTGAGTTTGAAAAGCATCAACAATCCCAGAGCACGGCTCTTTCAATTGCAGAACACATGGAAATTGGGGAGTCCTTTACTGCAGCATGACAATGCGAGAGAGGACACCCGTGGGCTCTGAGCCGTCGCCCAACGCCGCTCGAAAGCCCTCCTGTTGCCGAGCTCGTGCCAGTTTTGCCAGTGAGAGGAAAGTCTGAGGTTCTGTGACGGCCAGATCGCTGATTACCCGGCGGTTGAGCTGAACGCTGGTCTGTAAGAAGAGAGTGGGGGGGGGGAGAAGCTGGTTTTATACATCAGCATGAAAAAGTGTGACTGAGAAAGTGCGGCAGTATCCAACCTAACAAACCTTTGTGAGGTTGTGCATGAGGGCAGGATACTTCATGCTGTGCTCTCGTGTTGCTGCTGCAATGCGTGAGATCCAAAGCTGAAAAAAATAGAAAGACAACACATCCAGATTTAGTATCCTCACATCTTATTGAGAAGTCTGCACTCTCACACTGCTTAGGCTGGATGGAGAGGGGCAGGAAGAACACTTGACAGCAAAAAAGGGCAACTCATGCATAGTGAACATAGATTCACTGCTCTTTAACCACATTGATGCTCTTTATGAAGGGTTTTTAGGACCCACATATGGTCCAAATATCCAATACTTGCTACATAGAAACAAAAAACCCAGACAAACCCAACAGTGATGTGAAAAATAATCTATAGCTTAATACATCCTGGACTGGATGGATTAATAGAAAGCAATTTAAAGAGGATTCTAGCTGTCATTTCTACATGTCAAAGGTGATTAGTCAATCAAAACTGACTGAAAGAGCAGAAACTGCTGGAGTTGGAAGTGTTAGTGTAATTTAATGTGGTATCCAAAGAAGAACCCAAGGTAAGGCGATGGGTTAATGGGTTCCAGGAGACAGTAGCAGTTTGGGGCTCATACCGTCCTCATGCTCCGTTTCTTGAGCTTTCGGGCTTTAGTGGCGTACACGAAAGCCCTCCTGACAGCCCGCACAGCCAGACTGTAGCAGCGATTCTTTCTGCCTCTGAAATGCTGGAGGACGAACCGGTACATCAACATAAAACTTAAAATCACAAATACGCAAATGAAGCACGCTGATGTTCAGAATGAAATTAAACCCAGCTATTCCAGGACTTAGCCACAGCCTTACCCGCGCATGTTTGAGAACTTCTTGGACTTTCCAGTATCTGTCGGGTCCACGACTGCGGATCCAACACGATAACGTCAGAAATACCATTATTTGTCCTCTAGTCGACACAACCTACCACGTTCCTCTTTCTAATCGACCAGTGAGGAGGATAAAATGACCTCAAATGTGATTCTCATGCGTTAACACTCGATGTTATGAGAGTTCGATATCACGCTTTGCCTTGGTTGGTGGAGGGGTGCGTTCGTTTTCCAACACACGCACAACGTAACAACGGTCACCGGGAAGGAGATTGTGGTGGGACTTGGCCAAACACACTAATTCAGAATTTTTAAAAACCATTCCTTCGGGCAGACAACAACTCAAAGAAATACGACCAACAAAATGACACATATTAAGAAAAAAATATATAGTAATGCCACTAACTTCAGAGAGACTGGGTCAACAAAACATGCGCTTCCACAATGAGTTGAGATGCAGTCGCGGTGGATGCTGGGATAGCAGGCAGTGGAGGTCAGAGAAGGGAAACTTCAGGCACTAAAATGTCGGTTGCTAGTTTCACGTCCTTGAGCCGCTGTGGGGCTTTGGCCTTTCGTTCCCCGGCGGGACTGATTGTAAGTTAATAATCAGAGGGCGAAACGAGTACTTTCTGTCAAAAATTGTTATGTAGAATTTCAAACAGAGATCTTGTAAACCTTTGCTCTCTTAGCTGCTATGGCTCTGTCTATAATCTGGAGTCCAGGTTACGCACTATAGTTTAGCTGTTAGCGGTTAGTTACCCGGCTCAGTGAACTGACGTTAGCTTTCAACCCCAAATGTTTACATATAAATATGGGATTAATATGTTATGGCGTGTTCATCTTATATTATTAACCATTTATATTACCACCTGATAGAAGACCGGCAAGAAATAACTTATAGTTTTTAGCTGTTCTTAAACGTGATAGTTTGACACTTCTGTATATATTTTTGGATTTTTGAGCTTTTAAATATTTAAACCAAATTATTTTTGATGTCTGAGATTACAAAGGTTTAGTTTTAGGGTAAATTGTCTTTATGTTTTTATTAAACTTTAGAAAACCATATCGTATTCCGGCTCAAAAGTGTAAAGTTAGTGGGCAAAGAACTGTTGCTTCCTAATGTTGTTGTTTTCTGGTAAAAGACTGAAAGGGTAAAAAGTTGTTTTGATCATGTATATTTTTACTTATTCTTAATTTTCTCATGCGCCTCTTACCAGGCCGTGCGCTATGCCCAAACAGCAGCAGCTCCGGCAGTTCAACCCAGGATAAAGAAGTTCCAGGTGTACAGGTGGGACCCAGACACGCCTGGAGACAAACCCCGCATGCAGACCTATGAGATTGACCTCAACACGTAAGTGATACAGCTTTACCCACTGTTCCCTGTCAGCACAACCTAAAATATATATGGAAACAGTTTTCTGAGATTGCATTCCATATGCATATCAAAGTTGAGGTGATCTGTCAGACCGGTGTAGGAGAGCAGTGTGGTGAGGAGGGCTTTGTGTAAATCATTGTTTTTTGCCTGTGACTTTCTGCTTGTGTCCTGTGATAGAGGCTCAGTGTAGAGAACGTAGTCAAATCTGGTCCGGTTTATAAAATCTCCTCTGCTAGATTTAGCACAGATGGTTCTGAAGGCCTGGCATATCTCCAGTCCCTCCTCCTCACCTGTTGTCTAATCCGCTTTTATAGACACTTAACCAAAATGTTCCAACACTCCAATGTACTCAGCTGTGACACGTTAGGCCTCCGATTGATCAAGTGAACATTCCTTTCCTCATCTAGTTGTGGCCCAATGGTCCTTGATGCCCTCATCAAGATTAAAAATGAGATGGATTCCACTCTTACTTTCCGCCGCTCGTGCAGAGAAGGTCAGTATCATCTGAGTCTGAATGTGGGACGAGGATGGCGAGTCCCTCTGCCCAGTTAACCGGTTCAAAATGTGTTGGTCTACATCAGGTATTTGTGGATCCTGTGCGATGAACATAAATGGAGGAAACACACTTGCCTGTCTCAACAAGATTGACACCAACCTTAGCAAGCCATCTAAGATTTACCCGCTGCCACATATGTATGTGGTCAAAGACCTGGTCCCTGTGAGTACAAAGTCCTGAACTGTGAGTCACCTTCGCCATATAAAGCGGCAGTTGTGCATGCGCTTCAGGGTTTAGCACACTCAGCGGTTTCCACAGTCCTCACCGTGGTCGAAACAGTTTTTGAATTTGTAACAAACAGAAATCTTCATGCGGCCGATTTCCTTTAATATTCGAGCTTGTTTGAATGTTTTTGATGTATTTTCAAAATGCTGTTCTGGTCTTTGTGGGTATCAATAACAAATCGAATTAATTAGATGCAGGTAGACCAACATTTTTGTCTTCTTGGGTGACATTCATAACTGATGTTTTGAAGGGTTTGGTAGGCTGACTCTAATACTGTACTTGCAGGACATGAGCAACTTCTATGCCCAGTACAAGTCCATTGAACCATACCTAAAAAAGAAGGATGAGTCACGAGAAGGGAAGGAGCAGTACCTACAGACCGTGGAGGACAGACAGAAGCTGGTATATTTCAGTCTTTAGCTGTCTTTAGATGTAGATTTTCTGTCATAAGGATGTCAACATTCTTTTGACTTTTATATTGTTGTTGTTGTGTTGTCACACAGGATGGCCTGTATGAGTGTATCCTGTGCGCCTGTTGTAGTACGAGCTGCCCAAGTTACTGGTGGAACGGCGACAAATATCTGGGGCCAGCTGTATTAATGCAGGTATGCTTTTGAAAAGACCTGAACAATAGTTTATCCCACTCTTAACCCGCACCAGAAATGGCCTTAAATGTGAAACGAACATGTTTTTGTGACTCAGGCCTATCGTTGGATGATTGACTCCCGAGATGAGTTCACAGAGGAACGTCTGTCCAAGCTCCAGGATCCTTTCTCTCTGTACCGCTGCCACACCATCATGAACTGCACCAAGACTTGCCCCAAGGTAATCCTTCAGAACAAACGGTTCTCACCTTTTCTCCAGATGCTTTAATGTACTAAAACGAGAGAAAAGCACATTGATCAACGGTGCTCAAACAGGTTTCGTTGTTCTTTCCCAAAATGTAGTCAAATTGGCTGCTTCTTGTTATTAATTTGAGCTCAAAGTACAGACTCGCAGTTTTAATTTGAGGGTAGCGCATTTGAAATTGGAGAGCGATTTAAAACCCAAACCCCTTTCTACTGGGACTTCCAGCTGCTTGTGTGGTGGTAACCAGCCATGTTCATTCTCTTCTCACGGATTGGTGGACTCTCTCTGCTCTTCATCTCAGGGCCTGAACCCAGGAAAAGCAATCGCTGAGATCAAGAAGATGATGGCCACATACAAGGAGAAGAAGGCAGCATCCGCCTGAAAGCGCCGTCCTCCTCTGAAACTTCACGATTAAATTATATATGACATTTTTATGCTTATTAAGGTCTAATGGGCCGGAACACCACTCATCTCCACCACCACACGTTTCTAACAGGGCAGTAAGGAGTGTTAGGAAGGTGTTTGTGGGTGGAGGAGTTGGTGTTACAGAAACGCACAACTACTGTATGAATGTAGGAGAGAGTGTGTGTGCGCCTGTGTGTGTGTGTCTTTGTCTTCCTTGTACCATCGCAGCGGTATTTATCTCCAGCTGTAGTGTGTGGATGCTGCACACCTTAATGTTAATATTTACTTCTTTGCTTGTTGCCTCTCAGTTAAGCACTTGGTTCTCAGACTATATGTTTATCTGTCCGTTCAGATCCAAAGCACCAACGGCAGTCTTCATTTTGACAGAAAATAAATAGTTCAAACGCCTGCTGATGTTTTCAATGGTCATTTGATCAATGCCGCTTCTTTTCTGCTGCCACCAGCCAAAGAAATTATGAATCTGTCCTCTAGATGTCGTCATCACACAGTTTCACAACAAGTTCAGTCCTCTGTGCTCCTGAGAATGTGGCTGTGCCTCTATTTATGTGAAAGCATTTAAGAGTGTGTTAATGCTAAATAGCTGATTTCAAAGCTATGTTTCAGCATCAATATACAGTTTAGAAAAGATCATTCAAAGACTACTTATAAGAGAGAGTAACGAGCTAAGACCTATTGCATATATTCTCCATGATGTTCAGACAGGTCTCGGTCAGATGTGTTGTCTCTGCTGCTGTGTGCAAGATTTTTCACTCTGAATGATTAAAGCAAAACTATGCATATGACACTAAGTTACACACTTCGCACATCTCCAAGATTAGTGTAAATTCATTCACACGCATAACAAAGGAATTGCTGCATTACGACCATGAAAATAACGGCGAGCAAAAGCTAAATCAGAGGAAAGCAACCAGTGCACTGGCATTAAGGTGGCCCTCTCACGTGTGACCATCAAGGAGAGGAAACCACCGAAAGGTGACAATGCCTCTGAAATCTGAAGATTTTGGTTTACGATTCAAGGCTTTAAAAACTTGAGTGACGGGTTATTTTGCACTAGAATATAGAAATGATAAATATCTCATGTACTTTTCTGACTAAACGAGCTAAATCGTGAACGAACACGTGACCACAAACCAGTCTGTTATGCTGCGCTGATTTTACAGTTTGCACATGTCCTGGTCCTTGAACGCACCCAAACCAAAAACATTTAAAAAGCGCTCCTAATGCTTAAAAGCGAACGTGCCTGTAGATTAGGGAAAAGTATGTTCCTCGATAGTTTATTGAGGGCTCTTTTAACTCTTTAACGACCTCTTACGGGGGTTTCTTGGAAAACAACTTCAAAGATAAACTTTGACCATCACACAACCACCAGGGAACGATCCCTGTAGAATAAAGTAGGACACAAAGTCTCGATTTTGGCAAAGGGCTGTGTGTGTTTGGTCATCAGCAAAAACGGCCAGACTCTCCGCATTTCCTCGGCCACAGTGCGTGTGTTGGGTTACCAGGCTGTGGACGGTGGCGGGTCCGGGGGCCGGACGGGGAGGAGACTGCGGACGCGGGGTGGTACAATGTGGCGCTGCAGGGTCCTCCTCAACTCACAGGACGCATCAAAGCCGGCGGAGGTCGGAGCCAATTGAATCCGAGTTAGGTAAGATCTCCGGGGAGGGAAAGCATCGTGGTTAAAATGCAGCATCCTCATGTTTTCTTTGTCGTGTTTTACGCACGTCCTCGAGCGAGGACTTGCGCCGAATTGGTCAGTGATGGAGAAAAAAAAAAGGAGAGGGGGGTGTGTGTTCGTGCGTAGACTGATAGCGTCTCATTAAACAATCTCGGTACCTGTTGGTGTAGATCGAATAAAGCTGGGTATTTTCCATGTGCTGAATGGTAATGGCTGTGGAGGCTGACATGTGGTGCAGTGTTTTCACTGGAAAAAGAGGGAGGAGGGACTCCAGACTTTCAGAAAACTGGGGGGTGGGGGGGTAGGAACAGCTGCTTCCAGAGACTGGGGGTCAGTGAGGGCTCCTGGAAACATGTTGCACATGAGGTCTTTCTTTTTGTGGATGTGTTCTTTTTTTCTCTTAAGTCCATAAACCCACATGGATGAGTACAGCATCTCCTGTTGCTATCCTCCAATTGTGTATGTGTGTTTCAGGAGGAGAAGGGGGTCTCTTTAGCTGCAAAAAGAATGAGTCAGTGGGGAGCGGGGGGGGGGGGGGGGGATAATCGTTCCCAGATGTGTGCAGTGAAAGCATATGGTTTCCGATAGCCGCAGAAGAGTTGGGAGTGTGTGTGTGTCTGCTATGTGCATCATGGGGGCACATAGATCGATTGACACACACAGAACTCAAGCAAAAGTGCTGCAGTTGAGAATAGTTCATACTTTCCATGAAGTCATTTAGTCAGTCAGACTGGGAGTAAATAGAAGTGATGGCGTTCAATGTATGCAAAAGAGTGTTTCCAAAGTTTAGTTGTCCTCCTAAGCTCAAACAAAGAAAAATTAGGCTCACATCTGCACTGTCTTGCTGAAGTCAGTGTGTATGATTTCTGTCAACATGTAGTTTTTTGCTCAGCTCTTTAGTTTGTCGGGGTGAGGAAGAAAGAAAAGGAGAGGGGGAGGGTTGGAGGAAATGACCAGTGAGGGCGACAGAAGGGAAATGAAGGATGTGGAGACGAACAGAGGGAGGGAGGGATGGAGAAAGCTCACAGAGAGAAGGTGGGGGGGGGGGGGGGGTCTGTTTCTTTTCCTGGAATGCAGCCTCGACACCGTCTGCTGCAGCAAGGAAAAGGTAGGAAAACAGAGCCACTGTATTTCAGGGGACGGCCGTGCCACATTCTTGCCGGCGGAGGTTTCTCCCCCTCTCCTGCTCACTGTAGCTGTTAGAGGCCAGCAGAGGGAAGACGATGGGTGAAGGAGGGCACAGAGAAGGGGGGAGCAGTGGGGGGTTGGAGAGGTGACAGAGGGCAGGAGGGAAAGAGAGGAGACCGGAAGAACCCACTAATGACCACTCTCTCCACTTTGCAGGGACAAAGTCAGACTACCTCCCAAAGTGACCATGAGAGTCCTCCTCCTAATCTGCATGCCAGGTAACCGAATCTCCTCTGAGAATGCTTCAAATCCTAAAGTTTCTCTTTTGACTGTGTGTTACTAAATTGTTTATTTATTCTTTTTTAGTTGATAATAACATGAATCATTTCTATCACTCCTGCATCTGTCCCAATAAATAAGTTACCACTATGCGAGGGTTTGCTTTTCCCAGCATGTTGGTATTCAATGTATTTCACAAAATTGTCATTTTTCCTGCCCAGTCATAGTTAAAAAAAAAACATTTTACTTTTGACATGTTCAGTTTCTCTGCTACTAGTTGCCCCACTTTATGGTTTTTTAAATAAAGGATTTTGCTTCCATTCACATTTTTGTGGCTGACATGCTGTAAGTACATAGTTTTGTGTGCATTTGCAAAGTCAGAAAATTAAACATTTTCATTTGCAGATATCTACCAAAAGTTCTTTTAGGCTTCCTGACTTCCCATCTTTGCATGTCTCCCATCAGCCCATCCACTGATTACTTTATTTGTCTGAAATGTCAACAGCTCTGCTGTACGCCCAGGCACAGTACCAGGAACAGTTTCCCTTCCTTGGTGAGTTCATTGAGAGTATACGTGCATGCATTGTTCCAGCTCAGCATCAGGCTGCCCACATCTGTTTCTGATCCCCCGCTGTCCTCCAGTGTGTCATCCAGCCTCAAGGAGTTCTCTCCTCCTGCCATTGTTGTTTTCCACTCATATAGCAACTCCTTTACAGTGTAAATAACCCTCTGACCACTCTGCATCTCATTACAAGTAAACATCTTGCTCATGAAGTCATGGTTTGCAGCTTCACAAGCTCCTTTAATTCTCTTGGGCAGCACTTGATTGTACACGTAACTGGGTTTTCTCTGTGGGTTCTCATTGTAACTGTCCCCGTTGTCCTCTTCTCTCACAGGGAACTATGATTATTTCACAGGTAAATGTTTTACAGTTACTTTGAAATTTTGCGCTCTCTGTTGAAATGCGAGCACGGTGTTAAAAGTCCCTCTTTTCCTGGTTAGAGGGTCAGGAGTCTGAAAATCCCGACTCTCTCCCTGGATCATTCCAACAGCAGGTTCAACTCGAGCCCGTGCTCCGTCCAGAAAAAACAGGTAAAACTGCCGAGAGCTCCTCCCGCCGTCTATTCGCCTGCTTTCACAAATGCACAGCAGAGTAGAGCTTATTGTATAGATTGACTGCGTGAATGTGTTTTTTCCATTTGGATGTCAGATAACGATTTGGAGACAGAGCCGACAGAGCCTGGCCCTCTCGGTAAGCAAACAGCAGACAGGACCGGAAAATAAGCTGCTCCTTACGTACGAGTGGAGAAGTGATTCTGTTGTTGGACTCATTCACAGACTGCAGGGAGGAGCAGTATCCCTGCACCAGACTATATTCAGTCCACAAGCCATGCAAGCAGTGCCTCAACAGCCTCTGCTTCTACAGGTACTGTGTGTTTGGTTGGATTGCTTTACTCAAAAACGAAAACCCTGCCCCTCCCAAATTGCTACGACAAGTTAATGCTCAATAAGTAGCCTCAAATGGCTCAGTTCCCTCCACACTAAGGTAACTGTCTTAGAAAGCAACAACGACCCATCACTTCTTTCATACCAAACTGCACTACATCATTCATGTTCAGGAATTATTTTCATTTGTGGGGCATTCGCCCTATTTTTTTTGTAGTTCCTACATCTACATCACATTAAGTCTGAGTTGCTATGTATCAAAGTTCATGCATGACTGAGAGAAGCAAACCACTCCAATGTTATCCTGCTAACGTAAAGTAGAGAGTGTGTTGTCAACAAATCTAAGTCACATGCAGTGTTTATTAATGGACTGTGTTCTGCTCCGACTTTCTAAATATTTGGTGAAGAACTGGCATTTACTATAAAAGAGCGAAGGAAACTGATATTTGTGTTACACAAACATTTGTGCAGCTTTCGGTGAAAGCAAAAGGTATGTGAAAAGTCTTTTTGTCATGTAGCCAATAAGAGAATGGACTGTGATGTCTCCCCCACTTCCTTGCTTCTACTTTCATTCAGTTTGAGACGGGTCTATGTCATCAACAAAGAGATCTGCATGCGGACCGTGTGTGCACATGAAGAACTTCTCCGAGGTTTGTTAAAGTGTGACGAGACTAACACATACAGTTAGTGAACACACACATCCCACAATTAGAACATTGTGACACTCCTCGTTTAATTTCATTGCCTTTCCCTTCAACCCAGAATGGCCTAAATGTAATAACATTGAAGTTCAATGCTCAAAACCCTAACCCGAGAAAAAAAAGATAACTTCTTTATTCTGTTTTTGTTTGGGTCTTTAACAAAATGCAAACAAAATAATTAATTTAAATGTACTTTTTCAAGTCAAATCTAATAAATATTTTTTGCAGTTTTGCTATAAACAGAATTAAAAAAAAAAAATCCAGCAGGTAGTTTTTAAAGTTTTGATTAAATGATTATGCAATAGGTCTCAGACATCTATGTATATCTAATATGATAGATATTACATACATATTGCACATTTCCTTAAAACTGAAGGAAATGTAAAAAAAATGTCCGTTGTAAAAAGACAAAGGGTATTTTCATTGTGCAATGACCCACATTTGTCTGCTCCCTTTTAATAGTTGCTTGTAAATAACACTTGTGTTTAAGAAATGTATGCTGGCGTCATATAATCAGTCATAACTTATCTGTGTTCAGTAAAAACTGCAGCAACTTTTAAACCTGACCTCTGTGTCTGTGCTTAGCGGACCTGTGTCGTGACCAGTTCTCCCGCTGCGGCGTGATGGCGCTGAGCGGTCAGTGCGCGTCCGTAGGAGGAAGCTGTGGAAAGAGCTGTGGTGGCTGCTGATGATCAGGAACTACCTGCCCCGGATACTGCCACTCCTCATCCTCCCTGTTTTTCCTCACTTTGCCTCCTGACCTTTCCGTATGACTCATTACTCCTGTGCGAAAAGCACTTGGAATCTTTTCTCTCTTATTCCTAATTTTTCGACTTTGACGTCCACCCAGTCAATACTGTGTGTACGGACAAATATCATCAAATACACTGATGGTTTTAGATGTCACTGGTGCTATAAAAAAAACTGAGAGGCGCACATAACACTGCAGAACCCCTTTTTTCTATTTCCAATGTTTTATTATTGCATATTGTCCCATAATAATCCTATACGTAGTTTTTTTTTTATATGCTACTGTACCTTTCGAAAAGCAGCCATTGTCTTGATAATCAAGTAAACGGTGCTGCCCACAGTATACTCATGTCAGACTTAAATACACAGTATCCAGTTATACAGTGTCCTTCTGTTGAAGATCAAAAGATTTGTGAAGAAGCAGGGGTTGAGTCACCTCTTTTGTTTACCACTGCTGCAGAGCAGAGGCAACAGGTACTTTGTAAAGGCATCTCACAAACAGCCTCTGAACTACTGCTTTATAAACCTGCCATTATAAAGACTGAGACAAAAATAAACTTTTTTTTATACGACAGCTCCTCTGTGTGTCTGTTTGTGTGTGTGTGAGATTGGGTCAGACATTTAGAATCATAGTGATTAAATCTTAGGCAGCAACAACCTGAATCATAGTCGTAAACACGAGTTGTGGAGCACACAGTCGCTTTATTTCCCGGCTGAGGTGTACCTTTCACTCATGTGACACTTCTGTGACGAATAATCAGCCCGTCAATGATCATCTAATAAGGAGACACTATTTACATCTCATAAAAACACAAGGTGCGTTTATCATCACACTGTAGCACACATTTGTCAGTGCTCTGTTTTAGTTATAAAACAGTGTCTACTACTAATAATCAGTCAAATTCATCAGAGAGAGTATATCGTTTGCTTCGTGGTACAGTCCTCTACTGGAAAAATAAATACAATCAGCTGTCTTAGATTATGAACAGCCTATTTTAGACTGTTAGATTATTAAAAAAAAAAAACGTCAAGGTTTTCAATAATAGGAATTTAGATTAAATTTTGAACACATTTAGGTCAAACAGAGAGGAAAGTAAGGGACCTCATAACTAAAATGAAGATTTCCATAAACCTAAAATAAGTCTGCAGGCCACTAAATTCAAGTTTTGTTAAAGTCTTACAATATATGTTTAAAAAACAAAAATTTAGTCAGATATACTGGAATTCCTTTTCATATACGGGACACATTTTAACAGTTTCACCTGTATTCCCTAAGAGAGGTGATTCTACCATATTTGACAGAGGTTGTGAGATGAAGGTGAGGGAATCCAAGCCAGACCATAAAACCTCAATTCCTCCTTCACGCACAGAATCCAGACAAGAAAGCTTTTAGAAAGATGTTCAGCCTGGATAAAGCACAGATGGCTGCCAGTAATCAGCAGACTGCTGGTGTTTTAGGACAGTTGCTGAAATGCATCGTTTGCTGGAGTTTTATATTTCCAAATGTCAAAAAGCACCTTCAAAATGAAATTAGTGTCACAAGAGAAGATTTTAAAAAGATGCATTAGAGCAGAACTACATGTCTGAGGGCTGGAGTTTGAATGAGACGGTGATGATAAGAAGGGTTTCCCTGAATCAGAGTCAGCTTCTGCTGGTGGGCTGCGTCTCACTTCCCTGCCGGCAATAATGAAGGTGGAAGAGAGGGCTGCCGGCGTTTCATCTCCTGCTGCAGCTGCTCCTTCAGCGTGGACACCTGCCGTGATGACAATTTGAAGGGATCAGACAAACCAACAGAAGCTGGATGAAAACAGAATAATCGGAATTGTGTCCGCTCGCTGTGCGCCTCAACGTTTTAAACATTGGAGCTCAATCCATATAAATGATTTTGTCTGGTGATTTGAAAACATTGACCAAAATGTTCAAATCAACTGTCTAATCTTGTGTGGGTCCCCCTTACAAAACAATGACCCACTTGAAATATGGATCAGGGACCTGACAGGTTGGCCAGAGGGGTCTGAAAGCAGAGAGCTGGCAGCAGATTCTGTGTTTTACTGGCTACGCCCAGGATGAGAGTTTGGGGGCAGAGTGGTCGTTTCAATAGCGGGGGCCAGTCGGGCTCCTCCAGCTGCTCCTGGGCGTCTGTTGCTGTGGGTCATGTTGCACTGTGCTGCTGTAGCAATCAGCACCGTTCCCATAACTGTGAGTGTTATACTGACATCCACACAAAAGCCAGTACCCAAGATTTTGTCAGCGAGATGCTTGATTATAATGAGACGAAGAGGGTTTTTTAGTCGGCTCAAAAATATGATATTCACCTGCTCTTCGAGTCCTTTCACTCTGTGGCGGTGAGCACGCTCTCTGGTGCTCAGCGTTCGCTCCATCTCCCTGAAGCTGGTCCTCAGTCTCTCAGCCTCGCGCTGGACCTCGTCGCGCTGCCGGAGCAAACCCTCACACAGACTGTGCGACTGCTCCAGGTCAGCCAGCTGAGTCTGCTCACGAAACACAAACACGCACACAGATGGAAGATGTCTGCACATAAAACAGAGGAAAAGGATAAAAGCCTGGCTGGAGGACAAGCATGAGGCCAGTCCGTGCAGATTTGGTAGCTGGAGCAGCCCAGTGGAAACAACAACGAGCCAGTTACAGATTAAAAAAAAAACTATAAGGTGTTTTTCAATCATTAAAAATAAATGGGGGAGATTTTAACATTTACTTACAGATATAGATGTTAAATGTTTTTCAAAACTATTGGGCTTTATTAGTCAAATGCTTAATGAGGAACAGAGGAAATGCAAACTTCACTTCACTTACAAAAAGTTTAGGCTCTGTCTGAAATGACTTTACCATAAACTGGACTTCTCCACGACTGACCTAGTTCAACGAGAAAGAAAGATCCAGGAAAAAAATTGGAAAACTCTGTTTAAACTGTATCAGCTTTCCAAAGACCCTCTGGCAGCTATTAAGTCAGTGGAATCTAACTCCTTTGTTTAAAAACACCACGGCCTGGGAAAGTTAAATGAGCAAAAGTCTGAAATGTCAAACCAGCCAGACATGAACAAGTTTAACCACTGTTTCAGAATCCGTCTGAAATCCACACCAGCTTCCATTTCTTTATTGTATCTCTTTTGTAAATGGACATTAAAAACTACTGTACTCAGACTTCATTACATGGGAAGTTACAGAACGTCTAAACTAAAAACTAGCTTTTTCTAATGAATGCATTTCACACTTCAGACATCACGGCCTAATTCAGCGGAAATGATTTGTGAAGTTACAGGTTGTTTTTTTCTCACTGGTGAATAACTGTGTGTCTCCCTGACCTTTTGCCCACCATGCGGCAGCTCCGAGCCTGGGAGGATTCTCACCTGCAGCATCAGAATCTGCTGCTGCGCCTCCTGCAGCTCCTGCTCCGCCGTGTTCAGGGAGCGGTCCAGACGGCCTTTCTCTGCGGACAGCCGCATGCTGCCCTCCTCAGTCTTCAGCTTCTGACGTTCAACCTAAAAAGATGAGCAATTCCTTTTTGATTAAAGAAACGGATAAAACAAAAACTAGCGGTTTCCACGTTGGCTGGATCTTGGATCCGGCACTCACCTTATCTAGCGTGTTCCTCAGTGCGTTCTTGTCCTTCTCCAGTCTCAGGGCCTGTCTCTCGGCGTCTTTTTTCTCCGTCTCGAGCATGGCGACGGCCCGTTGCAGCCCGCGCAGTCGCTCCTCCACAGTGGCCCGCTCGGTCTGAGCCGACTGGGCACTGCGCTGGTACTCCACCAGGCTGTTGGAGCGCTGACGCAGGGCCTGACAGAGGAGAAACATTAAACAAGGGTCCACAGTCTAATGGGTTTCTCGATGGATATTTCCCCTGCTGATCAACAGGTCTGGAGTCTCTCTTACCTCCTGAGCGCCGTGGAGCTCGGACTCCAGCTCTTCTCGCCGCAGCTCACTCTGGTTCAGCTCTCTCTGCAGGCTCTCTACGCGCTCAGTGAGGGCGGCCATGTTTCTCTTCGCTTCACCCAGTGATGCTCGAGTTTCATCCGCTCGTTCCTAAGGTGTAAGAATTCACATCACAGCACTCTGGAGCTCAGGGGAAAGAGACATCTACTGCCAACGTCTACTGGTCGTATTCTGGCCTACATGTCAAAGAAACCAGTCCCCGAGCTGCCTATTGTGCACACGTAACCTTTATCCTCATACGTTGTTCTGGATAAAAGCCTCTGATAAATGCATGATTATAAATCACTATTGACTGCTCACAACTTTTCTCCTCCTTCATTTTCCTTCCTTACTCACCTGAAGAAGTCTTTTGTCCTGTTCAGCCAAAGTCAGGCTCTTCTGCAGAGCGACTAGCCGGCCCTGCGTGCTGCTGTGGGCAGCCGACGCCTCCTGCAGCGTCTGGCTGAGAGACGCCGTCTTCTCTTTGAGCGCAGATTCACCCTCCTGAGCTCTGAGCAGAGCCTGGCTCAGCCTCTCCACCTCTCTCTGAAGCAGAGACACTCGGGCTTCTCCCTCTGCCACCTGTAGTTTAGAAAACCATGGCCACATTTTGACATGGCCGACAAACCAACTGGAATTAAAAACTGTCTTTGTTTAACTGAATCATCAAGGGGCAGCGTCATGGGTTTACACTTTGTTTCCAAGGAAAGTCTTCAGTTACAGTGACAAGCATTATTTTTATTTTCAAATATTCTTTCATTGCAATACTAAAAGGTTTTTCAAGTTGTATTGTGACAAAAATACTGGTTTATAAGATTTCCAAATTATTTAGTTTTGTTTTTATGTACATTTTGCACACCATCCCAATTTTTCTGTTGTTGGACTGACACGTACCTGACCCCAAATCAAAATACCTGTTTGAGCAGAGAGTCATGGCGCTCCTGAGAAGCTTGGCTCTCAGCCTCTCTGTCCCCCACGCTCAGTTTGAATCTCTGGAGCTCCCCTTCCAGGCTGCGCCTCCCCAGCTCCACCCTGGTGGCCCGAGCCTCGGCCACCTCTAGCGCCTCCCGCAGGCGCCGTCTCTCTGCGTCCAGACGCATCTCAGCCGCACGCTGCTTATTTAACTGGTCCTAAAGAAATGGAGGGAGAGAAGCAGCCAACGCTGAATGTTGGCTCTTTGCTGAATAAGTTGAGAGCACAAGACTTTCACAGATTACAGAGTGGCGAAAAAGCAAAACACAGAACCGCTTGCAGGCTAAAACTTTAGTTGAGTTCGAGCAACAAAGAATAAATAAAAAAAATGTTTTGCACGTCCACATTCCGAGCCTTGGTTTAATTTAGTGTCTGCTCTCCACGCGGGCCAGAGGGTGACTGAAGACGCTGGCATTGTAAACAGGCATACGGAGAGCTGACACAGCTCTGCAAGAACAGTAACACCGTGTGTGTGTGGCATCTGTTGTTATTACTTTCCCTGACAGCTCAAACCTTTGGATATGGCTCCACTACCGACTGATGCCATATGGTGATGCAGCAGATCAGTGGTCACTGCTGAGAGAGTAATAACACAATGGAGTCTACACACATGCACACACTGCAGAAGCGTGCATGTACCTGGGCGTGCTTCTTGTCTGTCTCTGAGGCCTGCAGAGAGCGCTCCAAGTCCTTCACCCGGTCGGCCAGCGCCCTCCGCTCTCTGTCGCCTCTCCTCCCCGTCTCCTCCTGCTGCTGCAGCAGAATCTGAGAGGTGCTCAGACGCTCATCCAGCCCACGCTTCCCTGAAACGAAGCAGGGAAACAGACGAAAGTGAGGCTTCACATCACAGAGATTGACGTCTCAAGTTGAAGCCTCCCGTAGTTTATCTGCATCTGCTTTCAGACCTTCTTGGCACTCATGCAGGGTATTCTGCAGCTGGGTGAGGCGGCTCTGGGCAGACTCTCGTTCCCCCCTCAGCTCCTCCAGCTCCCGCTGCAGGGCGACCAGCAGCCGCCGCGCATCGTCCTGCAAAATCAGCCAAACAAGGACCTCAGCCACCCCCACCAATCATCATCCGAAGCCTTTATTTTGTGTGTGTGTGTGTGTTTTTGATACCCTCTCTTTTTGAGCATCACGCAGGTCCTGGATGAAGTCTCTGAGGCCGCTTCGCAGACTATCGTGGTCCAGGTCTGACTGAGAGAGAGCCAACGGTGTGTCCCCTCTCTCGGGAGAGGCAGCGCCTGAGCCTAAAGTGTTGTCTGGGGTGCTTCCTCGAAATTCTGTTTTAAAAAAAAGAGTAAGTCAAAGAGATGCCATCACTTTGTGCAGGGGCACCAGCCCTTTCTATTAGTTACTGTTTAAAAAAAAAGTTGGATCACCAAAAGTAGGAAAGCAAAGTCAAAACAAGTCTAAAAAGACAGAGATAATATATGTTTAAATCAAGTTTTTCCTTACTTTAGTCCCAGTTTCTTATTTCTAGATGTTACCACCACCAAGAAAGAGCTCATATTTTTCAGAAACATAAGGATTTCTACGCTTTAACATTTTAAATGTTTCCTAAGGACAGTAAGATCATAAACTACTGTTGCATGCATAAATATGCTTATTTATTGGTGGAAGAAAACCTGTTTCATGGTTAAATCATTCTAATTTTAAGATCTCGTTTAAGATTTTAAGATTATCATTATTATTATTATTATTATTATTAAAGCATTTTAATGACTTTCTTATTTATAAGTATAACAAATTTCTATAAGAGTTTTTCCTTTGTGGATTTTGTGGCCCTCTGAGTTTCCCACTTTTATGGGAAACATGCACAGAGCCTGGGATCACTAATTGGATTGGATTAGAACACAAACAAAGCCTGGCTGTGTTGAGCCTCCTGGAGAAACGGGTTATTAACTGAAGAAGACGTATCACCTTTAGGAGGCGACAGGGAGGAGCGCAGAGGTGAGACGCTGTGGTGGCGCGACGCACTGCCCGGCGACGTGGAGCTCCCTCCCGGGCTCCTCCCTCTCCCTCCCCGGCCACTCGCCCCGATGCCCAGCGTGCGTGTCAGCGCCGACTGGAGGCTGCTCAGGCGAAACTCTAGGTCCCTCCTGCCGGCCTCGGCCCGGGTCAGCTCGGCCTCGGTGGCGGCCAGCCGGCCCTGCGCTTCGCTCAGCTGCAGGCCGGACTGCGCGGCGGCGTCCTGGGCCGCCTGCGTGCGCAGCGACAGATTCTTGGCTTCGTCCTGGAGCTTCTTCTCGCAGCCGCGCGCCTCCTGCAGCTGAGCCATCAGGTCCCTCTCGCTGCTCCGCCAGCCCTTCTCAGACTCCACCAGTCGCCTCTGAGTCCCAGAGAGCTTTGGGACGGATTTTTAAAAAACGAAGAAAAAAAACGTGACACAAAGAAGTAATAACCGACTGAGAAAGCCTGCTGCTCTCTTCCAGCCTCACCTCTTTCTTCAGGGAGTCTCTGACTGTTTCAGCTTCAATGAGCTTCTGTTTGAAGCTGAAAACCTCTTTTGCCCTCTCCTCCTCTCTCTGCTCCTCCAGTAATAGACGATTCTGAAGTTCTGCCACCTCTCTCCCCCTCTGCTCTTTCTCCCCGTCCAGAACCTTCAGCTGGAACCAAAAAAAACCCCCAACAGCGTCACTCAAACCTCCGTTGCGATTTCCCGTTCATCCCACTGACCGGATGCAGAGAGCTCCAGCTTCAGGAGGTCAGCGCGCCTGACCTGTCTGCGCAGCTCCTGCAGCTCTCGCCGAGCTTCAAGTCGAGACCTCTCAACCTCTCTCAGACAGCTTCGCAGGTCCGTCACCTCCTTCTGAGAGGATGAAAAGTTCTCCTCCAGCACAGCCAGCCTCTGCGCCTTCTCCTCACACTGCCGCTTCACACTTCAAACCAGGAAACACACACACACAGTTCCAGAGAAAACATTTTAAACCCCCTCATAGCTGTGTTTGTCTCCCCGCCGGTAATTTCCCATTCTATTGTTTACCTGATTCTCTCGGTTTCGGCACTGCGCAGAGCTTCTCTCAGCTGAACATTTGACTGGTTAAGGGCATCTCTCTCCTTGGTGACATCGGAGAGGCTGCGACGCAGCTCCGACCCCTCTCTCCTGTGGTTCTCTGAGGAGTCCTGAGCGTGGTGTAGACGACGGTCATTCTCCAACAAGTCCCGCCTCAACTGATCTCGACCCTCCTCAGCAGCAGAGAGGGAAGCTCTGCACTCCTCCAGCTGGAGGGAACAAGTTACGTGTGTATCAGAGTGATGTCACCGCAAAAAACAAGACATATCAATTAAAAAAGTCGATTAAAACATTTTCCATGACTTGTATGTCGTCTCTACCTCTTTGAGAGCAGCGTCAACACGCAAATGAAGATCAGCGCAAGTTTCCCGTAGACTTTGAAGCTCCCTCTCATGGGCAGAAGCTGCCTCTTCAAGCTGAGAGCGAAGCTCCAGCAGCTCAGTGGTCAGAGCTCCAACTCTGATCTGCAAACACAAAACAGGCGGGTCAGCGCACTTCCATGTTCACTGTTCCTCCAAACAACAAGGAGGCCAAATTTAGCGTCAACATCTCTGTGTTGCCTCTTATCACCTGCTCCTGCTCTTTGAAAAGTGCCGCTTCTCTGTTGATCCGCTCAGCTTCCATTACTGCAGCTGACAGCTCAGCATGCAGACTGAAGAGCTTGTCAGATAAAACTGCCTTTTCTGCCTCCTTCAGTGAAAGGGCCTATGGAGAGGAGGGCATCTACTTTACATATAAAGTATACTACACAAATCCAATAGAAGGACCCTAACTACATGGATTAATAATAAGAATAAGAATAATAAATAATAATCAAGAATTATGACAAAGATTCCTATTTTATGTGCATTTGTTTCTAAACAAGAATGAAATGGATGTGGACCTGCTGTTTCTCTGTCTCTGCCTGCAGCAGACACTGATCTCTCTCATGTTGCAGAGTCCTCATTTCTTCATGCAGCTCGTCTCTTTCTCTCTTTGCTCTGTGGAGATGATCCTCCATGTCCTGCCTGAGTTTCCTCAGAGCAGCCTCATGCTCCATTTGCAAACTGTGCCGTACCACTTCCTGATCAATAGAACAGACAGAGAATAAACACACTGACAAGAAAGCAAACAGCCCCAGCGGGAAGCGCTTCCACGGCAGAAGAGACGCCCAAATGTCTACTTAAGCACCAACGAGCCCTCTGACCTTCTCTGACACCAGCCGTGCAACCTCCTCCTGGTGATCAGAGATGGCCTTGTGTAAAAACTGCTGTGCCTCCATCTGGGCAGCGTTTAGACTCTGCGTCAGGGCCTGCTTCTCTTTCTCAGCCTGCGCCAGTGCATCATCCCCGTCTGAGCGCACGCGTCTCAGCTCAGCTGAAAATCCCAGAAGAGAGGCAAAGAGCTAAAGTCTCTCACTCAACCGACCGAGCCCGTCTTTCTATTCCACTAAAAAAAACTAAATCTTCTGCTTTTGGTTATTTCTCTCCTTGTAGCTCACCTGCAGCAGTCTCACATCGGACTCGCAGGTTTTGGTTCTCCGTTTCCAGCTGCTCTCTGCGAGACTCCAGCTGCACGATCTGCTGCTGCACATCGAACAGACTCGTTTCCAGTGACTCTCGCTCCGACCTGCAGATCACACACAAAACACACACACACACGCATCGATGAAGACTTTATACACGTGTGATCTCTAAAAAGATTTCAATCCTATGTTTCTGCTTTTGGGACTTGATACCAACATGTGCTGAAAAGTCCATGACTGTAATATGTGGCTTTGAAGAGAGATTAAAGATTTATTCCAAATAAGTGCAAAGCATGAGGCCAGAGCTGTGTAAAATCATTATTACGATCGGTAGGACTTCTCTTATGATGTCACATGAAAAGCTATGCATGTGTACTAAAGGACTCAGCTAAGATTTCTACTCTCCATTAAAAATGTGACATGTAAATGCTACTTAATTGCTCATCTGGCGTGGTCATTTATACGTGACAAGTCCTCATTCAGTGCCTGAAAATGGGTGTTGGTAAGTTACACCATACACACCTGAAAGCAGCCAACTCCTCGGACAGCACGGTGTTTTCTCTCTCAGATGCCGTCAGCTGAACCACCAGAGCTGCTTTGTCTCGGGCCAGTTCTGTCCGACTGCGGCCAGCCTCCTCTAAGGCCACCTCGTTCCTCTGGCCTTCTCCCCTCGCCAGACTTAACTCCGACCCAAGTGATGTAATCTCGCCACAAAGCTGTCAGCAACAAAGACAAAGTGTGTTCTTAAAAACTCAAATTCACCTTTTAAGATTTATGCACACCTCCTGATAAAAAAAAACTTGTGTAACTTGAGCAATCGATTGGGCACAGATGGGCCAGGTCTAGAGGATGATGTGATGAGATCAGTTATGTACCTGGGTGACTTTGTCCTGCAGTTTCATTCTCTCTGTCCTCAGGCTCTGCAGCTCGGCCTCCATCCCCGCCCGGCTTAGCTCGGTGTCCTGCAGGGACTGATGCAGCGTGCTGCGCGCAGACTCCAGCTCCAGCCGGCCCTGCTCCAGCCGGACCAGCTCGTCCCTGATGGTGAGCTTCTCTTGTTCTGCCACACGTTTCTGAGTCTGCAGGAGGACCTTTTCCTCCTCAAGCTTGGAAAAAAAGGCGAGAGGGAGATTAGAGTTGACACTAAACACAATGAAAACATTCAAAGAGCAATGCTGTTGCTCTTTGTATGTTTTAATACAGGTTTGGATGCCTGTGTTCCAAGTGTGTGCACTTGTTAAAGAGGCTCTGGTAGGTCCTAACCTGGAGGATATAGGTGTTCAGGTATGCTTTGTCCTGGGCCAGGGCCTCATTCAAGCTGCCCATCTTTACCAGAGAGTCTCTGAGAGCAGCATCCTCAGACTGCAGCTTGCTGAGCTGCAGGGACAGCTCGAGGTTGCTGCTCTCGACCTGCGGGTACAATCACATTTAAGGCACTGGAGGAGAATAAGACACTAAACATTACTCTTAAGGAAGTTCAATGCCAACAGGCCGCCTCATTCTCACCTGAGCCAGTGCTTCAGTGAGTTGGGCCTTCTCCCGCTCCAGCAGCTGCCTCTGGACCTCCTCCTGTTGGTAAGTCTCCCTCACCGCGGACAGCTCTCCACGCTGGGCCGAGGCTCGACTCTCACTCTGATCCCACTGCTTCTGGCTGTGTCAGACCGGACTGTGTGAATGTCACTTTGTAAAGCTAATTTATATGAGCAAGTAAGGGGAAACATTAGTCAAGGGTCTGCAGGTAGACAGTTCTGTTAATTTCCTACTAAAAGTACTGTGTAGGATTTAAATTGTATCTGAAGAGAGAGCGTTTTAAATCAGGACATGTATTAATAATACAATACAATATCTTTTACTGCATCGGTTCTAGAGCTTAATTTAAAAAATAAAATAAAAGAAAGGTTTTCACAGACTGTTTTTATATTAAAAGTGTCAAATATAATCATGAGTGGTCAAGGATATAGCATTAAAATAACTGACGTCATAATGAGAGACAGTGGCTTCCTATGGGCATGTGCAGGGTGTGCTGAGTGTTCTAAACTTTATGGATTAGTGTCCACATCCCCTTCATTTAATCACTGCCAATGATCTGCTTACACCCTCTGAGTCTCTGCCTTTGCCCGGTCTCTCTCCTGAATGGCAGCCTCCTTCTCCTCCCTCTCGTGGTCTCGCTCTCGCTGCGTGGAGGCCGCTGCCAGTTGAAGCTTCTCATAGTCCATCTGCAGGATCTGGTGGCTGCTCTGTGCTGCCTGAACCGTTTTCTCCAAGTTCAGCTTCTCACTGCATGTGCAGAGCACATGATTTAGTTACAGTCTGAGACCGCGCGGGCAGGAGCGATTTAAAGCAGACGGAGAGACGCTGGCATACCTGGCCAGTGTGTCTCTTTCCTGCTTCAGACGGTCCTTCTCTCTCTGTGTGGTCTCCCGCTCCCTCTGAGCAGCATCCCTCTCTTGCTGCAATGCTACATTTCGCTGTTCCGAATCTCTTTTAGCAGAATCTGACTCCGACAGCTGCTTTCGTAAGTGTTGTACAGATGACTGGGCAGAGAGAAGACGACCTCGAACATCCTGAAGGCATGATGATAGGAGCAGATAATGATGATGATGATGGTGTTTTAGGTACACAGTGACTACATCACGACTGCTTTCAATCTGTGGGTGGGTGGGACCTAATCCCTTATTCCTGCTTACTTTAATTCATCCATTGTTTGATTCTTGCATTTCCCACCAGGCAGTCACTACCAACACATTTCTTTTGGCTTTCAGGGATTTTTTCAGGTGTATTTTTGTTGCATGAGGATGATTTTACAACTTATCTTTGTCCCAGAGATCCATTTTTTTTTTTTTTTTTTACAATAAACAGCAGCATGTTTAAAGCATGGGACCCCTCATGGACACTGTGTTGATGCGTTTCCATTTCCTGCTGAGGGTTTACAAATCAAAGTGTCACCTGCAGCTGGAGGGTCTTGGTAGTGACTGCCGAACGGAGAGCAGACAGTGCTGCTTCAGAGAGGGGAGACAGCGAGGAGGCTCGAGGGGGGGGTGATGGCCTTCGAGGAGAGGAGGGCCGACAAGAAGGCGAGTCCCGAATCAAGGCCAGCAGGGGAGCCGCGGAGTTGTCCTGATCTGCTTCTGATGACGACTCCCCATCCGACAGGACCGTCTGTGAAACGAAATAATCATCAACCACTGTCTAATGCCAGTGGGTGGAGACTCCACCTGCGTAAAACTGTTATCTACCTGAGCAATGTCCCTCAGGGTGTCCAGCAGTGTTTCGGTGTGGGCTCGCATCAGCTGCATGTCCGTCTCTTCACTGCCGCTCTGCTCCTGGGGGCAAAAACGAGGAATAGATTGATGAAGATGACCAATAATAAAACCACCAGAGAAGTCTTGTCTGGACTCTCACCTCGAGCCTTCCCTTCAGTGTGGAAATTTCTCCGTCTCTCTCCTCGATCTGGCCCTTGAGTTTCTCACATTCTCGTACTATGTCGGACATCCTGCCAGATGAAAAAAGAGGAAGCAATCAGCCGTTCTGTAAAGGCTGGTGAATTTCCTCCCATCAAAGATGCGCGGGAGCTCACAGAAGAGCCTTCAGAGAGTCTGAGGCTGCCCCAGCTGTACACACACCCTCACTGACCTGACACCGAGCTCACTCCTCTCTGCATCTGTCCGGGCCTGAAAGGTCATCATCTCTGCCACGCGGTCCCTCAGCTGCTGCTCCATCTGAACCCTCAGCGCCTTCTCCTGCTCCAGGGCCAGAGCCGCTCCTCCTTCTCGGCTGTGCAGCGTGGCAGAAAGTCCCGAGCAGGACACCTGTGCAGAGTGGGACATCCGAGCCAGCTCGTTGCGCAGATCTGACAAATCCCTGAGAGTTGAGGGGGGGAGGACACAGAATGGAAAGAAGGGTGAGATGAGAGAAAGCACACTTTGTTGAAACCAACGTGCCCCTTTGGGGTTTTTTACCTTTCAGTGGCGGTCTTCATCTCACAGACGTGCCTCCGGAACCCCACCACCTGACGCCAGATCGCCAGCAGCCGGCTGTGCTCTCTGCTGAAGTAGCTGTGGAAAGACTGGTCGGGAGGCCCAGCATTAAAATAGCCGGTTATTATCAGAGATTTTTGTGTTTTTTGTTGTCGGATCAGTATCTTTCTCCCACCTCCTCTTCTCTTCTCCAGTCCGCCTCTTTTTGCTCCAGCTCCTCCCTGGCTTTTGTCCAATCAGCCGTGAGCCTGCGGATGTCCTGGCTGAGAGCCTCGTTGGCCAAACCGGCCTGCTCCAACTGCTCCCTCAGCATCGCGTTCACGGCCGACAAACTGCTGCTCCTGAAAACACAACAATGAATAACTATGCTTCAGCTAGACCAGAAATATCAGCGTTTTTACGAGAATGGAAGAATGTAGCGACAGGTTTTGTGTAAGCTCACATTAATTTTGCAGGTGTGATCAAATGCTAAGCTGTTTGGTATAAAAATAACTAGACAGTCAAGTCATTTTTTAAATGTGTCTTGAGCAATAGTTCTCCTTTCGGAAGAATTTGTTCTGAATTTTCTGAAGTTGACTGCTTCATCACTCTGTTTTAGTTCAATATGTGTCTATTTTCTGAAAAGTGTGTGTTTTTATGTATTAATGCTTAACAATTTCCTAAGAATCAACCATGGAAAAGGTTTCTAGCTATGGGCTTAAAGCATTTTTGTGTCAACAGAAGCCTGCTCTGTAAACATAACCAAAGCCCAGTAAATGTGTTGTGGTAGTGTGTCACCTCTGCTGCTCTTCTTCAAGACGAATCAAAGCATCTTCCAGATTGCTACTTGCTTCATCTTGAGGTCGACCATTTGATGTTTCACCGTTACTCTAAAAGAAAAGACAAAGCAATGTTTGGAATAATAATCGAGTGGAGAAACTGACTTAATTGTGATAGAATTTAATCAAAGGGAGGATACACCCACACTGCGTCTCTCCAACTCCGAGGACTTCTCCTGCACCATCTGCTCCAGATCCCCACACCTCTTTTTGTACTGAAGCACCTGAAGCAGCCACAGGAGAGCTGTCACACCAAGACACCTCAGTGACAACTCGTCAAACACACCGTACGTTGCTCATACCTTGGCCTGGAGTCTCTGCACCAGCTGCGCCTGCCTCTGCTGCCCCTCCTGGTAAGCGGTGAGTTTTCGTTTATAAGCGGCTTGCTCCTCATCCAGTCGCCTGCGCAGGTCCACGTTCTGCTGTGCCAGGCTGCGGGACTCCGGTGAATCCTGCTCGCTGTCGCCTGTTTCCAAACGCAGCGTCTGCTCCAGCTGAGGTTTGGTGTGAAATCGAAAAGCAGGGAAGTAAACCGAGAGGTTTTGCTGATTGCCACTGTTCTGTCATGCTATGGGTGCAGCCCAATTTCTGTAGCCAGCTAAGAAAACCTGAGTTGGCCAATTACTATTATTCCACTAGATATTTTATACGTCTAAAATAAAGATTGTGTTTACCACAGAGCATACAAGTCCAACTTTATCTAAAGATAATAAACGGAGGAATGGCTTTTTTTGTAGTGTTTATTTTATAAACATACAGTATTTACTTTTGTTATTCTGCTGTGGTGAAGCTCTATTCACTGACCACTTTCAAAGCAATACCGTCCATAGAAATTTCAACCACAAGGTCAGATCCTTTAAGATTAAAAGGGGTTGAGATTCTGACTATAAACTGCAGTGTGTTACTTTAGTGAATAATTCAGCTATTTGTTCCTATCAATTCCAGTTAAATCTCTAACAATAGCATATAATTCTCAAAGGCTATTTTCATTAAATATGTACAGTCCTCATTGAGGAGATTTTAAATATTTCAGACCCATCTTTTATGTCTACCTCACACTAGCAGCCTGCATGAGAGTAAACTTTTAATATTCTTATAATCATCAGTAAATCTGGTTTCAGTCACTCACGAGCTACAGTGTCCCAGTGAGCATATCAGCTCTATCCTTTTCTTTTGAATGAATTAAGGTCTCAAGAAAAGAATACAACTCTATGTGTTTATACGCCTTTCTAAAGGTTGTTGTATATGGGACATCCCAAGCACAAGGAGCAGCCATCGATTCGCCTCCTGTGTGATCATTTCACAGATATTCCCATTTTGCTTTTGGATCCCAGCTTACATAGGCGTTTTGCTAATGTTCAACCCAAAAGAGTCGTGGCGGCCACCCACCACCACCCTTTCCTCTCTCTCTACTGAAGCCCCTGTTTACAGTCACCCAGGGCGACAGACGCCATGGCAACATTCCACTTCAGTTCATTCCAGCCCCCATCACCTGGGAGACTTGCAAATCTCAGACAAAGAGAGACCAAGAAAACCCCAAAGTGTCAAAAAAGGGAGGGTGTCTCAGCATTCCCCACAAAGTCACGCAGCCAGAACACCTGGAGGGTCTTTTAAATAAAGAGCTTTATTCAAATAAAGCCTGTCCTAAAAAACAGCTGTCACCACGCTATCTACGCTTGACCGATGTCTCACTTTTGTGATTTTCCTTACCCTCTCGCTGATTGCGCCGTACTTGATGGCCAGCTCATCGCGGTCGGCCCTGCTGTGTGCCAGCAGGTCCTCGAGCCGGGCCAGCTCCTCCTGCAGCACCCGGTTCTCCTCCTGGAGGGACATGACGGAGGACATGGCCCCTGCTGCTCACAGAAAACAAAAACAGCGGTTGGACCAAAGAGAGAGACAACATTTTCCATTCAAAATGTTCAATTCACGCCACTTAGGCCAGGTCTCTCACTGCCTTCGTTGAGGTTCTTTGTGACAATCTCTCTGACTCGGGCTGGCAGACATGTAGGGGGGGCATCAGGTGAAGGGCCCCTGACAGTCAGCCTCTTCTCTTCAGACAGAACACTCTCCTCCAGCCTCTGAGACAGAAAACACACGCAATTAGGCCCTTGGCCAGGAGGCATTAACAGCTGCTACCCAAACATATCAATCATATCTCTCCACTAACAAAAACGACCAAATGATGATGATGATGAAGTTACAACAGGTGCAAGCTGTGCCACAAGCGCTGCGTAATGGAAACCAAAACCTGCTCTCACGCACACGCATGCATGCTGTAAACGAGCGGCTTCATTTGTCACACCACGACGCCCGTCAGCACATCACGGAATAAACGAGGCGAGCCTGACCTGAATCACAGACTCCAGTTTGTTTGAGTCGGCTTCTGAGTTTTCCGCAGCGCTCATGTCTGCGCGTGTGGCCGCTACTTAGAGTCCTCTGGGGCTATGGGATTATCTCCGAGTGAGGGAGGCGTCTTCACAAGCGAAACGATTACCTTTTTTCTATCTCCAGTGGGCGAAGGGGAACAGGGAAAAAAAGCGAGCTTCAGCTGGGTTTTTGAGGATTTACGCGCCCGCAAAGTTTCGGTGGCACAGGAGCTGAGGGCGTGCGTCCTGCTGCCTCCTCCGACACAGACAGAGATTGAGGACAGCAGGATTAGCAGGCTTTAAAGTGCACCCCTCCACCTCCACTTCCAACACGGTTACTACGCCCCCACTGCTCACATCAAAAGCCTCCACAATCTAAAGCCTCCACAATCTACGGCCATCCATCCACACAGCCAAAGACAAGCCAGGGAGGAGACACGTCAGGTCACAGTCAGGAAAAGAGAGCCAAAAAAGAATCAAATGAAGTCAGATGACTGGTACAGTTTACAAAAGCTTAAAAAAACTTAATTAATAGTCATCAGACACATTGACTAACTAAATACTATTCAGCCAACATCAGCCACACTAATACATGTTGCATTCCCTTGAATCATACCAACAGGCAGTTTATAGGAAGAAAATCTGAAGTTTGTCAAACCTCATTTCACACTCATGATTGAAAAATGAACATGGACACCTAAAGAGATGCATACTGTGGCATTGGAGCTGTGGAGATTTAATACAAGTTTTTAAACAAAACAAAAATACATGGTATTGACAATCACTACAGAGTAAACAGTGTATAATATAATATAATATCAGCATTTCTAACTGTCAGTCTAACCTGCATGATGCCCCCCTTTTTTGCATATGCATCAACATCTGTATTAAACATTTCCCCTCATGTTTAAGGCAGTCTTCCATACAGCATATGCATGCAAGACATAACTATCATCTTTTGGTGGTTACGTGTCTGATGTCTGTTTATTACACAGAAGTCAGTTACTAACATGAGCTGTTTTGTTTTCGACTGAGGACTTCCCTACTTTGTGTTTGAGCTGCCATAGTTACACACAGAAGGATCTTTGTGTCATACACCAGACCCCCCACCCCCCCTCCTACAAACAAACATGACTGGACCCCACCCCAAAACTCCAAACAAGGAAGCCCTAAAAGATCCACAGAGGTACAGAAGGAGCTACCATTGTTGAAATGTTAATGTCACACGTTTATAAACTTTGTTAAAAAGTTTATTACCAAGGTGAATATGTTTTTGTTGTGTCCAATTAATTAATTAATGCGGACATTTAAAAGTGAGTCCCACAGCAGTGAAATACAGGCTATAATTGGGTTTTCATTAATTCTATTAAATCAACAACACTATTCCAATTCATTGATGCCAGCTGGATTAGTTTCTAATTGTTTGGTGTGTCTGAACCCACATGTCTGAGGCTCAGTGAATATCTGGGGCGCCCCCTGGTGGTCTGTTTAGAACTTGCACTGATTCAAGAAAAAACAAAGCCTCGATAGTTTGATACAGTCTGGCACTGTTCAGTTCCTCACCCGAACATCACAGACTGCGCCTCTATCTTAAGCAAGAATAGTTTTGAAAGTCGCGAATCCGAATAATCGTCAGAGATCAACGAGGAAGAGGAGGGCTGCTTCCTCTCCTCTCCATGAATCAGATAACTTTACGCATAAGGGGAACACGGGCAGCTGTGCTATTCATGCTCAATGTCTCCTTCATCCCCCTTATTTATTTGATTTTTTTACAACGCAATGCAACTTAAGCACGTCCAAAATGAAACGCCCAAGTTTTCAAAAGTGAGAGGAGTTTGAGGCGGGAGGAGGAGGAGGAGGAGGAAGGGGAATATCTCCCTCTGTGCAGCATCCAGTTAGATTTAGCGATAGTGCCATGCGCAATGCGAGATAACAACACGAATGTGCTTTAGAAATGTTTTTTTTTATTATTCATTTACAACCCCTCTGTTAGCAGCCACATCCACATCACTGTATCGTGTCCTCCTCTGATAAACATCGGCCTTTCTTTGGATCAACAGGCTCACCTCGTGCGTTGGGTCCGCTGAGCGTCATTCTGCTGTCCCTCCATTTCCCCGAGCGGCTTTTTTTTTTCTTCTTCCCCTGTCCGAGAAGGCAGAAGTAGACCCAGTCCAGCAGTTAGGAACCGATCATCAGCTGCACGCAGAAGCCGAAGCCCTTTCCGAAATCTCCTCCGTGCTTTTTCCGGGGAGGGACTTCCAGTTCAGGCCACAGCGGCTGTCACCAGAGGCTCTCCCACTCATCCGTCAGAGAGCTCCACCGAGAACACGATACGCAAAATCCACATGCAACAGTCTACCCCCAAATATTGTAAATGATGGGGAAAATCATTGTTCAATTCACTATTCTGTTTTAATAAGATTGAACGTTTCATATCCAACTGTAGTGAAACCAGTTCAAAAGAAAGTTGTTGTTTTTTAGCTCATTGTTTTGGAAATTTTGTTGTTTCAAGCTGAAGATGTAACTTGTACCAATTCCACATCCAGTAATTGAATTTCAGCAGAACTCTGACTTCTTGCTGGGCTAAGCTTACTTCTATTCGTGTTTTAAAGACGATATGTAGGTATGGTGGTTAACTAACATTCTGCATATCATTTCAATCAACTCCTCAGTTATTTTTCAAAATCCTTATTTGAGCTCAAGTGTTGATATGAGATGACGCCCTGAAGTTTTCACCTTGGTAAAGTTGTCCATCTCTGAACTGAAAGGCTGTACATCAACCCATTACTCTTCAGAAACATCCTGCAGCTGTGAGGAAAGTCCATGTCATGACCTCCCAACACAGTCAGACCTTTTCTTTTTCAACCTAGACAATAAATAATGCTAATAATAACTTTAAATAAAGCAAACAGACTGATGAAATATATGTACTTTATTTACAGAAGGACATAGGTTTATATTTTGTACACTTTAGGTCATTCTCAGGAAGGCACTTTTTCAGAGTTGTTTGGGAAGTGTCAGGACATTTAAGATGGGTAAAAGGCACGTTGAAGAAAGAAGAAAGACACAAGGGGTTTTGCATAAAGACAGAGAACATGTCAAAAACAACACGTTCATATTTCAGCGAGACAAACTATCTAGCTGGTGTTTCCATTGGATTAAAAACAGTCCCGGTATTTGCTTAATGTAAAACGAATCATCAAATATTAACAAAAGATTAAAGGTGTACTAAGACAGAATACAGGGAAATAAAAACAAATAACAAAAGAAAGGACGAGACAGACGCTGGTGTAAAGCTCAATAAAAACAGGGACTCTTAAGAGTATTTTCCCAAAAGTTTAGGAACAAAAAAAAAAAGCCTTGAGATGAGTAATGCTGGTGTAATGAGATCATTCTGAGATGGGAACACGTATGCATGGTTCAATGAAGACACAAAGAGGATGAAATCTGATTTTGGACAGAGTCAAAAGGACAAAGAGGCTACAAAAATATGGAAAATGTGATTTAAGGCAGAGGAGGATTTTTTTTCTTCTTTTTTTACTTGGTTAGTGTAACGAGTCGGCTTTCCCTTTCGATCACAGACTCATTTTAAAGAGCAGAGATGGTAAAACTCAATCCTAATGCACAGCAGAGGGTGAAGTAGAATAAGTAGACAAATGTTTGTTCCTCCACAGTGTGTTGGTCAGCGGGCTATTCTTTAGAGTGCGTGAGTGGAGTGTGCAGCGAATGAGCTAACAGTTCCTCTCTGAGCTTCTTTTTGTCACAATCGTCCTGTCCAAGGAATGTGTGGAACCTGAGTGTGAGCGCGTTTTCTCATGACTCAACTAAACTGCACCCATCCAGATTTGACAGCATCATTGTTGGAGCTGTGGGGGGGAGAGCGGGCAGAGGATGAGAGTGATGGTGGAGCGGGGGGGAGGCACAAAGATCTGAGGTGAGATGTGATGGCACTGAGGTGGAATGGTGAAGTCGTGACAGAGACTTACTTTGAACCAGCAGATGTGAAATCTCCCCACAAGTCGGAGCTGGGCTGGGCAGCTGGGGGGCCAGGGGAAGCAAAGTCCAACAGAGGAGCTGAATGAAGAGGATTGTGGGGTCAGTATTTAAAGAATAACATCGTCATATTAATTTAAAATTTTTTTCAAAAGTTGATGTCTATATATAATTAAAAAAAGATACCAGCGTTAGTGTTAGTCTGCACGGTGGGGACAGACTGCTGTCCTCCAGGGGGTGGCAGGAAACCTCCAGCCTTTGCTCCAGGGGGAGGGGGGAGCAGACCACCACCCACGGGTCGTGCTTTACCTCCACCTGCTTCTTTCTTCTTAATGTTTTGCTAAAAAACAGTAACATCCTGCTCTATCATTTGGTAAAGCCCATTTTTCGCTACCTCAATCCTGTTTTTAAGCAAAGCTTAATATAGAAAAAAAGACCAAAACCACCAGTAAAAACCTTAGGTGTGTGACGTCATTTCTTATAGGGTTAAAGGGTTCAAATGACCACATTTCAGTATGTGTCACGCTGAGGTCGCATTCTCACCCCAATGCTGATCTTGATGGTCTGACCCTCCTTGAAGCTCAGGTCCAGTTTTGGAGCTGCGCTCTGAGAGGCTTCCATGGTCGCAATCTCACCCTCTTGTTTGACCCACCTTTGGAGGTTGACAGCATATTAATTGTCACAAATAAGTCACTGGCTAGAGCCTGCATGAGTCACTGCTGTAGTCAGGTAGTTTTTTAAACGCTATGACAGAAATAAATGATAGGTCTGACTCTGAGCTTAATTGTTGTTATGGTTAGCATCTTTCTTTACATATGGTACCAGTGTGCTTCGGCACACACAAACAGGTGGATGTGACAAATTCTGTTTTGTATACACTGACACTAAACCCCAAAAAGGCAGTTGATAATAATAATTGAATATTATGAATTCTTATGAGACATTATTATCTACTAATGTAAGTATATAGTGCTTTTCCCCCTTTAGTTAGTTATAGTTGTAAAAGGGCTGATACAATGATAAATGATAAAATTCTCACACAGTCACTGGTGACTTACTTAAAATGGTCTTGTAAAGCAACGTTGAAGTCAAATGAGTCCCCGCGGTCAGCAAAACCCATACCGATGAAAGCATGACGTCCTTTAAAAAAAAAAAGACACGTGTACAGAAATTCAGTCAGGAAGCTTCGGGTCTTTTTCGTCACATCTTTGGAAAACACAGACACACACATTCTCTACATGGGTCACTGGGACTGTAAAAAAATGCAGCACAGAAGAACATTTTCTGTGCTGGAGGACATTTTCTAAAATTGTTCCTGTATGTATGAATAATGAACAGATTTACAGCAGTGTGCACAGTTACACAGAGACAGGACTCTGAAGTTGGTGGTCTTACCATTTCCGTCTTCTATCCGGATGACAAAATACCTGCTGGAGTCTGTGACGGCTTCAACTACGCTGCCTGGATACTGTTCGACCGGAGCCTGTGCAAACAGCTCTCCTACAACAAACAAATCGCTATGTTACTTCTCCCACTAAAAGTAAGAGCATGAAAACCACAAAAACAGCAAAGCTTTGGTAAGAATAATAATCAGTGTTGTTCATACGCTGTAACCATCATCATAGTGTCAAAGGCTTGCGTAGTAAACAAAAGTGGAAATATGCTGTTGTCTGTATGTCTAAGACCACTGAAATCCATTGGAAAAAAACATAAATTAAATATAAAACAAACTCACATGTCCAAAAACAACCAGAAAAAAATATCAGCATCTAAAACAGAAAATTTGCCACTGAAAGCAGCTATATTTGGCAGTTGATTTACGTCCGACATAAAAACTATTTACTAGATTAATTCTCTGGCTGCTGCGTGCCTTAGAGAAATGTTACTTTCATGCGTTGACCCCAAACATTACGTGGTTGTGCATGAAAAAACAGATAAATCGACCAAACGCACAATGGCCTTAATTTCAGAAAAAATTACCACTCCAGGATGTAACTGAAATCCTACTGAAATGGCTAAACTCAGATGACTTTCAATCTTGTCCAGAAACATTTAATTCTCAGCTCATCTGGTGTGAATCGGCCACCACGATCTGGTCATCGTTTACCTGTGTTTTTGTCCTCTAACTTGATGTAGGCCATCTTGCCTTTAGCTGTAATTTTCATCCTTCCGCTCCATGCAGGTTCATCCAGCTTCCAGTCGGCGGCCCTGCAAGAAGTAATACATAACTAATAAGGAAACACTCACTCAAGTACAAAAGAGGTTTATGCAATCCTCATGTATCGGAGCAGCTGACCCTGAGTCTGCTTTGGCAGCTGGCTTTCCACACAAGGAGGAAGTGAAATTGAAAGCTGTCAGGGAAAAATAAGAGGAGCTTAAAAATGAGCTCTAATTCTGCTGCTACTTGGGGACAGAAAATCTCCTATTGAGCTGTTAAAATGAGTGCTTATCAGATCTATTGGTCCATTTCTAAGTTGTTTACTTCGGTTTTGCTCCAACAGGAAAGACTAGTTCAAAATAAAAAGTGACACCTGTGGATCCTCTGAGGGGATCAGCAGGCCCTGGGGGGAAACGGTTTCACTCACATTAAACAGGTATTTGTGTACAGTCTGAGAAAAGACCTATACTAACTCTAAATCGTTTCTCCTGTTGACTGTGTCCAGTTCTGTTGTTTCTCAATGAAGAGGCCTCAGTCTTGGAGGACTTTTGGGGACTTTTTCCCCTTCTTAATTCCGACTGCAAGCTTTATAGGGACAACTTCATTTGATCTGAAAATGAGGTGAACTGTAATGAACTAAAAAGGTGTAACAGGGGACAGTCAACCAACTCGAACCAGCATGACAAGTTCCCTTTTTCCTTTGCTAACTTTTACTGACAGCTAACGTTGACACGGACATCCTGCATCCATTACCTGACAGAGCTTAAAAAGCCCCGACATGTGACGATGTCAGATCTATATCCTTTTTTCTGATTAAACATCTAGTTATACGACAACAGGTTTACACCGTAAGTCTAGAGAAATACAGTAAGATCTCTATGTAGGTGTCCTGTTTTTGCAAGCAGATACGCTGGTATTTCTAACTTTAACGGCTACTTTTGGCTTGTTCATCTGGTGTCTAAAGCTTACAAACGCAAGCTATTGAGAGTATTAACAGTCCAAGTAGTAATGACGGTAGAATAATAGACTTTGCAGACTTTTCTTAATAACTTATATATTATGTATTGTAGTTGACAGCTTGGCGTCCGATAATGGATGCACAGCCCAATGATCAACCTGCTAGCTTGGCTCGACTCGTCACCGAGTAATTTCTTACCGATATCCACGGTTAGAGGCCCGCGGTGGGATCTTGTAAACGTGAACCTCTGGCTTTACGCAGAGCATCGACTCATAACTGTTGTCCTCAGCCATTTTGACAAGTTTCACGAACCTAGGCACGACTTCCGACTTTCAATGGGAAGCTATGGCACCGCTCGGCTGGGCTGGAAGCCGCGGAGCTGGATTCAAACAGCGCCCCCTACGGTCCGGATGCTCCAGGGTCGCAGCCCCATTTCAATAACGTCTGTAGAAAAAAAAAGAAAAAGAAGAGAGGGCTTGTGTGTCACTTTCCATTTTACTGGACACATTTAGCGTAACGCTGTTACACTTCATAATGTAATAAGAAGAGTCGGATATTAGCACCCTTTGCAAGGACAGTGAACCAAGCAGCACTCAGGTTTATGGAAACCACGTCTGGGATAAACTCATGGTTTGTCAGAGGGGAAGGGTCCATGGCAAAAATCCTCACATTGTACACAAAGGTCAGGTTTTCCATGTCGCAACTGAATCATTCACATGAGACATTCAGAACAGATGTACTGTATAAAACTGGTGCACTTGGGGGCTTTTTCAGAAGTTGTAGATGACTCAATATCCAAGAGATGGTCCAGTTCCTTTGGACCATCAATGTCCCCTTTGAAAGATTCCCCACCATCCCACTCGTTAGTAAATAAAAGAAGGTAAAATGCGTACAAAATTCAAATGCACACCCATAGCTGTGTTAAATGTGAGCTCTCTGGATATATGCAGACTAATTTTGATAAAATAAACTGGCATAATTTCTTGTTCAACTCCAAAGATCAATGCCCAGTGGTGAAACCTTTGACCCTCAGAACTGATTTCAATCTCTTTAGTGCTCGCTTTGGAAATAGTTGGCCTGATTTTTTTTTCATGCAAAAGTTTTCCACTTTAATCAACATTACAATGAGCAAAATTTTGAAAATAACTAAACGTCAAACTGCGGAAATATACATGGGATAAATTCCTGGGAGACCCTGTAGTTGGCATGTGTGTGTGATCAGTGACTTGCTGCAGAGTGTAATTATCACCAGGATGCGTGTTCACACCAGTGGACGTAAGATTCCTGATAATGATTGTCTGGCACATCTTTGAATTTGTGATTTTAATCACTGACCTGCTATCAAATAATCGGGTCATAGTTCTCTTTAGATTAGAAACATATACAACAAATCATATATGCTGAATATTTTGTGATGTCACCTGTCTGTCAGTATGTTTTAAATCTTTGTTTTTAATTTGTCTTTTAACCTTTTTATGGTGTGCACGTATACAATAAAACTTTTTTTTTTTAAACAATGACACTAATGTACCAGGGTTTTTCATAGAAGACATACAAATGTGTAGCAAGGCTGTCATTAAGAGTGTTTATTAAAGGGTTTTCAAATTTCATTTGTGTTTTTCCAAGATTCACAACAATGACGTCGGATGAGCCTCACTCCACACAGGTCGCTGTGAATGACAACAATGAAGCATCACAGGTAGATCACACCGGTACATGTTGGGTATATGCTCACCAATTTAAGGTCAGTACAAATCCCTTTTGTATCAATACCTGAACCAAATCCCCAGAAAGAGAGTATTCAGAGAATGTATTACTGATATTCTCAGCTCAAATACAGATTAAAAAGATTCCACGTCAATTGTGAAAGTGGAGATCATCATATTACACAAAAATACTGAGACCATAAATTTCTTTTAATCTTCTGCTGAGGTTTGAAATTGCTCTTAGAAAGTGGTGCTGCTGTGCAGATAAAAGTCTCCTGCAGCTAACTGTTCATCATGGTCTCAGTTTGATAAACTGGAAATTCTTTGAAATAATTCAGTATAAAAAAAAAAAAGAAGCACACTGCTAGAATGACTGAATGTGGGTGTGAATTAATCAAAACTCTTGCCATGTGCAGCCACAAACAGTTCCTCAGCATTGTAGCATTTAATCAATTATATCAATAAGCCATCAAAAGAAAAGAAAAAAGAATCCACTAGCAGGTGTATGTTGACAAGTAGGATTCACTTAAGGCATAAAAGGGTCAAAATGCTGAAACCTCCAGTTTTATCATTTTAACAACCACCAGTACCAATAGCTTCTCTGTATTTGATTATATTGATGTTTCTTAATGACATTTACCAAAACCAGACCGTTAAAGGTGGCTTCATCTCAACAGAACTGGTTAAAAGGTGAGTTTTCCAGTATTTATCGAAATTCCGTTTGCAGTTTCTGTCAAATATTTCCCTGACTCAGCAGAGCGCCTGCCAACACTTAGCATAAGACGACAGCTTTCTCCAGGCTCTGCATGATAGTCATTGCTGAATTATTTATAAGTCAACATTTAACACATTAAAAATCCCATCATTAGCCCATTCAGCAAGCTCGCTGTAAGAAACTAGAACTTAGTTGCTTTGATTTTAAACAGCACACAAACACACACACACACATTGCCATGGATGCACAATTCATGACTTTTTCCCAGTGTGATCAAATTTAATGACACCTTAGATAAAGCTTCCCATTGCAGCTAAATCTACTACTGTCTTATGCACAACTGATCTACTCACTTAAATAAACTGCAACAGGAACAAAAAATACTAAAAGAATCAAAACAAAACATCAACTGCCTAAAAAAACTGAACATTTCAACAAAACACAGAGAAAGTCAGGGAAGTAATCTCAAAGTTATTGCTTGATTAAGCCTAAATTTAGTGACACTGTCCTGCCCCAGGCTGGTGGTCGACTGGGCATTTCATTTAAAGCCACCAGTGCCAAACACGGGCCTGTGGACTGTCAAACGCTCTGGTCTCAGCCACTGTCGAGGTCATCATCTACAGTATTAAACACATTATTGAGCGCAGTGCACTTTTACAGAAAAAAGTCCAGTCTGCAAAACTTTCCATCACCTTGTACTCCAGCCACGAATCATACATTCAAGTCTTGGCACCGTTAAGTGCTTCATTTCCGCTGACCCCAACAAACGCCACACACTGACCCGTGCTCCGCCGGTCGAAAGAAGCTCGGCTTCTTCAGCACTTCGGGGGGGGGGGGGATCTCCCGCAGAGTTTTCTTTATTCTCCCTGAAGAAACAAAACACCTGGATGCACAGGCTCACGCCCGCCCAATCGGACTAAAAAAAAATAAAAATTGTAGGGCACGTCATGGTACGTCACGTCACAGTATCACAGTGTGTGTGGCTGCGTGGTTAAAGCCTGTCCAGAGTGGAACAGAAAGGGGTTTCAGAGTGTCGACCTCTGCCAGCCAATGGCAAGATTCCACTGAGGGAATAAAACAAACAAACAAAAAAAAAAAACAGGCAAGAAGGCAAAGATTATACCAAGAGCACAGCAGAGAGAGGGTGGAGGGGTCGACTTAAGTCCGTGCTATGTCTTCATAGTTCTTCACTGTCAAATTTCATGCCACCATCCCACCACTCTGCCCTGGAAATCACTCACACAACCCCTTTATTTTCCACTTGCCATGCCCCCTCAGGGCGCCAGCTCTTTCCTTGTAGCAGACCGCTCCCATTTATCTGCAGAGTCGGAAGCCTGTGGTGCCATCTGGACCGGTGGGCTGGCGGGTAACCTGATTGTTGGGACGAACTGGCTCTGGTTGTTGCTGCACACTCATATGAGCAGCCCTAAATAAATGTGGAGATGCATAAAAACATATTTAAAATTCTATCTACAATTATCGGGTTCCTCATTTCAAATGGTCACGACTAAGACAGTTATGGTTATGAACATAATTGTGCCTCACCTGTCCGGGCATGGACTGTCCTGAGGAGTTTCCTCTGAGGAAGCACTACCTAAAATCCTTCTTCGGGCCTCTGCGTATTCTGCCTCCCTTTGAGCCAAAGACTTTGTCTGCTGAGAGCGACGAGAGGAGGACGCAGGGTTCCCAGCGGTGCCGTTATTGGAAGGACGCTTTAAAATTCGAATTTGAGGTGGCGGTGCAGTAGGAAGAGAGTCATCCTGGATTACAATAGCAGTTCGTACAGGTGAACCAGCAGGTTTCAAACTCGACTTCCTGCAAAGACAAGAAAGTGTGAGAAGGCTACATAAATAAAGATAAATACAAAACAACAAAAAACCATAGTTTTGGCTAATCACATACTTGGATTCCTGATTTATCTTCAACTTGGCCTCAAGTCTTCTCTCTATTTCCTAAGAAAAAAAACATAACATTACATTTTAGTGCTGTCCAAAACATTCAAATCTGATTAACCAAAAGCATTGGCTAATATCAAATTCACCTGGTTTACTGTTGACATTTTTGTGTAGGAGCAATCTGCACCCCACACCGGTGAATTTTAAACACTCGGTGGACACAAAATCAAGCAATACTATTCTCCATTCCTTTCTTTGGACGACCCCCCTTTAATCTAAGGGATATGAATGGTTTTCTTAGTACCACACAGCCTTCTTCATCCTGTTCCCTTATAATCACAATGAAAATAGGACTTCAGTCACAACATTGTCCCCAACGAGCCTTTAGTGCCAGCTTAAGACACGCAAGACGGTGGCTTTTTAAGTAATCAGATTAAAAAAGGTCAGCAATATTGCATAGTTTGAAAGTGGATTTCAGACGGTTTCTCTACAGAATGACGTTCATTCAGAGCAAATCAAACTGGCATGAAGACAGACTAGCCCCCCCAAGTCTGTCTGGACGAAACTGGAAGCCGGGCCCTGGAGGACCAAGGCGATCGAGCTGGTAAATACAATCGGTACATATTCGCATACATAATTTACACACCGGATGCCTGCAGCGTGTCTGTCAATCAGACATGAGCCGTGTTGTGTGCAACTTACCCCGCTGTCCGCTGCTTCCTCCCAGCTCTCTGCTACCTCTTCGTCCTCCATGTTTAACAGGACTTCGGCTGGCTGCCTCTTCGCTCAACCCGTAAATTAAATCCCATCCAAGCAGGGAGCATGTGACGGTGGGCAGCGGCCACGCAGACCTTCCGGGAGCTCTTCTTAGCACCGTTTTATTTATTTATTTATTTGATGGAGGTCAGAAGAAGAAAATCGTAAACGGGCTTCTGCGGTCGCACGCTAGCCTCTTAGCTTAGTGCCCCTCGGTGGGCAAAACTCCCTCTACTGACCGTTATTTTCCATATGGTGAAGCGACCACCTTAGAAAAAGAACTTCGCAACTGTTGCCCGGGCGAAGGAACTGCAACTGTACACCCCAAAACCTGCCGGCTAACTCTGATAAGATTCAAAACTTAGCTTCGCTACACCTCCTAAGTACACCATTTCAGACTGAGAAGGGGAAATGACGTTATAACGTCATTCTGCACTAGTGCCATCAAGTGACCGACTTAACTGCCGAGAAAACCTAGCGCCAAAGACCGTAACTGACTAAAAACGACCACCGTCAAAACCTTCCACGATAACATATCGTAGAATATTAAGCATCAAAATGACAGCAGCCTATAATTCATTCGTTTTTAGATGCTGTGCTGTGACGTGCCTGGCGTTGCGTTCACGGCAGCATAAAGATGAGTTCATTTGGCGTCGGAATTTTGATTAGCAGAGGATAGAGTAAATAGTGGGATGGTGTAGTGTATAAAGGTTATTATTTTCTTCATAATGTAGCAGAATAAAACATATCCGTTTATGTATATTTGTCTTTGAAGACATGTCATGTTCATAAAACGCACGTAAAGAGGATAGTTAGAATTTTAAAGGTGTTCCTGCAACTACCTTACCACAATTAATCCTGTCCTCTTTTTCCCAGTTATCCTAGTCTATTATTCCACATCTGCCATAATGATCAAATGGTTTAAACCATAGCCTCCTTTCTTTATGTCCTGATCCTGATTCCGAATTCTTATTCCAGCTCTTACAAGTAACACATCTGGACAGATCTATTAAAAAGTTCCAAATTCCATTAGATAAATCTTTCCTGCTGCCTAGCCTTCAAACCAGTATAGAAAAGTATACAATAATTAAGAAAATATTACAAAGATTGAAGAAAGACACAAATTGGACGGTTGTTGCAAGAAAAGTACGATCAGAAAGATACAAACCGATCATGATATTTATTTACTTCCACGTGTAAAAAGCAAAGCACAAAATAACAGAGGCTTGACAATCCATAAAATGCTAATTTTTAATACTGGTTTCATAATTTCTTTAATGATTTAGCACCAAAAATTGGTGAGCCAAGAAAGATGCCCCAAACCATGATAAAACTTTTCCCATGTTTTACCACAATGCATCTTCAAAATGTCACTAGAATCACATAATTCCTGAAAACAATCTGTTTATCACATGTGTGTATCATGTATAACATTATGCCAGAATGACCGCAGCTGACATTAAGTATTTTCTAAGCACTTGCTCTACTTTCCTGTGCTTTTTTAAAATCAGCATTTGTGTCTTCCTGTGCCTACGCAAAAGGCCCTACTTAGTTCAATGTGCTACATTTGTTTCAAGCTATAACAGCCACTTAGTTTCTAATCTGCCTGAACCTGCTGACTTTTGTTTTTGCGTTTCCTCTGAGATATAATTTTTTTTATCATAGTTTTAGTTTGGAACACAAATGTATTTAGTTTTTGCTTTTATCCATTCAAAATACTTCTGTGATTACCTGTATTCATTACTGTAAAAAAAAACACACACACACACACACACAAAAAAGTAACTCATAAGAATGTAATTAAGTGAAACAACCCATTTCCTCCTCTCAGGTCATGTGAAAACTAAAGGTAAAGTACAGGAAAAAATATCTCTTTTTCATGTCATATAATTATTTTTTAACTACATTTAGGGATTGCCCACTTCATTTTTATTTCAAAAGTCTGTTTTCTTTTATTGTTTAAAATAATTCTCCTATGACAACAACTGTGGCTATTTTTTACTCACCATAATAAATAGACTACCAAAAAAACAGAGGAGTTCTGATTGATTTCAGTGACTAGGACTTCATAAGTAGGTTCATTATCAACCATTCGTCCTTTTCAGTACAACAAATTGACAGAATTTTAAAACTTTTTTGCTTGAGTAATCCTTACATGAATTGCATCCAAATTCAGAGGACTAGCAGCAGCTGTGGAAGCGGTGTTTAGAAGGAGGACCCACCCTGCTAAGAGACCCGGAGCAGCGCTCTGCGGCGGAGGAGGAAGCGGCTCACAGCGGAAGATGGCGACTGTACGGAGGCTGCAGAGGAATCACCGGAGCTGATACGGGGAAGGAGGAGAGGAAAGAGACGCGTTAGACCGTAGAAAAGATCACGTCTAAAACAACGGTAGACACCAGGCCTCCGCAGTTACACAGGAAAATTGACATTATTTCAGGAGAGGATCCAAGCAGACTATCTGGCATCAAGGGAACACACGCACACACACAGTGCCCTGTTGATGCTAACATTAGCAAAGATTATCAACTGAAGAGAAGACTGGAGATATCAGCTAGCTTCTTAAGGATGTAACGTTATCTGATCTTGGCTGCTGACTTTAAAGGATGACATGTCGACAAGACAATAGCGAGGTGACGGATTTGTATAACTGGTCAAATAAAATCTGTAAAAGAGGCGATATGTGTTGCCGTCAACCGTTAGTCAGATGAAAAAATGGTGTTAGCTTCCGTTAGCTTTGATGCTGATAAGTTAGCCACTGTTAGCCAGCGCTAGCATACATTCACAGAATCAAACGTTGAATTCTTTAACGTGTTGTGGTCAGTATGGCTGTGAAATCGCCATTTTTTACAACATAGAAATCCTCATTTGTTAATTTCAGACAGGATATGTGAAAAGTGTCGTGGATTGTCTTAGTAGCAATAGTTAGCAGCTGAATATTAGCTTTAGCAGTACAATATTTATTTATTATATGATGGCTTGAGATCGCTTAAATAAATGGATATACTAATTCCTAACAACAGACCAAGCTAATAAACTTTCCCTAAGTAAAATATTTGTGAATTGTTCAAATTGTTTCAGCTTTGCAGTGTCATTGGGTTTCGGGGCACTCAGTTTTGTGTAAGGTTTCGTACCCAGGATGATTCAGTTCAAAAGGCATACAGAGCAGTTATGTGGTGGGTAAATTCTGGTAATAAAGTTGTGCAAAATAATTCCAGCACCAGTGTTATAGGCTTTAATAATACAATGGGGTGATTATGCTCAAGAACAACACCCATGCATCTCTTAACACATCTCCCTGTGTCTCAACAGACAATAATGTCCCGTTCACCTGACAATGAAGATGGATACTTTGTTGCCATGGATACAGAGGATGATTGTACAGAGACTCCTGGGATAGGAGAGGAATCGGATGCAAAGATGGGGTCCTGTAGACAAGAAGATAGCATGGATAATGGTGCCAAAGGACAGGGCAGAACCATGATGGAGTTGCCAGAGGAAGTTCTTGAGTATATTTTATCCTTCCTGTCACCTTACCAGGAGCACAAGACTGCTGCACTTGTATGTAAGCAGTGGTATCGTCTCATTAAAGGTATGTTTGTGTAATTATGTGCAAAATTGAAGGGGGTTGGGTTTGGAAAAGGGTGGGGGCTATTGTTTACCCCCACCCCCATTGTTTGTGCAATACTTTGTAAAACCCAGTATTTGGAACCCTGAAATCCAAACTAGTCGTTAAGAAAGGCTCATTGTCTGGAAATGAAATCACCGTTTCTGTGTCTATGTTTCTTGTTCACATTTCTTGGAACTAGGGGTTGCCTATCAGTGTTACCATGGTTTTTTGAGAGCTGTCCAGGAAGGAAACATCCAGTGGGAAAGTCGCACATACCCATATCCAGGGACCCCGATCACTCAGCGCTTTTCACACAGTCAGTAAATGCTGCTTCAATGAGCTTCACATCATAGTGTTATCAGTGAAACCATTGTGTCCCACGACACTGATCAAATTTCTTATAATGTTTGAGTGAACCGTGGAACAATTTTTTATTAATTTGGTACTTTTATTATTTTTGCTATCCATGGCTACAGCTAGTCGTGTCAGTTAATGCCCACTGAAATGTTTAGAAACATACCAAGCTGTTTCAACAGTTGATTTATTGAAAATAATCTGCATCCTTCTGTTTTTACACAGACACAATTTCACAGTTGGAAAAAAAGATGACACAGTTATCAGATGATCATTTACAAATAGTGTAAACAATAACAGTTGAAAGCACATATATTTATATAGGTTATTTTTTTCCCATCTTGTGTTAAGCATAGGATGATAATTGACAATCTACTATTAATATGTTGTTGATTCACCTTCTTTTGGATGTTGCAGGTGCGTGTTATTATGACTCAAATCAGTCCATGTATGTGTTTGGGGGATGCACTCAAAGTAGCTGTAATGCTGCCTTCAATGACTTGTGGAGACTTGATCTCAACAGTAAGGAGTGGATCCGTCCCTTAGCCTCTGGTGAGATATTTGCAGCATCATCAGTATCAGGAGCTGTTTTGTTTTTTCTTCTCTTCTGGTATATCTTCATTTTAATGTCTGCCTCCGCTAACCAACATCTCATTTGGTTTGTGTTAGATCAATAATAGATAGAAAGACAACACTGTGACTACAATAGTTAGATATATAATAACGAGTACTCTGTATTTAGGAAGAGGTTATAAAACCAGACCACTTGAAATTAATTTGAATGCAGGTTGTTTTTCTGTTTCATTTACATTTTATTGTTAGCTGAACAGCCTATAGTGCATTTTTATGAAACTGGAGACTGTGATTAAGAATTCTGTACTTGTCATCTCTGCAGACAGCATCAGTGTGAGAAATGCTACCTACCTAACATTTATTCTTGCACAACGCTTACTTTGTTTAACCTACAACTTCAACACAGAGTGATACGACAGATAGATTATTATACAAAACTATTTTGACATGAATTGGACTATTAAGAAAACAAACACTGTTGAAATTTTCATTTTCAGGGTCTTATCCATCACCTAAAGCTGGGGCGACTCTGGTAATGCACAAAGATCTGCTCGTGCTGTTTGGGGGGTGGACACGCCCCAGCCCTTATCCATTGCATCAACCAGAGAGGTTTTTTGATGAAATCCACACCTATTCACCATCAAAGAACTGGTAAGGTGGACTTCGGTGGATTAGATTGTAGTTTTGACAAATGATGAGAAAGTTAAAGGTTTTTTAATGTATTTTCTGCTGTCTCAGGTGGAACTGTATAGTTACAACACATGGACCTCCTCCTATGGCGGGCCACTCCTCGTCCGTTATTGGAAACACCATGGTAGTGTTCGGTGGATCATTAGGAGCACGTCAAATGTATGATATGTTCATTCTAAAAAAATATTGAACAAGTTTTTGGGAGTGGAAGGAGATTGTGTGTATTGTGTTTAAGCCATACTCAGCCCGTCCGCAATCTCTTCTTTATTGAGCATTTACTCTTTAATTCTTGTATGTGATTAACTGTTTTGCATACATTATATCTTGGGAATGTCCACAGAGTTAGGTCTGAACATTTGTTAGTTTTTAAACACAGGAAAAAAAACATTTCGACTTATTGACGCTTGTGTTTGAGCTTATTAGGCTGCGCTGCTCTCACCCCATGCAGACTGAACAGTTATCAGTATTATTAATCCATCTTCCAAAAAGTGAAAAAGGCATGCTTTTGGTCAAATGCTGGTTGTTTTGGAACCTCCTTGAAACAGGAAGCATACAATTATGACAGGAAAAACATTACTCATAGCAACTTACGTCAGAGATCAGCACACTCTCATTTTCATTGAATTAGCTGATAATGTGCAGTTACCTGCTTTGGTCTCTAAAGGGCTGGCATGGATGGTACTCTTTCTGTCTGTAAACTGTCTCATCAAAGTTTTAGCTCCAGAGTTTGTATGTGAATAAGAAAAGTTTCTGCTGTTGTCCCTCATGATGTTTTTTTTTTCTGTTCTGTATACTTTGGTGTTTATCAGGAGTAATGAAGTCTGGGTTTTGGACTTAGAACAGTGGTCCTGGTCCAAACCCCCCATATCAGGCCCATCACCCCATCCACGAGGAGGCCAGTCACAAGTAAGAAGGTTTAAATATCTGAACCTTGACTGATGAATCAGTTCCTGTATTTAGCAGGCTGTAAAGTCTATTGATAAAAAGGTGGGGAGATTGTTTTTTTTGTTTGTTTGTAACTCCATGTGTTCACAATAGACTTTAATAGAGTTTAAGTGTAAGTGTGAGTTTTTATAATGCACTCAAAATAACAAACTTAACTTTTTCCTGTCAGATTGTTATTGATGAGAAGACTTTGCTCATCTTAGGAGGCTGCGGTGGCCCGAATGCAGTAAGTACTATTACATGTGATTAAAGCAGGTTTTTACCTAAGAGCTGTTTAGACTTACCGCTCTGTGCTGTTTGTCAAAGCTCCTCAAAGATGCCTGGCTCCTCCACATGGAGGCCCCAGCCTGGAGGTGGCAGCAGCTGCAGGTGGAAAACGAGGACCACGGAGCCCCGGAACTATGGTGCCACCCGGCCTGCAGGGTAAGAGTTTGACTCATCCGGCAGTGTTTGTTCATTTACTGGTCTCTAATTGTTTCATTTTGTTTTTTTCTTACAACAAGGTCGGCCAGTGTGTGGTGGTTTTCTCACAGGCTCCTTCTGGCCGTGCACCGCTCAGCCCAAGTCTTAACTCTAGACCCTCCCCCATAAGTGCCACACCCGCCCCTCTGGGCCCCGAGCCGCCTTCCCTGCGCTCTCAGTCTCCCGTGCGGAGCGGGGCTGCTGGTGTTGTCCTGGGAGCTGCTGAAGAGGCTCCATGTGTGAACGGTCGATGGGGCACTCTCAGACCTCGACCCTCAGCTAGAGGCAGTGCCAGAGATGGGAGCCCATCCTCCTCCCAACAGCAGTCGCCTTCACAGGGCCCAGACAGCCCTCCCCTTCCTCCCCTCCCCCCTCTAATAAATGGCTCCTCTCCCTCTCCTCGGACCAGTCCAGCACAGGCTGCATCCCCTCCCTCTCGCCCTCACCTGCCTGCCTCCACAGACTATGGCTGGGAGTCTCCACCCTCTGCTGCTCCGCACCCCGAGGTTCCCAGCACGAACGGCCTGCACACGCCCCCCTCGGGCTCCCCACTCACGCCTCCGGGAGCGGTTTCCCCTGCTGCCTTACGACGTGGGCTGGAGGCAGTGAAAAACAAATCTTCCTCATCGTTACCATCGTCATCTTCGTCGTCTTCCCTTCAGACACAGGGGGCTTCTCCAATAGGAGGAGGAGGAGGTGGAGGAGGGGGAACAGGTCCTCCTGGAACCCCCCCATCTTCATCCTCCAGCCCGCCACAAGCTGTCGGAGCTGATGGACACGCTATCCCGCCAATAGCGCGGCGCCTCGGCCACCACCCGCCGCAGAGCCTGAACGTAGGAAAACCTCTGTACCAGTCCCTTAACTGCAAGCCCATGCAGATGTATGTGCTGGACGTGTCCCGCGCCAAATCTGCCGGAGTCGTGTCCTGGAGAGTCTACGGGAACGGAACCCCGGCGGCAGTAACGGGGCCTCCAGAGACCAGCCTTCACACCGTCGTACAGGGCAGGGGAGAGCTCATCATTTTCGGGGGCCTCATGGACAAAAAACAAAATGTGAAGTACTACCCTAAAACCAACGCCTTGTACTTTGTACGCGCTAAGAGGTAATGCATCTGCAGGTGTGATCGGGCAGACAGACGCTCCGCCCTGTGACCACATGAGGGAACTGACACACAAAGCCTTTTTTTCCTGTAGGAAAGATTATTAAAAAAATAACATAATCATTGCTAGATGTTTCACTTCAGAAATTCACTATTGTCCCTTCTGCCTCCTGCAAGCGTTCAAAAGGAAACACTTTAACTACACTTTGATAAAAATATTTGCTTGAATGAAAATTGTGACTGTAAGTTTGTGTGTGTGTGTGTTTGTGAGTGCAGTGATCAGAGAGAATTTTTTAAAAAATGTTCCCCAAAAGACAAACAACCGAACGAAAACATTTCAGTTTTTGTGTCATCATCTTCTGAGCTCTTGAAAATGGAAAAACTGGAAGAGCAAACGGTTGACAGAAACTGTTGATGACTACCTTTCTTTTGTATCACTCTTTAAGCCTGCAATGTTTACATTGAAGAGCGTGTGTGTGGGTGTGGGTGTGTGTGCGTGGTGGTGGTTACAAGTTGTTGACTATTGTGTGTCAGGGTCTGTGGTGGCTGAGAGATGGCACTGTACTATAAACATAGTTAAACAATAAAGGCCTCCGTGTCTGCTCTGTCACAGTCTGAAGGTTTCTGTGCGTCACAGCTGCTTTTCTTCTCCCCGTTGATAGGAGCAGTTTAAGGAAATCATTAGAATTTTGTTATTATTGTAAATCACAGCATTAAATGTAATATAAAGTCAGGATGGGTCTGGCTTAAGATTCATTCACCCCCTTCCATTTGCTTTATAGTTTATAGTTTCTTTATCCCAAATTGGACTAAATAAAGTGCTTGCTCATATATATGGACACTTAAGCACAAAACATCGGAGCTCGTATCTGGGGTTTTGTAGCCATCAGGTAACTGGCAGCATGATCTAAAATATGAATATGGTAATCTGGCATTTAATATCATAGAGGGTTATCAAAATTTGACTAGGAATATTGGGCACAAATGGGACGCTTTTCTCTGTACGTGTACAGCAATAACCAGACTGATTTACCACCTACGCAACCAGCTGTTTTGGTTTATTACATTTTCGTTTCTGGTTCTTCTTGGGGAGCTGTCTCTTAGCTCGGGACCTGAACTATTCACTTTGTATTAGCTTTGGTACCAATTCTACCCTTAGTGCGAAAAAGTTAGCAGAATATTGTTAAGATAATATGGAAACTATGTTTGTGTGTCTCTATGTGAGCCTGTGATGGACTGGTGGACCGTCCAGGATGTACCCCGCCTCTCGCCCACAGACTACTGGGATACGCTCCAGTCCCCCCGCAACCCCATTAGGGAATAAGTGGTTATGATAATGGATGACTGGATAATATGGAAACTATTCAACGGGATTCCCAGGGTCAGATCTATTATGAATTGCGAATCTCCATTTTTTTCTTCAAAAAGGTATCTACCAGTACTTATACGAGAAACATATAGGTCTCCATAGACTAGAAGGTCATTTTATGTTGGGAAAAGGTCCAGGACACAAGTAAAAGAGTGTGATTTGATGTTTTTGTTACCGACTTAAATATTCTCATCTGTACCATATTGTTTAGTTTCTACTCTTGGTGCCTGTGCTGCTTGCAGCCTCTAGTGGCTGCAGGCAGCACCAGCTGCTCTGAGTTTGTCTTTGAGAAAACACATTTAGACTAAAACAAAAAAACTCCAAGCAATCCTTTAACATGAACAAATCAGCCACACTACTGTTGTGTATTAGAATTGTTTTTCAGATCTAAACATATATGTAGCATACAAGGTAGTAAAACAGTTGTGTTGAATGGAGGCGAAGGTTTTGGTTTGTTCATTTTTTTCCTAGTTTTCATCCAGATTATACAGTTTTCAGTGGGTCAGCTTTGTTTTGACACCCCTGTCCTCCTTTCCATTAAACTCTCCACCCCCTCTATTCAAAGCACCACTAACCTTTTACCCAGAGAGTTCCTATAGGCCTAGAACAAGGGCAGTACACCGCAGAGCCCGCTGATTGGTGCATGCTAAGGACTTTGGTGAGGTGGCAAGCAAGACTTCAACTGGATTGGCTCTGATTTGAGGATGAGGGTGGAGAATTTGACAATGAGTGTGCTGAAGACACATGTTTACAATGATGGGGGACTGAGGTAGCATGGAGCTGCACTGAACACTGTAAGTTTTTTTGATGACGGTACCAGCTTCCAAAAATTCCACTTACACAAGTTCTTTAGTTAGTTTGTGTCTTAAACTTGTTGTCCAGCTGCTGTCTCTGTGCTGATGAAGTTTTTGAGCTGTAGTGCGCATGTGAATGGCTGGAAAGTTAAGCAGCAGGAAGTACTGTCCAACTCATTTCATGTCTGTCATGTGATTAGAAATCCTGTTGGTGTCTCTTCAGATTTCCTGTCACCTTCTCTTACAAAACAAAGATGTCCCTCCTCTTTAGCAGGGCGAGGCCTCTGTAAATGCAAACAAAACGTATGATTAGAGAATTGTTTCTGTAGTCATGAAGAACTTGTCTTGCAGATGGTGCCACGCTTGAGAAAACTGGCAATTGAGAGCGCTAACAAGCGTTACTACAGATGAACTCCAGACAGGGGCGGTATCCTGCTGTGTCAGAAGAGAAATATGTCAACCTGGTTGCAAATTATCCCAACAGCTTAAAGCATTTTGTTTGTGACCTCGCTGTACTATTCTGTACCAAGTACAATACACACTGCCCCACTTACTGATACACAGGAAGAACTGTAAGGACAGACTGTGCAGGTCACTCCCAGGGATGACCAGCGCCCAGCTGCTGAACTCCACAACCAAAGAATCGGTGTTTGGCGGTGAGCCCTCCCACAGGATGGCATCAGCCACGGTCCCCCAGAGTGTTTTCAGCCCCTCACCCACCACTCCGGCTGTCTGGCCTCCGCTGGATTTCGCCCTGGGTGCTCTGGCCTGCTGCGCCGCCTGTGTGTTCACCAACCCGCTGGAGGTGGTGAAGACCCGCCTGCAGCTGCAGGGGGAGCTTCGGGCTCGGGGGTCCTACCCGGTCCACTATCGGGGGGTCTTGCAGGCCCTGTGGGTGGTGGGCCGTACGGACGGGCTCAGGGGTCTGCAGAAGGGGCTGTCAGCTGGACTGATCTACCAGGGGGCCATGAACGGAGTGAGGCTGGGCTTTTACTCCTACTGCGAATCTCTGGGTGTGACCCGGTTCCACGGGGGGAGTCTGCTGTCAGGGGCTGGAGCCGGAGCTCTGGGGGCCTTCTTTGCCTCTCCTGCCTACCTGGTAGGTTTGCTGAAGTTTATCCCTTTTGACTGCAAGTTTTTAAAATTGAAATTTTATTTTTTATTTCCAAATATGACATAGAAATACAATGATTATCAGTTTAACATCACATTATCCATGTCTGTGACAGAGATTACCTTCTCAAGCATTTCTATGAAAAGTACTCTCTGTATCAAAAGCTAGGACTATACGGAAAACGCTGAGTTGATGAAAAATGTGATGGTATTGCTTTTCCAACTTTCACTTCCTTCCAAACAGCATGGGGGACATTTTTCTCTTCAAGTTCAGCTTATTTGAATTAGTTGGTACACATCCATTATTATATTTAGGGGCAGGGACAATGCAGAGCTATGAATGAAAAGGCAAAAGAAGACCTTATTTCAAAGAAGTAATATGTCCAGATGATTGTTATCACTATTTGTTACAAAAGTAGCATTTACAGGAGACTTTGATTGTCAGTGGAGCAAACGACGACAGAGACTCCCCAGTTTTTCTTGAAGAGCATGAAATGATCATTGAAACATCTGTAAACGAAATTCCTCACAGAAAGCAGAGATTTGCATATTTATTCCTCAATAATTTACCGATATTAGTTAATGTAGTCGGTAAATGATTCTGCGAATGGGACAAAAAACATTCAGAAAAGTAAAGGCTTTGAGAAGCTGGGATCTCAGATCTCTCAGATTAAATGGTGTGTTGCTGTAAACACATGGATCCGAGAGGAGGCAAGAAACCTCTGGCAGGCACCAACACATCATTATGTTTTCAAATGCCACTTAAAGTATTAATTTGCCTTAAGAAGCGTTATTTTCACTATCTGAGATGGACCACCACAGAGTAAAAGTTTTACTGTGGTCAGATGAATCCGATTTGGATATTACTTTCGAGAAGCAATGGATGATGTTTTCTTTGCACCAGGGATAAAAAGGACTACCCATTGGTGCTATGTGGCTCAACTGGTTTAGCTGGCAGTCCATGCACAGAGAATTTAGTTCCTTATCACACCTGGCCTGGGCTCGGAAAACATTCAGTTTCATAGATGGAAGACTCAGATGTCTTTCATCTATTTTTGTCCAGAACAAATGTTTTTAAGGAGTTCAGAATGTCATTCCACTTTGCATTTCACTCCTCAGACAGGTGCCACTCAGATTTGTCCCACACAGAAAGTACATGAGTACACACTACACATGCTCAACAACCTGGCAAGGCCGGAGCCTCCTGTAATTTTTTTGCTCTGAACACGCTTCCCCATTAACACCAGCTTCAGATAGCGATGTCTTATGATTTACTGCGCTTTCTATAAATGCCCCCTGACTGTCTCTTTTTACATGACTGGAGTAGTGTCACAGTTGTTTTTCTGGCTCAGCTGCCGCTCCATTCCTTCTGAGCTTTTTGCACTGTCATGGAAAAACAATATTGTGTGGTGACATGTCGGTTTGTATCTATGTCTCTGGATAAGCTTCCCACGTTGTTTCATTAGCTACTGGCCAATACATACATTATCTCATGTTCCTTATCCATGCCACCAGCAGGGTGAGGGTGAAGGTTATTGAATTTACAACCTACAAGATCCCGTCAGAAATAAAGAGGTAGCGTTTTCTTTCTAGGGTTTAAATCCTGCTTTTAAAGTACATCTTCCTGGTTTTTGTACTGTTTTATAGAAGTTATACGGGTGCATATTATGTAAGTCATACTGTTAAACATTTGCAGACATGCCTGTAGCTCTTAAATAATTCATCCTGACAACTGACACTTAGATTTTACGACCCAGTGGATCTTGTTTTTGTCTGTTCTTTAAACCACGGTTAGCACAGTATTATGGTTTAAAAAATGAACAGATGAATAAAACCTATGGCTTTGTTTTCTTGGTAGGTAAAAACTCATCTGCAGTCTCAGACTGTGAACACCATAGCAGTGGGACACCAGCACAACCATCTGGTAAGAAATACATGTACCAGGATCTGGGCTGGATCGTAACTACAAACTGTTTTATTGAACATGTTCATTTCATCAATAAAGAAGCCTGGACAACTATTTTATGAGCTTTTAGTTTGAATCTAAAGTCTGTCTAAGGTTCTTCATGTTATGTTTGAAGGACAATGAAGGAAGGAAGATAGTGATCGATCCTGTGTTTTGTAACTATGCCACCTCAGGCCAACTACTTGTTTGTAGTCAGCCATGAGCACTGACAAGTTTACACAATATGTTTCTAGTTGAGGATGAATAAAAAAACAGAAATATAACATTGATTTTTTTCAAACTGCCATTAATCTAACGGCATCATATTAATGATAATTATCAATATTGTCATTTTAATTATGATTATTGATATGGGTTTATTTCACTGCTATTACTCAAGATTATATGAATTAAAATGTGTATTGATATGCAAAAAATGTTAGAAAAAAAAACAATATGTGCTGCCTCCACCCATCTGTGCTTTCATATTTCAGGGAGTGTCTGATGCCTTTGTCACCATCTATAGAAGAGAAGGCCTTATTGGTCTTTGGAGGGGTGTGAATGGAGCTGTGCCTCGAGTCATGGTGGGATCAGCTGCCCAGCTGGCAACCTTCACCTCAGCCAAGGAATGGGTGTCACATACGCAGGTAAGTGCAATAAACCCCAACCATTTTCCAGAACACGGGACCCATCAGACACCATCTGTCGACAGTCAGATAGTCATCTGTTTCCTCTCTTGCAGTGGGGTAACTCGAACAGATGGCTAACGGCGCTGATAGCTGCCGCCATCAGTGGAGTTGCTGTAGCCATCACCATGACACCATTTGACGTTATCAGCACGCGGCTCTACAACCAGCCAGTGGATGAGTTCCACAGGGTGTGTTTGAATGACTCCTTTCCTTTAAAATGGACCTAACCTCACACAAGTTTTTAGGGTTTTCATATATCAAATCTATCAGTGCATTTAAAAACAAAAGTGTGGACTTATGTTGGTTTTGTCTGCTTTGTAGGGGCGCCTGTATCAGGGGTTTTCCGACTGTATGCTGAAAGTGTGCGAAGCCGAGGGCCTGCTGGGCTTATACAAAGGAATGGGCCCTGTCTTCCTTCGCCTTGCTCCACACACCGTGCTTAGTATGCTGTTCTGGGATCTGATGCGGCAGCACGCAGTAAAGGACAACTAGAGTTTGAGAAGAATCTGAACCAAGCAAAAACCTGCAAACTGTGTACCTGAGTGGATTCTTTTAAGGATAACTTTCCCTTTATGTAGGGAAACAGTGTGACATGGATATCTATATTTTTCCTTTCTAGTTGGAACTAACATGTAAAGACTGGTGAAGGACAGCCTTTTGGCTGCGACCAATAACTTCTTGAAGTTTTGAGTTGATCTACTCTGGACCAAGACAGAACCTAGCACACAATTGCCTTTTAAGATGGAAAATAGTTGTGTCAATTAATTTGCACAAATTAACTTTGAAATCAAAACTCAGTCTAACGTGAAGTTGTGGAACGTTGGAATTGTTGGGAACAGCCAAGCCATGTACTCCACTTTAAGTCATTTGGCTAATGCCTTTCAGTTGTGTATTTTGATTTAGTAAATGAATCAAAGATTCATATAGAACATATCAGCTTTCTAAAATGCAAAAAAACAAAACGCCTCTCTTTTGCTTTCAGTGAGTGACATTCTGCTTCAGTAGGCACTGAAGAAAAAATACACTCAAAGGCACTTAAAAAAGACCAGGCTCAAGTTGCATGAATCATACTGAGAATCTGCCATCAATATGAATTTTCCAGAACAGGTTTTAACTCTCAATACCTCAATGTATGTATTTTAAATGGATTTCATCGGCCTCTAACAGATAGGCTTGTCAGTAAAGAGTTCACAACAGCACATGTCTGGATGACAAAAAATGACCTATCTCTTCTATGAAAACAAAAAAGTCTGATGAGATTTTAAAAGAAAACACTACCTGGAAAGCCTGGACTGTAACTTTGTCAGACTTTTAGTCAACACTTTTAATCCAGGCATCTAAACTGCAAGAATAATTTATAATAAAGATGTTATTTGTTAAATAAAAGTGTTACGTGTGTTTATATGTCTTTTAAGGTGGAATTAGTCGAATACACTATTTACTATATGTTAGATAGCTGTACAAATGATATCATTTGAAAATGTGGAAACTAAATTGATTAAAAAATAATAATAAAATAAGAAATGGGTGAAAAAACCTAAGAAGTATATATCCTTCTACAGGCTCATCAATAGTTTGATTGTTTACCAATGTTGGATCTAATTTACTCATTGCAATTGTCATGGGGGTTTTCTTTGGATCTTGTTTAGACTGTTATTTTACTCTAAAAATACAATCATCATTCAGTCACTTTCATCAAAGAATGATTAGAATGATAGCTTCAGGCAATTTACATTTAACCTTTGGACCCCAAGAAGCATGGCCAATCAGCAGGGAAAAAATCCATCCATTATGTCTTTACCAAAGGTCTGTCTAAGAGTTTTTCAGTATTGACTTATGTGTATTTTGTGGAAAGGTTTGAGTTTAAAGTAGCATGAGTAGGACCTTATTTGACTGTCCCACTCAAAAAGGTGTTAAAAACCCATGAAAATGTTTTTCTCGTGCTCCTGGATCCTGGAACTCTTTGAATGGACACCTTTTAATTCAAATCCAATAGACAGCTTTTTTCAAGGTCAGTTTTCAACATGGTATTGTTATTATCGCAGTCACTTTTTTGGTCATTATCTTTAAAATATTTTTGCAATATAGCCAGTAAAGCATACTGTTAGCTTTAAGTCAAATATTGCAATTTTGTTTGTGGTGTTGTTTGTGTTGAAAAGGACTTGTCGGTGCATGTGGAGTATCAGTTCTCTACAATCTTTTGAGAGTTTACTACTTCGTTCAGACACACAGGTGAGACAATATTTGCAAAAGGGGAAAGTGAGCATGAATTTCTGGGGTAGTTATGAGTTATTCTCTGTTTCATTTCCTACAGTGATTCTAACACCGACAATGGAAGCAAACAGATGTTATCCTCATCAGGATATTCTTTAAGAAGGAATTGGAGAGCAGCTTTCCAATTCTGGTGCCTGACCTTCGTCCTATCACTGGTGGGCCCGAGGGTTTGTTCACTTATAGTGCTGGAGTTTTCACTCAGAGCCATTTCTGCTTGGGCATCAGCAAGACTAGTGAGTTCTTCACGTTGACAAGAAATTGATCTAACAGGACAGCTAATGGTTTGTGCTACGTGTTGTAGCTGTTGCTAATTTTTCAAACATGCTTCTGTATCTGAATTCAGGATGCTGGCGCAAGAGGTCAAGATGTGCTCCTAGTCCAGTGTCAGTTTTCCCTGGGCTGCAGCCTCACTTGTACCCTGGTTTTCCTCCATCAGGGGGCTCCACACAGCTCCCTCAGCTTGTTTTTGGCAGCTGCTCTCAGCTGGGCTCTGGCAGCCTACAGCAGCAGTCTGTTGAGCCATGTGGTCAGACTCTTCCCACTGCATAGCAGCAAGCATTACTGTGGAAGGTGCATCAGCCTGCTGACCTCCGGACACAATTTGCTGGCTTCGCTGCAAAGAGCGGTTGTCTTGGCTTTTGCTGTAGGGACTGTGGCTTCCTCAGCTACAGTTTTTCACCACTTTTTGTCCCACAAGGATGCTATAAAGTTCTGGACTCCACTGACGCTCTGTTACACTATGCTGGTGGTATACACTCAAGGTGATGGTCAGAGCTGTTGCGGGATCGACTTTTAATGAAAAATTACAGTGTGTTGATTTGAATGAACGACTTGAAAGATTACCTCATCTAGTCTGCATAAACTAAGTTAGAGAATTTAGAAATCTCAGAAATGAACAGAAAGTTTTATGAATTAAAAAAAGTAATTCATTGGCCATTGAGAGATGATGGAGAATGTGAACCGACAAGTACATTTTTAACTTCTTTAAAAAAAATCCAAGCAATGAACTAGCCATCATAATTGTGAATACATTTATATTTGTGGTATAAACTTCAATTGAAAAGAGTTAACCCACCAGCTTGAAGGTTGGATCTTTTATGTTGTTTGAGTATCTAAAAGAAGAAAATAAATTAAAAGTAAATGCTGGGCTAAAATTAACAATTAAGTTTAAGTCTTGGCACTAAGGATTCTTAATTAACATGCAAAATGACAGCTAAAAACCATGCGAACATATGGGTTAAAAGAACGGCTGTGGAGCTGTTAACAGGAATTCTTATCCAAAAGTTTCAATAAGCCGTCAAAAAGTATTAGCTAAATGGATATGACTAAAATGCAAGTATGCATTACTGGCTAATGTATACCTGCCAAAGGGTAACGTTATGAACACTACGTGGATAAATTCAAGCACAAGAGCGCACAAGTAGCACAAGTAGCTGCTAAGTGGTAGATAGAAACAATTTCCAAGACCCTTTTAAATTATTTTAAGAATTATCTCAATTTGTGTTACACTGGAGGTTTTTCAGCAAAGATTACAAGTCAGTAGGGATAATATGAAACGGAGGGTGCACTGTTTTAGAAAATGAAAATGTTCTAAGATAGCCAAATTAATTCCCATAGCCAAGAATAGTAAATAATTAAAGAGACATGTGGTCAGTGCAGGCAACACAATGAGAGAAAGCCATATTCAACAATGGCGACACAAAGAGGTAGACAAAGACGTTCTAGGAAGGGGAAAAATACATCAATTCTGATTAATGATATCTCACTGTAAAGGGCTGACAAAAGCTGTGCCAAAAATGAAAAAGAATTATATAAAACCCTGCCTGTGTTTTACAAAAAAAAAGGAGCCACAACCATTAGGCCTCCTGAGCTTTGACTAGTTTTTACTTTTTTCTTTTATTGATAGAGGATCAGAAAGGCCCAGAGACCCTTTTGCATGCTGTGGTGTTGAGACTGGGAGGTTTGCTGGTGCTCATGATGACAATGGGCCACTGGTCTGATGTTCTTCACATCCTCATCACGTTCCTGGGAGAAGCCGCCTGTCTGATGCCCGCTCAAGATCTACTTCAGGCTGCGCTTAAGGTCTATCTGACTCAAATCATTCAATTTCCCCTGTTTTATTGGGTTTCTGCCTACAATATGTATTTATAATGATGCTGTTTTAGAACATTGATTATATAAATGCAAAGATAACAAAAACATTTTTGGGATTCATTTTCAGGAAGAAGAAGAGACCACCTTGAGAAATGACGAAGACAAGTCTAGTCACAATTCAAGCTCCAGACGGAAATTTTTAAATGATAGTTAGGTGCGCTTCAACAAATTGCCTTTAATACCAAATACAACCTTGAATTTCCACATGTGCAACTGCTCACAGTTGCCTGCAATAAAACGATCCAATGACTAAACCTTTGCTTTATTTTTTCTGATTAAGACACATAAACTGAGGACAGTCTGAGATGATGGCTAACAGTCATGAAAAAAAAAAGTTTGATGAAAAACCTTTTCAGGTTATATAGGGATGGAAAGTATTGAAATATCAGGCACGTTTTAGATATGTTCGCACAAGAGGACCTCAGTGTGCTAATAATTGTGACCATATGCTAGCAGCTAAAGAGGCATTTCCACCTATTTTACTCATTTGGAGTTCACAGGGAAAGGCTTTCTCAATTGCTTTAGTTACACTGTTTCATGTTTGTGTCTTTGAACTCAAAACTACACCACTTAAACCCCTGAAAGTTTTATGCGCATGAGTAAAATCATGCCTTGGCATCATTTGCCTTGATAAAAAAGCACTCTTCCGCAGACAGCAGCTCGATTAACGAGTTTTTCAAATTCAGACTGGTCTACATGGGTTCTAAAACCAGAAGAATAACTTAAATCTTTGTGATCTTGAATAAGATGATTGATTGACCAAAACAAAAAAATAGTTTGTGAGTAACTTCTCAAACTTTTTAAGTGCACATGGGATTAAACAGTATTGTCCTAAGTTTGCATGACTTTTTCTCATACTCTGGCTTGGGAAACTTTAAACTGTTTAAAGTCTGAAAGTTTAAAAGTCTTCCAACTATAAACTCACCGCAGCGTATTTGTAAAAATTCTATTGTTTCCCATCTATTGTTTGTTTCTTCCTTGCTGTCCAGCTTCCTTTCATTCTTTGCAATCTCCTTTCATTCCCACAGAAAAAAACGGGCAATAAAGTCAGTTTACTTTGTGCTGTTGCTAAGTTAGAAGTGAAAAGTCATGCAGTTAAAAGCTTCTCAGCATTTAATGAGGATTTTGCCTGGTGGAGGTTGGCTTGTGGAGGTCTGGGGATTGTGTCATCACTGGGCATGCTCTCTCCTGCAGCCGTGACATCACTGTAGCATTCCTTTCCATAGAGCTGGAACAACAGAGACCCCCATCACTCTCCTCAACACCATCTCCTGTTAACCCTCTCTGCACATTCCTGACTCGCTCCTCTTTTACACAAACCCTCATAATACCAGGAGAGGTTGCTTTTTCACTCCATCCTCCTTTTTGGCTTTTTAAAACCTGGGCCTCACAAGACCTGGCCCCACAAAGTTAACATAATATTTGCTGATCACATATCTGATATAACGAGATCCCAGCGCGCAGACCCCTGAACTTACATAACAACACCCTCTCTTTCAAAAAGCTTCAACTCAATGAACTCTTACGCTGCTGCTCCTCCACATCACCCAAACTTCACCTGAGGAGTCTGATGAGGAAACCACATACTAAGATCACGCTGTGTGTTGTGGTCTGGACATCTGTGAGGCCCAATTGAAACTGATGCCATGGGACTCTGATAGTGAGTCAAGGCAAAAGTGATATTATGTTGTGGGGGAAGGGAAAAAGGAAAGAGGGAGAAGAAAAAGGAGGCAGACCCAATGAGGGAGGTAGGCAAAATAAGGCTTACAGAACAATAAGGCAGAGCGGAGCGAAAGAGAGAAAGAGGACAGTTAGAGATAGAGCTGCTAAGAAGGGCTCATATAATCACATCCTGCTGACACGCAGAGAGATAAAGAAGTGGGCTCTGTCCACATGAGGGGTAAAAGCCTTGTTCTGCAATAGTAAAAGGGCTAAATCTGTACTTTGGTATGACAGCGCAGAAGTTGCACAATTTACTGCTGGTGTGTTTTTGCCAAGTTTTCATAGCAGATGAATGTGTCATGTTTTTTTACTGAACATGCCAGAGATTAACTGTTCACCTTTTACGGTCGGGAGGGACATGGTATTGTCATTCAGCCAGAGAAGGAGGAGGAGTTGATGGCTGGGAGGGTGGGAGATAAAGGAGGAAAAGGAGTGGCTTTCTGCAGATTTGTAGTCATCCGTCTCCACCAGAAGTCTACTCTCAGAGGCAGCTCATGGGAGGGAAAATAACCCAGGGGTTTTGAGATACAGAGTAGGAGAAGGATAGAGAAGAAAAGAAAGAACTTCAAGCCACAATTCATTCCAGGTATGTAGCAGCAGAACATGGCCACTGTGAGTCAGTTTAAATGTAAAGGAGGATTTAGATTTGTGTCTTTTGCTTATTGAATGATTCATTATGAATAAAGGGAGTTCTCGTCTAAATCTGCCTCTCTAGTGTTAGAGTGAGCTCTCCTACAATGTTTACTGAGGGCGTTCACACTTAGTATTGTTGAGATAATGAGGAAGAGCTGTCTATCAGTCTATATTTCTTCTACAATCAAGTATTGCTTAACGATTTCATGTTTGTTCTTTCAACATTTGCAACTGTTGTGCTGCAATCTTCTCAGGCTGTATGAAGATTTAATACAATCATGGCATCAGCAGCTTCATCAAAAAGGATGGTGTCCTCCGTCTTCATCACTCTGGCATCTCCCCAGCGAGCCACTGGGACCCAGCAGCAGCCCTCCATCCAAATTTATAGTGCTCCAGCCCGAGACGAGCTACACAAACCTCCAAGAGTCAGCTCAAGAGAAGAAGTACCCGTCCTCAGACATAAACGAAAGGACGATTCACCTTATGACTCCCACAATTCTGTAAACAGCAAGGGCTGGAGTCATGGACAGGCTCCATATCAAGCCTTAGACCACCATAGTCCCAAACCTGCACAAAGTGGACCTGTCAAAACCCGAGTGGAAAAAGAAGAAAACACAAGACAGAGGAACTCTTCAGGTATTTGTTAACAAGCCTTTTTCAGGGTATAGTGAAAAACTTCAACAGCCTGAAATATATTAAGAAAATGGCCAATTCGCATCAAGGCCAAACCAAGTGTCATAGTTTTCCATACACTTTTCATTCTCTAATTTGAAAGGGACTTTTCAGTGTTGTGTTGGTCTTATTAGTGATATATATCATTAGTTGCAGGCCAATTATCCAAATGTGAAACTGATTTCTGAACCTTTCTAGAGATGCGCGCTTTGGGAAATCCAACACGTTGGACCAGAAGACTAGGCTGAAAACAAGTTTTTACGTATATACACACATAAATCCAGGTGGTAGGGTTCTGGACCTTAACCTGATTGAAATGCTGTATGGGGAGCAGTGCAGAATCAAATGCCAAAATATCACATTGAAGGGAAAAAAAATGTGAAGAAGAGTGGGCCAAAATTCCTCAAAAGTGATGTGAGAGACTGATAACAACATACAGAAACAAATTATTAACATGTTGATGTTAATTTGAGATAGCATATAACTATTTTTATTGTTCTGTTGGGGCCTGATTTTTAGTTCTGGTAAAGATAAGTTTACACAGGCATGTTGACTAAGTATATTGACGAAAATTTCTTTCTTTTTTTTTTTTTTAGAGTTTTTTCCCCTGCCTCCTCCTCTTACTCCTCTTACTCCTCCAGTTGATGCCTTGCCTTCATTTCAAGATGAAATGCTCCCTGAAGAATTAGCTCATCTGCCCCCTCCACCAGACCAGTTAGCGTTCCTCCAGCCTTTAACCCCACACCAGCAGCCAGTTTTCAACAAACAGGTATAAAGAACTATTTGTCATTTTAGAAAATAGTTTTTGCTATATATATTCGCCTTCATCTCAGCCAACTTTTTCCCTTTATAAATACTAGATTTTCCTGAACTTTGAATATACAAACAAACCATGGAATCAATAAAATCTCCTTAAGATGTAATGAGACTGTTGTCTTAAAGAGACAAAGGGTTCAGTTTACAAAAGGAGGACTGATGTTTTCTGGTTGTGCTTATTGTCTGTTAGTGACTAATTTTATATTCTGTTATACTTTTTCACTAAAAAGTTGGATACAGGGATACTGCAGAGATTCTTAAAAAAACCTCTTTAAAACTTTGCTCTGAACATTTTTATTTAATTTTGTAGACATGTGAAGACATTTGTGGATATTCTGAAGTTTGAATATCAGAAATGTTTTAAATATAGGTATACTAGTAGGTCAAGGTGTGTTTAAAGCAGTTGTAAAGCTTTGAAAAAATTGACACAAGACATTTAGTTTTTTGTCTCCCAAAGCCCCATTACTTTGTAAAGGTATACAAATATACATGTACACATATATATAAGAATGAAAATGAAATCAAACAAATAATGCACCGAATTGTTCATGATGTGACAGGTAAATTCAGAAAGGCTCTTTACCTGCAAGCTGAAAAGGAACATGTTGAAACTTTCTAAAGCAAAGTAAAACACACTAACCATGATCATGTAGTGGAACCAGGAAAGTTGTCCTATCTAATGAGCAAATAAATGTTCATGCAAACATGCTGAAGGCTTTGGATGCATGTTTTATATACATTTAATTTGTACAGTCAAACTCAAAGGTGACCTTGTTTAAAGTGATCTTTTGGACTGAGTAAATGCTTTTCGTTCAAGGTGAAAACAAGTATCCCATCTAACTTGTTGAACCAAGCGGTACAAACCCAAGGAATAACAAAAAACAGCCAGGATATAAGCGGAGAGAGCCAAGGTAACGTGATCCCCACTTTCACACAGGTCCTGACAACACACACATTGCCATAACCTGCCTTGACATTTGATGTTTTTTGCACAACCCAGACTTGTGCGGCTTTTGTCGGAAAACCATTGCTCTCTCTGAACCAGCAATAGAGGCTCTAAACAGGACTTACCATGAGGGTTGTTTCCAGTGCAGATCTTGCAACATCTGCCTGGCTGGTAAATGCTTCTACAACAAGGCAGGAATCCCTTTCTGTGAAGAATGCTACCAGGTAGATCAAAGTCATCATAACCTTCAATCAATGCATTAAACATGAAGTATTACTGACATAAGGTGAAATGCAGAGCAGCAGTGTCTTACATTTAATTAACGTGTTGTAATTCTCTGTGTCTTAGGCCAGTTTGGAACTTTGCTGGGCCTGTGGAGAAGTTATCACAGATCACTTAATCCGAGCCCTGGAGCGACCGTACCATCCTTCATGTTTCACATGTGCAACATGTAAATTACAAATTGGAGAGCAATCTTTTGCTCAGGGAGAAGTCGGAGAAATTTATTGCCTTCCAGACTACTATAGGTATGGTGGTTACAATTTTCTGACAAACGTTCACTGCAAAAATAAATTAAAAACATATTAAGGAGGGCGTTTTTACTTTGAAGAAACCAAATATAGATAAATTAATCTGAGTTATCCTGTCATTCCTTTCCCAATTTTTGGAAATGTTAAAAACATCAGTTAAATGTGACGTTTTTCCCTCTAAAATTTTTCCAACTAAGGAAATATGCACCAAAATGTAATGCCTGCAACCAGCTTATCATTCCAAAAGAAGATGGCACTGACAGCTACACTGTTGAATGTCTGGGGAACTCTTACCATGAGATCTGCTTCAGGTGTGAGGTAGGTTCCACAAGGTGAGATCCATCTGTGGGATGGAAATAAAACCAATTGCCATAATTGGGAAATAAAAAACATTGCATATTTAAAGTGAAACATTTGACTGGTAAATATGATAGGGGGGCTGCATGGCGATGAGGTGGTTCACACCAACAGAGGGTCCATGGCTGGTACACATTTCTGTACGGAGTTTGCATGCGTGTGCTTACTGAGGGTACTCTGAATCTTTAGCACTATTCAAAAACTTGCATGTTAGTTTGACTGGTCATTTAAAATCAACTGTAGAGGTGAGTTTCAACATGCATAGTTTTCTGTCTGGTGACCCGTCCAGGGTGTACCCTGCCTATTGCCCAATGTCAGCTGGAAAATGCTCCAGGTGATGGAAGAGCTAAAATCTTTACTATTTCAACACTGAATTAGCTTCATATTTCAATTTTCAGCTGAACTAAAGAGCTGTTTCTTGTTAAGTCTTATTTTGTTTTTGTTTTTTAACATTCTTTTCCACATTTTTGCTGGCATCAAATGAAAAATGAGAGATTCATTATTTTCATTCGATTTCAGTATGTCCTAATGTCATGATTTTGTTTGTTTCTTTTTTAATTGTCATGTGAACCATATATTTATTTGTAAGATTTGCATGCTGTATAGTGTTTTTGGCTTAGTTTTACACAGCATTGCATGTTTATGCCTAATGAACACATACAATTATACAAACCTATAGACACATTAATCCGATTTTTCATCTAATCTACAGGTTTGTTTCTTCGAGTTCTCCGACGAATACAGCTGCTATCCATTAGATGGAAAACTCCTTTGCAAATCTTGCCATGAGGACCTTGTTTCTGGGCAGCCCTAATCTCCACTTTACAGCTTTGTACAAACTACAACCAAGAGAAAGCTGCCACAAGTCTGTGACAGATTAATCCAATGAAACTTTGCTTGAGTATCTAGGATAAGTATACAAATTTCACACGCTTATTCTACTAGAAAAATGTATACTTTTACAATATAGCTTGCTATCATGAAACAATCCTTTTTTCCTTTAATACTTGATTAATTTTGCACTTAAGAAAAATGCACCAAAATATTTATGCAACTGACTTTACAAAAATCTATGCTAGAATCAGTAGAATTTGAACATCATACAATTAATTTTAGATTAGATAAACATTTATAGAAATGTAAAGTAATATATTATATCCAACAAACTTTATCATTGGCTCCTTAAAAATAATCATAACATGGAATGTGCTACACGTACAGCACACCATTAAGCAGTGTATTTGATTCACAACATTGCAACAGATAAGACGGATAATACAGGAACAAATGAAGCAGTGACAGAATAACAATTTTAAAATGCATTCAGATATACTGAAATAGAAATACTTCTCTTGGAATGTCCTGGTGAATTGTTCCCATTTTCTTTTCAGTGAATAAAATCTTTTTTGAGAACATGTGTTTAATCATTTGCGTTTATTGCGTATATTTGATAAACAAAGTGTAAGAAAGTTCCTGGTTTGAATCTCAGCTGGAGCTTTGCATGTCATCCACATGCATGTTGGCACTCAAGCATTTTCCCTCAGACAAAAAAACAACACGTTTGTCTGTTTGCATGTGTACGTGCATAATTGCTTCAGTGACTTCAAAATGTTGTGTTGTCCCATTAACATCCAAAGTCTAGATGAGACCGGCAGAGTTTGAGACTTTCTTTTTGCTTTTATTTCAGTTTCTCTGAGCATTATGGGATGTAGGTTTTATGACAGAGAACTGTCATAAATGCTTTCCACTTGTGGACTATCTTTCCAACTTCATAATGGTGAACTCTGCACTGTTGGGAAAGGGGGGAAATGTGCAATAACCCTTCCCAATATGATGGGAACCTTCAATTGCTTCTTTAAGATATTTTCCCAGACAAATTGCAAAAGCTTGTGGCACTCACAATTGCAAACATAATTTAATTAAGTGGAAGTGTAGTTGACTTGAAGTGACTTAGTTTTTAACACTGCTTCTGAATTTTGACTCTGTTGTCAAATTGTTAAAAATACTTTTTAACATGGGCTGATTCTGAAAACCTTATAACCAAAGAAAAAGAATATTTTCACAGTATTGTATTTTTTACTTTGTAAACTATGCATTACATTGGTCCTAATGAACCTTAAATAGTAAGATAATTTGGACTTTAGCACTACCGGATCTGGATCGATAAGCATCAACACAACACACTGATTTATCTCCTGTAAAAGAAACGGACTATTATGAATAAACATCCTCCTTTTCATTTTTGTTGAATCGCGTGCTCGCCGTTGCGCAGGAATGTCGTGGCCACGCAGCTCGTACCCATAACCACTAGGAAACCAAGCTGGTGCGCGTTCACGCGCTTGGCTCGAGGACGCAGCAGCTAAAGCTAAACGGGCAGCAGGCTACCAGGCCTTTAACGTTCACGGAATCAGCCGTCGGTCATTTTGTTCAGGCGGACCTCCGACCGGCAGGGATTAGAAACGTGCGAGATCATATGTGTTTGACGGGGGGAAGAAAAGCACAAAATGGTTCGGGAAACCAGACACCTTTGGGTGGGAAATTTACCCGAACATGTTCGAGAGGAGAAAATTGTGGAGCATTTTAAACGGTAGGTTACGCAAGAGAGACCACATTTGCAAAGCTGCGCGCGCTAGGCGGTGTTCTAACGTTAGCTCAACACTAAAGGTAGCCTGCTATCATGCTAATGTAGCTAAGTTTATGTAGAAACCTAAAACATAATCGTATAGAGTTTGATAGCACGATATCCATGTGCTTTAATGCGACATATTTATGTTTATCTGCAAGAAATTAGTCAATTTAGCCACTCAAATGTACATGTTGTTGGTTTCTATTCTTTCGCTAACTTTTGCTAACGTCAGGAGGCAGTTAGCCGACTCTGCTAGTCACCGAGCTACCACCCAGCCAACCATTTTGTGGGAAGTCGAGACGTTTTCGTGATCTGCAAAAGCCAAAAGGCAGTCAACGTTAACCCCAGAGCAAGTCAAGATCTATCGATGACATTGATTTTTATAAAAATCCCTTCGAGCCTACGCTGTTACTTATATGAAATTACAGAAATCCAGAGAAGCTAAAATCTTAAAACGCTTCTTTAGCTCACCGAGCTTATGATCAAATGTTAGCAAGTTGTTGTGCTTTTGTAAGTCGGCTAGTACCGTTTGAGCCATTTTAAGTAACATATTTAACATCGTGGTTTTGGAAATTGAGTTTGGAGTTTTTGCGATCATTGGATCAGTCGTTGATTCCTGTGTAAGGCGGCGTATCGTTATGTTTTCCATCTGAGCGGCTACTTGATTAACTGGTCTACAAACGTTCTCACAGCTCACCAAATGCTGCAGTTAGTGAAATGTTTTGCGCAACTTTATTAATGGCTGACTATCTGCGATTTGCTTTAGAATAATGCTATATATAGCTCTTGAAATTTTTACATGCAGCCTTTAGGGCAAGTGTAACACCATAAATATATCCTAAAAATGCACCTAAAAGTACATGATAAAACAAACTGCACTCTTGCAAAATAGTTTAAATCAAAGTAAAACACAATCACCTGTGAGTAAAAAAACTGTTTTGAATTCAACTTGGTTTGTTTTCAACCTGGCATTAAAGGTTGAAAACAACCTGGCATCCCCAGACTGGCATATGTGTAATTTCGTTTTTTCTCTCTCATTTTAATCTCTCAGGTACGGCCGTGTGGAGAGTGTTAAAGTTCTGCGAAAGCGTGGGTCAGAGGGGGGGGTTGCAGCCTTTGTGGATTTTGTGGATATCAAAAGTGCACAGAAGGCTCACAATGCTGTCAACAAGATGGGAGACAGAGACCTTCGGACTGACTACAATGAGCCAGGGTCAGTCCCTAGTGCTGTCCGAGGTCTTGAAGACAGCTCCCCTTCAAGCAGTCGAGACGTTACGGGATTCTCTAGGGGAACAGTTGGTCCAGTGTTTGGCCCACCTGTTTCCCTTCACACCAGAGAGGGACGTTATGAACGGAGAATAGATGGGTAAGTGGACACGGCGTCCCCCTAAAATCCAGGGCACTCTTGGTATCAGTTAAGTGATTTACCTAAACACATAGTGGGGTTATTCGTCAGGCTTTGATGCCTCAAGGGGTTAACAAAGGTAATCTAGAGATTGCTTCACTCCTCATCATACCTGGCTTGCTTGCCCGTGGGAATTACCTAAATTTACTACACAATATCATTTGCTAAGGTAACTATGTTTCACGGTTTGACATCTGGTTTGGATATTACATCTGTGAGGAATATCCTGGTGAGTTTTGGATTTATTAAATGGAGAGCTACTTTTGGGAGCCTTTGGATACCGTTTTTTCAAACTCGTCATGGAATCTAAACTTACGTGGAGTCACTTTGAAGCTGGAAGTAAATCTGCTATAAAGGATGTACATTGTCTCAGAAGAATGTATGCAGAAGACTCACGGAAATAGTTCATATCTGGACTACGTTCACCATTTTTATCTGCCATGGACATAACCCTTTTTTTGGAATAAAAGTTTTGACCAAATGGATGAAAGAACTTCACTGTTATCACACATTCCAAGAAAAACTGATTTTAAGTACATGTCTCAGGTTATCTTTGTTATTGTAGAATGATAAATCATAACCTTTCGTCACAAATATGGAAGTTATCCCAAGAAGACTTCATAAGAAACGCTCAGGATTTAAATAAGCAACTACTAAAGATTGGAGCTAATACATTGTTATAGGTTGGATGGCTATGAAGACACCAAGAATGGATCGTTGGGTTGTAACCTCCTGGAGTAATGTAATACAACACCCTATGCTGGATGTACTGATGCCGATCCTGCTGTGGATAGACGTAGCTGTCATACATTTGGATTACTACTATTATTACTTTGGATAAGTGTGGATATAGCAGTGTGAGATCTCGGTGAGGAGAAGTTTTCAAGTTGAAGGAGTAAGAAGAAAAAAGCATTTTTTAACTTAGCATGATATGATTCTACAAATTGAAGACTTTCAGCACTCACCAAATGGGATCCAGTGATTGTGGAATTAAGTCAAACCAAGCATCCAAGCGGATTAGATATATTATAGTACTTATCTCAGCGCCCCTTCAGCTTGTGCCAAGTTAAAACACTTTTAAATTAACCAGTGGAATACTTTTTTGTCGTATTTTTTCTCTCCAAAAAGCACAATCTTTGGAACATGCTACTTCCTTATTCTGCCACTACTACTAAGACTTCTCCATTTGGATATTTACTTTCCATGCAGACCTCATTGTACCCAATAGTTGACCTGGAATTTGACAAAAAAAAACTGAAGTTCATCATCTTTTTTTCTTTTTTACTGCATTTATTAATTTCTTTATAGAAATTTTATGTTTGTCAAATTTTTAAGCACATGTCCCGAAATCCATTAAGAAGTCCATTTCGCTGGTTGTTTTTTTTTTTTTTTTTTTCCTTTTTTCCCATACCTTGAAGAGAATTAAGTAGCCTAACTGGATTATACATCAAAACTGGCCTGGTCCCAAGTATTTGAAGATAACGTGCAATGCGGTTCAGGAGAACTTTTTTTCTTTATTAGAGCAAATGATTTTTCCCCTTGGTTTTTCCATTTGGGCTCTCACATTCTGACCACCTAGATTTGATTTGGATTAGTTTCAGTAACATCTTTCCTAAAAGGTTGGTATTGCTTTGCCCTTTGTATATTTTCTTTCAACTTCCCTAGTGATATATTGCTATAATAGTTTTCCCTTGTATGTTCATTAATTTGAGGCACAAGTGGACACATTTCAGATTTGAAATGCATATGTTGAATGTGTTCACGTAAAGTCTCAGCTTATTATTTCCTAATTATTTACAGTAAATTTGTCTGATTTATTAACTATAGATTCTTTGTGGAAATGTCCACTTGAATTTTCAGGAGACAGTGTTTATCCTTATGTTTCTTGCATTCAGTCTGAAACAATTCTTGTATTCTGAAAATTAAATAATTTTGATTGAACTAAGAAATGTTTTTTTTTCATTAGTGAATACACTTCACATAGATGGCTGTAAAAGTTATCTATGTGAGTCTGTAAAAGTAATCTACCCCAGCCTTGTTAATTAATGACCATTTCTGACTTTACAAAATAGATTAGACTTTTAGTTTTACTGCTTAGATATTAAATTCTTGCAAGATTTCAGTTTAGTTTTTAAAGCAGCAACATGTATGTGCTCTTTATTTTGTAGCTGGTGCCCGTATGCCCTAAGTCAAAATGATTCTGCCTATATATCAAATTGTGACAAATTTATTGCTTGCAAACAATAATGGTCAACAATTGATATTATCTTTTATTATTCAACGTTAAAATGTTTTTATTCTCGCTTGCACAATAGCTAAACATTTCCTCGTACAGTGAAAATCTTAGTTTTCTGTCTGCAAGAATGCCAGTCAGTCAAAGGTATAAAGGTAAGAAATTGAAGAGAAACTGCAGTAAAATACTATATACAAATAAAAGAAAAAAATGTGTATGAGTCATACAAATTTAAGTGTTTAAATGTAAACAGACTTTTGCCAGGGCTAACTGAATTTAACAGTCCTGATATTGGTAAATTAAAAGTGACAGAGCAGTAGACCGTCCTGAAATCATGATTGCCAAGAGGAACAGAAATACTGGTAATGCAGACTGTAGCTGTACCAAAATCCTGAATTGCAACCTGCACCATTTCTGATTGCATTGTTTCCTCTGTTGCTCTTTTTTGTTTTGGATTTAAAGTCAAGAATGAAATAATCTAACTTTTCTTTCTTTTTGTCTTTTTTTGAAATCTCTACCCTGTTTATAATTCACAGTAGCTCTGAAAGCCGTGAGCGTGCATACGATCACAGCCCATATGGACACCATGACCGCAGTGGAACTTTCGACCGGCAGCGTCACTACAATGCTGATTATTACCGTGACCGTGCTGTGTTTGCCACTACGGGCCCTGGGAGCAGTGCTATTGGAGCAAACTTTGATGCAGCCGACCCACATTTTGATGCCAGAATACGAGACCCATTCACTCTTACTAATTCAACACGACGTGACTTGTATAGGGATGAGAGAGGGCGACGTGTTGATCGGACCTATCATCACCGTCGAAGTCGATCCTCTCATTCTTCACAATCAAGGCACCCTTCCCCTCAACGGACCACGGGACAAACGCCCAAAACGCCTCATTCCCCTAAAAGAACCCCCCTGTCCCCTGGGAGAGGGCCAAGATCGCGATCTCACAGCAGATCTTCAAGTTCTGACTCTGTAAGCAGCACCAGCAGCACAGGCAGTGGCAGGTATGGCATTTGTTTTGTCCAGGTCAAGCCAATAGTTACTGGATGACTACAGATTTCCATGAAGAAGGCTGATATATTGATGTAATACTTTCTGATCTTTTTATTTTCTCTTATCCTTTGTTTAATACTCTGCTAAAAACAGCGACTCCAACAGCAGCTCAAGTGATGGATCCCGGGCACGGTCTGTTCAGTCATCAGCTGCACATGCACCTCCCACTTCTTCTATGGTGCTTGATTCTGAGGAGCCTCGTAGAAGCTTTGGAATAAAAGTGCAAAACCTACCAGTGCGCTCAACAGGTTGGTTTTGTTGGAAACAATGTTTCAAAGGATATACTCATCAAACGTTTTACTTTCTCAGGACTATTGAGGCTAATTTATGCTCAAAACTAAATACCTAGATGCGTATGGACATGGCATTCTATTGTTTACTGTTTTAAAGCTACAGATTATGTGTTGTATCCACAATGCTTGTTTTGACCTCAACAAAGGACATAAAGTGTATATGAGTAGATACAGTCTATCCTATAAGTGCCATAATATAAAATGTATCAAACTTGACTTAGTGGTCATATGGTGTTCCTTGAATTTTCTATCGAACCTGAATTGTGTGTTTGTTTTTTTTAATGGGCTGAGAAAATGGGAAAGTACAGAATCAGAAAATCATTTCAGTTTAATGGCCTGTACAGCATGATTATATCATGAATCTGGTGTATGGTCTTTGGAAGAAAACAGGAATCAAGAATAGCATACACAGTAATTTGAATGAAAAAGGTATCAATTTTTATGTTAAACTTTTGAACAAATTTAAGATGGAAGAAATTTCTTTTGACAGTTTTTATTGTATTTGATGAAAACCTGTTCCAGTGGGACCCTTGGCATTAGAGAAATACTTTTTGACTGTCTCTTGGCAGATACTAGCCTAAAAGATGGACTATTCCACGAGTTCAAAAAACATGGAAAGGTGACCTCAGTGCAGATTCATGGAGCATCGGAGGACCGCTATGGTTTGGTGTTCTTCAGACAGCAAGAGGATCAGGAAAAAGCCCTCAGTGTCTCCAAAGGAAAGCTGTTCTTCGGCATGCTTATTGAGGTCACTGCTTGGAACGGTCCCGGTATGTGATGACTATAGATGTGATGATCTGGGGAGATTTATGGGGATATTTGAACTGCTCTGGTACAGCTAAGTTATTCCATAAGAGCAATTATCTTAATTTTTGTTGAAGATGACCAATTTGAATTTGACCAGCATTCAAGTTTTATTGATAGGCTTTCTTCTTTCCTCAGAAACGGAAAGCGAAAATGAATTCAGGCCATTGGACGGGCGCATAGACGAGTTCCACCCAAAGGCCACAAGAACACTGTTTATAGGGAACCTCGAAAAAACCACCAGTTATCAGCAACTTCTTGATATTTTTCAACGGTTTGGAGAGATTGTGGTAAGTTGCTGTTAGTGTGTATAGTTATGGTAAATATCTTTTTCACTAATAGGCGTTTTTTTTTCTTCTTAAGGACATTGACATAAAGAAGGTAAATGGAGTTCCCCAGTATGCCTTCGTTCAATACTCTGATATTGCTAGTGTTTGTAAGGCCATAAAGAAGATGGATGGAGAGTATCTGGGGAGCAACAGACTAAAGGTGAGTCTTTTCTTCATATACCCGTTTTTCATCAGTGTATTGTATAATGTTCTGATGTATATGAGTTGAATGCCTTTTTTCCTTTTTTTTTGTTTGAAGCTCGGTTTTGGGAAAAGTATGCCAACAACCTGTGTCTGGCTTGACGGTTTGGCTGCCAACATAACGGAGCAATACCTGACTCGGCATTTCTGTCGTTATGGTCATGTTGTCAAAGTAAGTTTATTTTTTTCTTCCCTGTTTATGCGTTTCTGTTCTTGATTTAAATGATTGTCATATCTGTAAATGGGATGTCTAATTTGTCCCTGTTCTAGGTTGTCTTTGATCGACTAAAAGGGATGGCCCTCATCTTGTACAACAACACAGACTTTGCTCAGGCAGCTGTGAGAGAGACCAAAGGCTGGAAAATTGGTGGCAATAAGATCAAGGTTGGAAAAAAACATTTTTTTAAAAAATGCATTCATTCTAAAAATGTACTTTTGGACAGTTTGTTCTATGCATTTTATCCAACTTGTTTGATGTCACCGGCAGGTGGATTTTGCAAGTCAAGAAAGTCAGATGGCATTCTACCGCTCTATGCAGGCATCTGGTCAAGACATTAGAGACTTCTATGAAATACCACCTGAGCGACGGTAAAATACCCACATGGTTCATTCTGTTTGTTTTTTTCCCATATACTGTATTTTTATTTTAAGGTCAAGTAAATTACCATCATCTAATATTTGTTATTGTTTACAATAGCATTTTCCCCCCTTTTTTTTAAACTAAATTTTTGGTACTTTTTCCATTTTTCCATCTGTTTATTTTTTCTTTCTATCTGTTTATTTTACAGAGAGGATCGTAGAACTCCCTATCATGATTTTACAGCAGAGAGAGCTTACTATGAGAATATAAGAACCCCTGGTCTTTATCCAGAAGAAGCTCGAAGAGAATATGCTGCACGCAGCAGAGAACGTTTTCCTGAGCTGGAACATTATCAAGGGGATCACTTTGACCCACGATACCATGAAGATCCAAGAGACTATAGGGATTACAGAGACCCTTTCGAGCAAGACATCAGGAAATACACCTATATACAAAGGGAGCGAGAAAGGGAACGGGAACGATTTGAAGCTGATCGTAGCAGGTGGAGCCCATCTCATCCACGGCGCCCCATTACTCCCGCAGTATCACCCTCACCATCTGAGCGTGTTCCGAGAGAAGCAGAACGAAGAGTCTACAGCCAGTCCTCTGAGAGAAGTGGTAGTGTGAGCTCTGTTTCACCGCCACATTTTGACAAATCTGAAAAAACTCAGCTGGAGCATGTCTCAAAGAGTGAAAAGAGCAGTCAACCAGATCGCGCAGCAGGAGCTGAGAAAACCAAACGGGCAAAGCGAAAAGATAAAGCTGACAAAGATAAAACGGACAAAACAAAATCAAGGAAAGCAAAGGGCCAGTCCCCACCCAACCCACAAACTGAAACAGAAGTTGAAGCTGGTTTAGATGGAGGGTCTGAAAGAGGCAGGGGTTCAGACCAAGATGCTCATGAGAGACAGAAGTCTAAAGGAGATGTTGATCCTCCTTCTGTAAATCCATCATCAGTTTCTGTTCAGGACTCTGTAAAAGGCGAAAGATCTGAACCAACTAAAGGTGAAAATTCAGAGTTGGATGGGAGAACTCGACTCAAAAAACATCCAAAGCCTGATCCTGGAAATGATGGTAAAGATACATTGGTGGAGTCAGATCGCCTTGCTGCAAGAAAGCGACGTTTTGCCGATGGAGGACGGACTGTTCGTCAAAAGAGAGGCAAGCATGACGAGGACGATAGTAATCAATCTGCTGAATTTGGGGCCAATTCTGTTTATGTGAAGGAATCGGAGATGGACAAACACAAAGATTCACAGCGTAGAGATGCAAGACCTAAAACTGACAAAAGTGCCACTCAAAAAAATGGCCAAGAAGACCTTCGAGGACAAAAAGAGAAACCAGAGGGATCTATGGAGCTGCCTGAGTCCAAGCGACATCTCGGGAGTACTTCATCCAGAAGGTATTCGCAAGATGGAAATGTAGATCAAAGCACTGTAAGAGAACAAGATCACCATACTGTGCCCAACCTTAGTCAGAATTCTGAAACTAATAAAAGTGCCAAGAACAAGGATGACCATGTTGACATTGACCTCTCTCAGAGTTACCGTAAGCAGATGGAGCAAAATAGACGTTTACACCAGCAACAGCAGCAGCGCGAGTCTGACAAACACGACAAACCAGGGAGTCCCCAAAAAGGTGAAGCGGAAGACTTGGAACACCGTAGTCTTGTGCATGAAGTTGGAAAACCACCTGAAGATGTCACTGATAATTTCCCATCTTACAAACTAAAAAAGATAGACCAGATTGACAATGAATCTGGGACAAAGAGAGAGCGTGTCTATAGAAGCTTTAGACAAAAAAGTGAGGATCCTGAATGGAATAACACTCCCTCTCCAGGACATCTGCTCATTGCTCACCATGTGGATGAGGATTTTGTTGATGCTTCTCAGAAAGAATTGGGCAAAAATGATGAGAAAATCCACCCAGAACTGGAGCTGTTGGTTAAAAGGACACACAACACGCATGTTAACAAGACAAACACTCATTTACTTAGTGTGGAAGAAGAACAGCAAAAGAGATGGGAGAGCAGAGTTAAGCCAGAGTTGTTACCCAACCATAACTTTTCTAGAAGTTTAGGAAAAAACGTTCATAATCGCAAACGTTTGGAGTATGGCATTTGGCAAGACTTGGAGCCTGGGGAGGTCCGATCAGACTCGGAAGAGGACAGAGAGATCAAACCGCACTCTCCTGTGCCCTCCACATCCATGCCTTACTCTGAAAGACCGAGGGCTGAAAGGTTTTCAGACCCCAAACTAGCGCAACTTGAGAGGAACAAATTCTACTCCTTTGCTCTTGACCAGACAATTACACCTGATACAAAGGCTCTGCTAGAGCGGGCAAAATCTCTCTCATCTTCCCGAGAAGACAACTGGTCATTTTTAGATTATGATTCTCACTTTGCAAGTCTCCGCAATAGGAAGGACACAGAAAAAGTAGAATCAACACCAAGACCTACACCACCTTGGTACTTAAAAAAGAAAAAAATACGAAGTGGATCAGAAGACAAACTTGATGAAAGGAAAGAAGAGCCTAAACCACAGGAGCATGAACGCAGGGAATTATTTGCCTCGCGCTTCCTTCACAGTGCCGTCTTTGAACTAGATTCTAGACGACTGCAGCACCTGGAACGTAAACATGAAGAACTTGAGCATATGCAAAACCAGCAACTTGGTCAGCATGGGGTAGATGGTGAACTTGAAACCGGACCAGTTGTCCTTTTCCATAGCCGCTTTTTGGAGCTCACACAACTACAGCAACAGAAGAGTAAGACACAACATCTGCAAGAAACAAAAGAAGATCCCGCAATCAGAGATGAGAATAAAGAAGAAAAGTCAGATGATCAAGAGAAACAGGTTCTGCAGTCCCATGACACAACAGAAGCTGTAGCGGAGACGGAAATTAAACCCATCAGTCCTGCTGAAGAAGTTTTTTCTGAATCCAAACTCTCACCAACTCCTGTCAATCAGTCAGTGGTCAAGGATTTTCCTATGTCAGATGAGAAAAGTGTTTTGGTAAATCCAGCTGTTGCTGAATGTCCCCCTGTGTCTTTGATACAGGACGAGGTAAAAGAAAGCGAACTCGTATCCATTCATCACCTTCCGGCAGAGACACAATGCGATTCTGAACCCACAGAAGTAGCTGAACCTAACTATTCACTGACTAAATTTTCTCCATCTGAAGAGAAACAGGAACCTGTCCCAGAGACTATAATTTCCCAATTCACCGAACAAATATCTAGCCATGACTCTCAGGAAGAGTTTGCAACCAGTTCAGAACCAGTGCTGGATCTTGAAGCCATAAAATCAGAAGTTTCAGTAGATATTAGTCCAATTACACCTAATATTGTTGAGGGTGTGGAAACTGTAAAAAAGGAGATCCATTCCACTTGTAAAATGGCAGCAGAGCCAGAAGAAGAGGATAAACTCCAAGAAGAGCAGATGGCTGTTGATAGTGACACTAATGAAGAGCAAGTCCCCCACCCAAAAAAGAGTGAAGCAAAAGAAATTAAAACTAAAAAGGGTAAACAAGCCCCTGCTCCACTTGCTCCAGCTCCTATTACTTCCCTCTCTGTTTCCGAGAAGCAAGCTACACGCAAGAGTGAGCGCATTGATAAAGAGAAGCTGAAACGTGGCTCATCCCCAAGAGCTGAGTCGAAGTCCACAAGTAAGTCTCCTATTCATGGATCAGATCCTGATGGCTTAGAGCAAAGTATACCTTTAGGCAGAGCTAGAAGAAGAAATGTTAAATCTGTTTATGCCACCCCAGTTGAAGATGAAGCACCAGTTCGTGCTGGAAAAGAAGTACCTGAGTCACCTCGCTCTGCAAGAAAGAGAGGTACGGACAAAGAAGCAGTGCAGCCAAGTAGTGAATTAGAGCCACCTGCTCCAGCACCTGTGACAAAACGAGGCCGACCCCCCAAGAACCGTCGACAAGGTGAAGAGAGTTCATCTGTAAAAGTAGATAAAGCCAAACTAGACAAAGATACTGATCTCAGTGATTTAGTAAGTGGTGAACGAATTCCAAGAATCTCTAAAGGGAAAACATCCCCCCACTCCATAAAGAGTTCATCAAATCAAGTTTCTTCAGCCCATGGATCAGCATCAACTAGAAAAGGGGACAAAACTGAGGCTGCTGAGGAGGATCTAGAGATGGATCTTGCAGATCCAGATACTTTGGCTGGGGTGGATCCATCAAGTTCAGGGAAAGATCCATTGGTTAAAACTGAGCTAAAGAAAGACGAAAAAGATAAAGATGATCTCCATGAAAAAACTGCTGAAGGTAAATCGAATGGAGAAGAAACAGATTCCCTGGTTGTCGAAGAGAAAGATAGGATAGCTAGAGGAAAACTCAAGTCCGTAAGGATGCCAAAGTCTCCTGTCCTCAAAAATCTGAAAATCAGGCTAAATGTCACAGAGGTTAAAGACCATCTCCAGTTAGGAGAAGAGCTTGGGAGTCAAGATGACGCTACAAAAAAGATTAAATCTGGAGATATGAATGATTTAGTTTCAAAGTGTTCTAATGTTAACAAAGGAGCTCTTGATGAAGAAAAAGAAAAGGAAATTGAAACCACAAAAAGTTCATTTTCCCAGGAGCGCGAGTTAGAGCAGGCAGTAGAGAACATAGCCAAACTTACTGATCCCAGTTTTCCAACAGTACCCCCAACTCTACCTGCAGAGACAAAAAGTGACACAGAAGAAGAAAAGCCGTCTAATCCTGCCAGTGAAACAGAACTTATGGCTGCTATTGACTCAATAACTGCAGAGGATGTGGGTGCATCTCTTACCCAAGCACCTCCACTAAGTACCGATATGGGTTCTGAGCCTGAGATGCCAGATTTTGTTCAGTCTGTCAAGAAAGAGGAACAACAGGCAACTACATCCGCCCTACTGGAGAAATCTGACTTTTTGAATACACCCAAAAAGGGTACGAAGGGAAGACCAAAAACCCCTAAACGTTGTAAGGCCCAAAAGCAAGTGAGAAAGGATTTGAAGGAAGGGCAAGCGTTAGGCGAGGAACCAACATTGCCCTTAGTTGACAGCACACCCTCAGATGTCAAAGATGTAAAGATTGTGTCTGATACACCTCTATCATCAGCAGTTGCTGCAGTAATTACTCCCACTTCTTGGAAGCCAGAGTCTGAGCTGTCAGCTGCTAAGATTCCAGATGTAAACACAGACACAGCATCATCTTCGGAAGAGCAAATGCAACCTCTTAAATCTGTGTATCCAAAGTCAAAGAGTCCAATATGCCCAAAGCCTCAACAGTTGCCACTTGACTGCATCTCTCCATCTCTGTCTCCTCGAGCAAACAGACCAACTATCAGACCTATTCAACCTGGTAGAGTTGCTGTATCTCCACCAGACTGGCGGCATCAGCCCAAAGATGCAGTTGTTTCCTCTTCCCCCGTCATGCCATTAGCAGCAAAGGAAAGCAAACCTTTACCCTCTGACTCTGAAAATATGGATGTTGAACATGGCAGTAGTGATTTAAGACAGATTCTTATGAAACCTAAAAGTATTTCACTGGCAGGTAGTAGTTCTGTTGTTGGTAATCTGCCCAGCCTTCGAGACCAGAACCCATCTGAAAGTAACGCCTTAGTCACCGCCGTTGTGAAAAGCAAATCACCACCATCAGACAGTAAAATGCAGACTAATCCAGTCCCACCTGTTGTTCGACCTCCAGCCTCATTGACATCCCCCGAGACAAAGTCTGTGATTTCTGTTATAGCATCGACAGCCACCTCTGTTATCAGTCGTGTTGTTAACCCCCCAGAGCCCGAGGAAAAAGTGAACGTCAACCTTGGAAATCCTTGTGTGGACATGACTATACCAAAACCAACGTATAGACCTGGTAAAGATGATGCTGGATCATATCATGGCTCCTCTGTGGCAGATGAAGGGGGTGCTTCTACACGCTTCATTGTTGAGACTCCCACTGTTGGGTCCGGGTCTTGCTCTGGTCTGAGAGTAAATACATCGGAAGGAGTAGTAGTGTTGAGTCACTCAGGCCAGAAAACGGAGGGACCTCAAAGGATTAGCGCCAAGATAAGTCAAATCCCACAAGCAACAGCAGGTGACATGGAATCTCAACAGTTGGTTTCCATGCCCCAGACTAAACAGGAAATGTATGGTCATTCTCAGTCCGGACTTCAAAAGGGGCCTCCATCGCAGGGCGATCATGGTCATCCTGGTAAGCCACAGTCAGCTCTAGCCACTATCAAACAAGAAAGCAGTGGTTTGGAAAAAATGGATTACCAGTCTGGACCTCAAGGAGTGGTAAAGCGCCTCACCCAGGGTAATCAGCCAGTAATGGGTTATCATCAAGATTATATGCAATTAAAACAAAAGAAGCTGGATAGTTCTGATTCTCATGGCTCGGATGGGACTAAAGCGTCTTGGACTTCTGCTGTTAGTCCCGCAATTAGTCCTCATTTGCCCTCTCCACCTGGAAACCATGTAGGCTTTGTAACATCGGCAGGTGACAGAGCCCCTTCGCACCTCAGTGGAATCAAACAGGAACCACGATCCCCACGCAAGTCAGGTCATCCACACTCTCCATTTACTAAGGTGCCCTCGCCCATAGGCTCCTCATCCCCAAAGGGGATTCCTGTCATGCTACCAACTGGCCATCCTGCTATGCAACAATATATTACTAGTGTTCACCACCCAGAACAATCTGTTATCATGCCACCTCATAGTGTGCCTGGAGGCTTGGGACGGATGTCTCCTCACTGTGTTACCCAGTCGATTCCAGTGGGACATCTCGTTCAAGGAGACGTTAGAGTTAATACTCCACCTCTTTCAGTGATGACTTATGGGATGCACAGTGAGCCTCTCACCTCTCCCTGGTCTAGTTCAATTCAGCCACAGCCTTCCTCACCCCAGGCTGTTGGCAGAGAGAAGGTTCTCAAAGTTAACCCTAGTTCTTTAAGGAGTCATGAGGGTGAACAGGAAGAATCCAGACACTTCCATCAAACAGGAAGACCACCTGCCGCTCTGCAGCCGGATCCTCGTGGGCCTTTGAGGAGTGTTCCATTGGAAACTTACATGCAACAGAGGGATATGCGTGTTCTCATGCATCATCAGGCGGGGACCACCGACCCGCACTCTGGACACATTCAGGAAAGTCTGCCCCCCTCTATATCTCCACATATTTTGTCAAAAGGTGTGTCTGAGAAGGATATTACAAAGTCACTAGAAGCAAAAAGGCCTCATTCTCCTCTTCCTAAGGATGGAATAATGGGAATAAGACAATCTGGAGCAGCAATGGCGTCTCCTCAGCGAGGTCAGATAGTGCCACAAGGACCTAGTGGGTCATTCTCAGAGTACTCGGGAATGTACTCAAACCCAAGAGGTATTCATTCTCAAGTACCAGAGGCTTCAGTTGGACACAACCAACCACCATTGAATGTCGCTCAAAGTATGGTGAGTTAACTGCTCTTAGTTTATTGGTTTAGTGTGAATATGTAACGTATATAAGTTTCAGAATAGTAATGTAAAAATATTTTTTCGTCTAATGGGCTTTGCTTATTGGACCAGTGTAATATTTGCGTGGAGCAAAACTGTCACTGACCTTTGTATGCAAGCTTATTTTTATTTTTTTTACACTAATAAAACTGCTCCTTACTCTTGAATCCGAAGGGTGCAGACCTCCAGGCTAAACCAGATGCCAAGATGACGCAGCCTGTTAATATGGTGCAGTTGCTCACAGTAAGGCCAAAACGATGACTATGAATTGTGTTCACTTCACTCGGTGTGACTGAGCAGTCTTTGTCTTACTCACTTGTTTTTGTGCCATTCATTCAGAAATACCCTATTGTGTGGCAAGGTCTTCTGGCACTGAAGAATGACACAGCTGCAGTCCAGTTGCATTTTGTCTGTGGCAACAAAGCTCTGGCTCATCGATCCCTGCCACTACAGGAAGGGGGTGCACTGCTGAGGATTGTCCAGAGAATGAGACTGGAGGCTTCCCAGTTAGAGAGTGTCGCAAGAAGAATGACGGTGTGTATTTTGGGCTTCAGTCCAACTAATGACTTTGTGTTCCTTTTCAGAACAGAACCACATTGACCTTTTTTCTCCTCTGCAGGGTGACAGTGATTTCTGCCTCCTCCTTGCTCTGCCCTGTGGACGTGATCAAGATGATGTCCTAAACCAAACTCAAGCTCTTAAGGCTGCATTCATCAACTACTTGCAGACAAAGTTGGCAGCTGGTATCATCAACATCCCCAATCCAGGTTCCAATCAGGTGACAAATGGCAGACCATCTCGTCAGTTGCAAGTTTTGTACTTTATGTATATACATGCAACTAATGTCGGGCTCTGTTTTTCTAGCCTGCTTATGTGCTTCAGATCTTCCCGCCCTGCGAGTTTTCTGAGAGCCACTTGTCGCAGCTTGCTCCCGACCTTCTGAACAGGATCTCCAGCATCTCGCCACACCTCATGATTGTCATCACCTCTGTGTAACTGTCACCCCCGGGACCCGTCCGATCAACTGACGTACTCACAGTTGAGCCTCAGGAAACCAGAGGAATAATTTTTTCTTCCCCCCTACCCCCGGACACAATGGGGAATGTGTAGGATGTACCCTGTCAATCAACAGTTTTGATTTCTTTCTTCTATTTTTCCTCTCATCAGTTTTTTTTTTCCATTTTGTTTCTCCTGTCTGGTAAAATTGTCCTTCTCAAAAGAACTCAGGGATGGAACAAACCAGAATGAGTCTTACATGACCATTTCTCTGCTGTATCTCTATTTATTGAAGTTTTATTTTAGTGTTCAGAGATGCTCTGAAGAAAAAGAAAATCAGGACATTCGAACAAGACTTGGTGATCTGTCTGGCTGGCGTGTTTCCTACATTTGTCTTTTCATCTTCATTTCTACACAGGAGGATCATAGCAGCTGTTGCACCTCAGTGGCTGAAGAGACATTTCAACTAATTTTAAATGATTATGTACAGACATCCTCACTCTAGCTTTCTTTAGAGGAGGAACAATTAACTTGTAAATCTTTGGAGACCCTGATGAGGACCATGTAGATGTAACGGCTCCTTTAATTCCACCACCTCTGCTCATTTTCTCACACTACTGAAGCGACCGCACCTCTGGCCCCTGCCTTTGCATTGAACAAGCTACAGTAAGATTTGGGATTTTTTGAATACGAGACTTTGTAAATATTTTAAATATTTAAGCGTCAGCAGAACCTGGAAAACTTAAGAGACTTTAACTCTGGGACATAACAGCGTGGGAATTTAGATGGATCCTTAATTTTTGGGTGTAAATACTTGTAACACAGGAAGGTTGGCGAACTCTTTGGAGTTGGCCGATGGCACTTCATATTTTGTAACTCAAATAAAACTCCAGAAAACATGAAAATTTAAGATGGTTCTTTATTTTTCTACTCAAGTCCTGAAAATGATTAGCGGTGAGCTAATTTGACAACTTATGTTGAACAAACAAGAGCAAAGGGGGACAATAAGTGTATATTTACTGGTTACAAAAGGAAAGAAAAGCTACAGTTTATATAAAGTAATCAGCGTGTGCATTTAACTCCACTGTGACTCTCCAGTAAAGCCATGCCAATTTGTGTTAATCTCTTTAAAAATGGCTCTGCCTTGTAGAATCATCCCCGAAAGCTTAGACTGTACTTTCGTTACACATCTGAACCTCCTGTCTTAAAAGTATAGTACAACATTTCACTGGTCCTGGGACGCGTTCCGTTACAAGAGTTTTACTGTGCAGGTCAGAGCTGGTCATGTCTTTACCTCCAGGGAAGAGTTGATTTAAGATGCGAGTTTATTAAACACTAGTGTTTTAAGTGATCACTGGAGCCGAACAGTGCCACCAGCTGGTCTTCATACTGGGAGATGTTCCTCTTCATGATGTCCATGCAGGGTCCTAACAAACGCTCAAAAGCCTGGATGTCGATTACTGGAAGAAAAAGGCGGCGATTGTGTTTATGTCGGCTTTCAAAGGTCTTTCTGAGAGCTTCAGATTAAAGAAGGGCCTGCAAAACACACTTGGCCAATTGTGGGATTGCTGAGGCGGCAATGTCTTCATTCTGAAATGATACCTACCTAAGCATTTGGTTTGTCCCACAGCGTAGACTGATGCTGCACGAGGTTTGCTGGTTACCAGCGCCAGCTCCCCGAAGTACTGGCCCCTGGAGCAGCGAGCCACTTCAACCTCTGAGTTGTTCTGCTGGCCCGACTTGGTCTGTAGCAGACACACACAAAATTTTGTGTGGTGGTTCGTCAATCGAACAGCTGACAATACAGCAGTTGTTTGTTGTTTTTTTTAATCGAATACTGTACTCACTTTAGTTTTGATCATAATCTTCACCTCTCCTGACTCCACGATGTAGAAACAATCAGCCTTTTCCCCCTGTGGGCAGCAGCAGAAATGCTTTATCCACATGGCAGATACACTAATAGAAAACTGCTGATCTAAAAGACTGTACCTGTGTTATTATGCAGTCTCCATCTTTGAACACTCGCACGCCCAAAACATCAACAATCTTCATCCTCTCAGAGAGCTGCAATGAAGCAGGACACAGGTACTAAGCAACAGAGGGAGCTGAAGTGTGCAGGGACCACAAATGTTTCCGTACAACATCTATTTACAGCTCATACCTCAAGAGACTTCAGGAGAGGAACGCACTCTATGAAGGCCTCGTACATCCTCCTCTTCTTGGCGTTGTTTTTCACGATCAGCCTGTGAAAGGTGGCTCGATCCTGGTGGGGCAGCGGCAGAGAAAGTTTCAGGCTGTGAGGACTGTGACGGGCTTGGGGACGGACGGCATGCTGTGTCCTCTCACCAGGCCCCACAGGGCGCCGTCCTGGGTTGCTACGATGGTGGCGGCTCGCGGCGTGTTGTACATCAGAGCCAGCTCTCCGAAACTCCCCTTGTTGTTATACTTCCCAACACATATACTGGCTCCATCCTTGAGCACAAAAATGTCATAGACGCCTCTGGGAAAGGTGAGAGCCAGAGAAGAATCAGGTTTGACAGCCTCATTCTGATTTTTTACTGAAAGGAGAGAAAACTGAACCATCTTACTCACTTGTCTATGACATAGAAATTATCCCCATCATCTCCCTGGTCTATGATGTGATCCTCAGGTTTGACCAGCACCTCAAACATAGCATCCAAAACCTCAGAGAACTGCTCCTGGAGGATGTCAGAGAAACAGGTAGAGGTTTTGTTTGTTTTGGACAGACATATTTAAAGATTCTGGAGGTCTGCTTGAAAAGTTGCAAAACTTATGGATATCTTTCCCTGTGTTTTGGAACAAATATGACCTGAAGCAACAGCAAAATTAGAGATTAGAAATGTAATCAACTATATAAGTCAGAACTGGTTTGTCTTTGATATGATACTATGATATGATACTTCCTTCCCCATGCTTTACAACTAATGTTTACAGTTCAACAGAAACTTATATGTGTATCGCATACAGTTAAAAGCACAGAACTTTGCTTTCTTTGTGGTCCTTTACACAGGAAAATACATTTGACTGTATTCATAAACTTTTGTAGCCACATCTTGTTTAGTTTTGATTTAAGGACACAAACTGGCTCAATAGGAGTGAATGGTTGATGACGCAGCAGCAGATCAGAGATGTTTAACTGCTGCCGAGGCACCATGTATACGTCAGCCTAAAACACCAAAGCATCAGAGGGGCCACCACCTCCCCCCGTCAAGCCTTTGAAAGCTCATTTAAAGCGTTGTACCTTCTCCAGAGTTTTAAACAGAAGGATATCTTTGCAGGCGTCCTGTAGCCGCTGCCGCTGCTCGTCCGTTTTGGGATGCACGACCTGAGGCTGCGTGTCATCGTCTTTGTCGTCATCGGGGTTGTAGGCCTCTGCACAAACTGCAGCAAAAATATTCAACGTAAAGGTCAGCGCCCTCATACCAACACTACTCCGTGTTCACTCCACACGTTGTTCCTCTGACCTGCGACTCTGCGGCTGTATTTTCCAGGGGTGGGTTCTGCACAGAGAAAACAGCAGGTCACGCTCCGAATGGGGCCCACAGAGCACAAGCTCAGAACAAACGGGACAGTCTTCTCGGCTCATTGAATACTCACTGATGGTGTCCTTCTCCTCCTCTTCCTCCTCGTCCTTCTTTGGCTTGTTTGAGTTGTTCTTCAGAGCGACGCCCTCGGGTTTGGAGCCGCACTTGTGGGCTCGCTGCTCGGGCTTCTGGCCCTCCAGAAGTTGAGTAAAATACTGCACGGCAAATTCCACCAAGTTGGGGGGCCTGTGACGGAGCACCTCCACTGTGTAGCCCTGCAGCAGCTCCTTCAGGCCGGCTGGGATCTCCACGTTACTCATGATTACGGTTCAGAGGTCAGTGGCCGAGCTCTGACAGTCTGAACTGAGCTCAGTGCGTGAAACGTGAGGTATGGCAGCATCAACAGCAGCGAATGATGCGATTCCTGGTCTGCTTTTCTGAAAACTCGTCACAGGACAGAGGGACTCCTCCCCCTCCCGCTCCACTGTGCTCTTTATTGATTTCTTTATTTAGCACAGCCTGTCGGAAAGTATTGACCTAGACTTTTCACATCATCTGTAATTAATGGCCGTCCAGTGGTTTACATATCAGGATGTGTAAGTTGGACAAACAAACAGCTTAGTGGGAGCAGTTTTGCGTCTGACACAGTCAGACAGATGGTTTGAACTCACAGGGCTCCAAATGACCACACATCTCACACCTTTAATCTGACAGCATTTCACTGTACAGTTCATGGAGCTCTAAAAGAATGGCCCCTTTTTTCACATTTTCCAAAAAGTTCCACTGTGGATCCTTCAGATGCTGGTGAGAAAAAGACAACTGGAAACTTTTCTTAGTCAATGCATGGGTCATGATGACTGGCTGCATCGTAACCCCTGCTGCCTGCCATGAGGTCATGATCCTCCCAATGAATTACTTCATGTTTAAGAAATCTTTTTAATACACGTCACCTAAAAGATGATTTCCAAACTGCATAATAATGTGTTAGTCTGAGTGTAAAACAACAATGTTCGTAGCAATACTAATCGTATTGCTAAAAAGCTAAGCGAGAATGGACGGTTTTAAGGGCTTACGGACGGAAGCATCTTCTCTTTCAAAAGCACATGGTAGTACATCTTAGGTTATTAAAGTTATTTCTGAGCAAACCACGAGACTTCTGGAACAATGCCCTCTGGACAAAATAGTCACGATGCTCGCACCATGTTTGGAGAAAAAACAAACATAGCATATCAGCACAATCCCCCAGACCAATGGTGGAGAAGCTGGGGGGGTTGAAGATTTGAGTTTTTTTAGCAGCTACCGGACATGGAGCCTGTATATATTTCCTGTGATAAATGTCTGGCAGCTGGAGCTTCGCTGACACTGGCTCGTAAAACAGGATAATAATCTCCAAGGAGCGGAGGCTGAAAAATACAGAATTAAGGTGTTGCAATGACCCAGAAAACAATCCAGACCTCAGCCTGACTGAAACGGTGTCATAAGACCTAAAAGGAGCTGTGGTGAAATGCCCGCAAACCTCAATGAATTGAAGCAAAGTTGAAAAGAAGAGTCGACTGGATTCCTTCCATGAGGACTGATAATTATCAGACATAAAAGTGATGACTTGCAGTCACTGGCTCTACAAACTCCTGGATCATGGGGTTCAGTTTAGACTCTTTTTTAAAAAAGATGGACGCATTAAAATCCATCACGTTGTTCTTCGTCTGACTGAAAAGTTCTCATGTTAAGTGCGATACTTTTTAGTGCATTACCTTTGTTTTTAAGGAGCACAGAAAACTGAACGTCTGAATTTTCTCCGCTTCTGGATTTCTGTTAAGTGTTGAAAAAAGCCCTGACACCCAAAGCTTCTCCATTGTAAGTCAGCTAATGCAAGACAAACGACTGGAAAAGTTCATTTCTAAAGATGGCTTCTTTTAATTTTCTGTACATGGTGACATTCTCATAATCATCTTTGATCATTGATTATATTCCCTCTCATGATTTGGGATCAGACAAACAGAGAGTGTATTAGTGGTCTCTGCGCGGGTGTACAGGATGCAGACAATTCAAAAGGCATGTGTTACAGAGAGAGATGACCATTAAAATGCTACAAAAAGCATCTTTTCCCTGATAAGAACAGCGGCTAATTTATTACAGAAGGTAAGGCACAGGATGTATAACTCACTCCGTTTCTAATTAAAAAAAAAAACTTAAAACAAACAGGAGGTAAGTAAAAGGAGTGAGAACATTCGCCTGTCTGGTTTTTGTGGGTGTGTACTGGCACCACTGCAGGGTCATCACTGGACCTTCTGGACATCCGTGTTTCTGCAGCCCCACGATGCTTCAACGACAATCAAATACAACAGTAGAAGAGTTGCTAAAATCTCTCGATTCCGTCCAATCTGCATGCGTGTGTTTCAGGGATTCCCAGACGAGGCCACTCCCGGGTTTCATCACAGGTTCGGAGCCAACCAATTCAGAAACTTCATCGCCAGCTCAAATCCTAAGAAACAGGCCTGAAAGCAAAGGACACAGAAACAGCAGTCTTTAGGTTTTGGGCAATACCGACCGACAAAAGCATTCAAAAGCAGCAGATGCGCATTACTAATGACCGTCTCTCCTTTGAACATACTGCCTTTCTGTCTTTCTACCTCTCACATGAGCAGTTCTCATGTGGGATTTACACTGTTTCCCAGGCGTGAACTTCAGGCTTCCAGAAGCCGTTAAATAAAGGTTTCTCCCTCCTGATCGTCTGCACACAGGCCTGCACATTGTGCCGTCTGCGTCTTCCCCGCTGCAGATAAGGCCGACCTCGCCCTCATGTCTGACTCAACCAGGACTTCGGCCTCTCCTTTTCAACTCCACCATTTTCTTTCCGCCACAGCAGTGCTTTCCCTTTGAGAAGCTTTTCACGAGTCCAGATGCAAGACCCCAAATTAAACACATTTCATTACCCTTTCCCCTGTAAAAGAAGTCAGGGAACCCACATCACTTGTCCAACAGCTTTGGAACTGTGCATTAAAAAAATAAGGGAATCTGGTCCTGGAATGGTGTGCTTTGAGTTAGGAAATAATTCATGTACTCTGTTTACAAAGTTTATAAAAGAAGAAAAAAGCTATAAATCTTCCCAAAGAGAACGAGGGTGCCTCGTTTATGTGACAGAAAGTTGGAACTTGCCGATTCAGTCCTCACTCACAGGTTGTCTTTACAGATTCTACTTACATGCTTGTTGTAGAACTATACTTAATGTTAATTAATAATCAAACATCTTGCTGGATGAAAATGGTACCATTGAGACACCCCATGGTCCCACTGTGTATTTACAGCACATTACGCTAGTCCAAAAACCAGGACTGACATGACTAACTGGCCTGGAAAGACACTCTGAATCAGGATTTCTTTTATCGTTTCTACAAATATCAAAGTCAATGGCTGAAAAAAGGCCATACAAATATATTTAGAATGTTTCCTGCTTCAGCAGCGCTCGAACACTCATTCATCTCACTTTGTTGTACAACCATTCAGGAGAAGCCAATGAGAAAATGCCACCAAGAAATGTAACATTTGTGCACCTCTGCATCTGTAATCAAGTATGAATGACCAGAGGTAATCACCGGCTTGGAAACCGATGCAGAAACTGCTATGAAAGGCAGAGGGGAAAAAAACCAGCTTGGTTTCTCAGAGTTTATGCGAGGTGACCACGATTTAAACGTTCTCATTGAGACGCCTTAATCCCACATTATGTGAGAGATGTTATTATTGCAGCTCTGAACCCTCTTCATCCTCCCTTCAAGGCAAACACCACTACAAGTCCAGATGTTCATCCAGCTGCTCTGAGCAGACAGCCAACTCACAGCGTTTGCCGGGAAGGCTCGGAGCATGACGGCGCTGAAGCCTTTGTACAGAGACCCGATGCCCTCCTCCCGGATGAGCTCCCGCAGAACGTCTCGGAAACCGTTGGGATACTTTCCCTCCGGAGCTGAAACACAGAGAGGCACCTTAACAGAGTCGGAGGCAGTTTTTTTCTACCTCATAAAGAAAGACAAATCTAAATGTTGCTTTTATCCCTATGGCTAGGAAACGAGAGGGAATAGGAAAATCAGTCAGAAGGTTTCCTTTAAGAGAACTTTCAGTCAGTACGTCTACATGTCTCTGCAAATTGGGGACAAAAAGGTCATCACAGACCTTTTTCTGTAATTTCCAGTAAAGGCAAACCTGTTTGGAAGCGAGACTTCAGCACGTCAGGTGGAATTGCAACAGCCCAGTTACAGATCCCGGCCATCCCTCCAGCGAACAGCACGCTGGGAACGCTGAGCTCGTTGGGGCTGCGGGGAGAAGACCACAGATCCAGCTGCTCAGAAGCCTTTTTTTGCAACACCCTGTAAATGTGATGCAGAGTAAAGAAAATTCACCTCTTTCCTTCTGGTGTGAGGAATTTCTTCAGCCACTCATAGGACATGAAGTACATCCCACTGGCCGGAACATCTGAGTTACACAGCGAGGAAAACACGGCAAGCAAAATTCATTATGACTGAACACACATCTATCGTCCTAAAATGAAAACAGCCAGGGGCAAACCAATGCAACTGGGGGGGGGGGGGACTAACAGCGCAGCTGCAAATGATTGACTCCAGTCGGAGACCTTCAGAGCAGCCGATAAAAGCTGCAGAGCTCCACAAGTCCAGATGGGGCTGCTCCCTGCAGGTTGTCAACCCTTGAGTGACTCAAACCACCGCTGCAGTGGTGCGTTACATCACTTTCAGCTGCTTTGCCTACGTTGCCCATAATGCAATTCAGCTGCCGGAGCCACGCCTTTAAGGAGCGCTAAAGCTGACGAGTCTCCAACTGACAGGCAGAGCAGCTTTATACTTTTATCCAAATATAATCAAATTAAAAAAAAATCTCACCATTCTGCAAACGTATTACTGTTGGAAAGTGTGTAAGCGTCTTATATACAATAATACAGCTTTATGTTACGTTTGCCTACAATTATTTTTCATATTTGCGCCTAATTCTTACTAAAAAAAATAATTCGTTTATATTCTTTTGGAGGATGCTTAATCTCCATCTAAGATGTGTGTTTTTTTATTGCAGTTTATTTCACTCCACTTTCTAGCTGTTCATGCAAATAATACATATTTAAAGTCACTTACGCTACAAAAATAACATAGTGTTTGTGGTATATCTAAAAGATAAAAAGGTTTTGAAAGTATACTGTACCTTTTGACATTTAACATTTCAATATTCAAAATAAATTTGTTTAAAAGTGTGATATTAGTCACTTTTTTTTTTATTCATAGCACTAATTTTATTTTCACTCATAATTTTAGAGTAGTGCATTTTAAAGCTAACCACAAAAAAAGAACACAACTTTTCAATGTCTTTTCTTTTCAGTATTTACACTTTGAACCCCTTCATTTGCTAAGCCATTTAGGTGACAACTACAACTTTGATGCACTCTTTAAAACCGAGATAACTCAATCTCCACTTTTTGTGGCAAGTTTTTTGGTAAGGACTGAAACCCTGCGAGCACAACCACAAAGGACTTAATGTCACTTTAGGTGAATGAAATCATGCTGGAAAGAGGTGCACAGGGAGTGATGAAAAAGAGCTAATCACACTTCCACTCAGAGCAAAGACGCACCCCTCATGAGAGTCAGAGCTGTGCCTTTGTAGATTCCTCTGATTCCCGATTCTCTGTACAGCTGTTTGACGCAGTCCATGGGTCCCGCGTACTTTAACTCTCCTGTGGAGGCCTGAATCTGCAAACACGCAAAAACACAACAACTATGAAGGCATTTCACGTCTGCGTCGAGGGGGCTGGGTCCGATTTGATAGACTTCAGTGGGTATTTGTGCACACGTGCAGACAGAAACCGCTGACCTGTAGGAGACATTTGATGCGCTCTCCAGGAGCCATGATGGCTGTGGTGAAAATGCCCGACAACATGCCGGCAGCGAACAGCTGTGGATACCTGCAGGAGACGAGATGGAGAAGCTGACGCAGGGCAGAGCTTCAACACGACCGCCTACCACTGAGCAGCCAACTCACGTGAGGATATCATCAGGGGTTTTCTGTTGTAGCTTCTTTCCCAACCCAAATCCAAAGAAGCAGACGGCAAACATGGGCGTAACTCCGATAATCGGGGCGGCCATTCCCTTATAGAGTCCTTTCACACCCTGCGTGTGAACAAGAGAATGAGAAAACACCAGCACAAGCATGTGGAAGAAACTAAACAAACTGAAAACACATGTTTTTTTTTAAAGAGTTTATGGAAGCAACTGTCCTCACCTCTTTGGCTAAAGTCTTTTTGAAACAATCTATGGTCCCGGCATATGCAAGCGTCTCTCCAGGTTTGGGTTTGGTTTGAGTCTGTAATCGCACCTGAAAGAAAAAGGATGTCAGGCAAAAAGTAGTTTGCGATCATGTCGATTTACAGCAAAGTAGACTACTGAAACAGTCCATAATCAATGATTTTCTCGTCATTGTCATTGTTTTTACTAATATTAAATTAGAGCTGTTAATATAAAAATGCCCTCCATGAATTTCTGGGAGAATAAAAGAAAATTCCTTTTAAAGTGATGGGATGCCTCAGCAGTGAGAGGAAACATTCTACCATCACTTTTTAAGAATAAAACAGTTTTCAAGGGAACAATACATTCATTTGAAAAACATTTAGAATATATGCAAAGTGTCATGTCATTGGTTTATCATTCCTTGTTCCTGCCGCTTATTGCTCACTTACAAACAGGTCTTAATCTATAAAATAAGAAAGCATCAGCTTCTGCCACCTTTGCCTTTTGGCTTACCAGGAAATGGGTGGCGGACAAAGCTAGCCAGAGACCACTGAGGAGCGGTTGTCCTGTTTACTGATAATGGACACTTTTATGTCACAGTTGTTCTTAACTCTTGCTTTTCTGGTATGTTATTGTAAACGTTTGAATAATGTGTGTACTGAGAAAGACAAATAAATAACTTGCCAGGGCACTTTTAAAGAAATCAACCAGCCCAAACACTAATCTTTATGATCTTAAGTAGACCTTACTCCCTGACATGAGTTGCAAATGCGCCCAGCGTTAGCTATAACTGCTCAGTGAGTTAGCCGGGAGAGAGGATTGCATGTGGGGCTCAAGGTGAGGTCCACACCTAAGGTTCTGGGTCTCACACGACACCAAGAATGTGATACAGGAACCAAACACTAAAGTCCATGATTCAATTTGTTGATAGGGAAGCCTCTGTTTGCCTGTCTCTGCATAGTACCTGGATGCTGTTTTTTTGTAATAGTATCGGGCGACAGTGTGACAATTCCCAACACTAATCGTGCAACAATAATTACTTTAATGGTGTCAAGTGGGTGGCCAGCGAAAACCAGGCAAACCCCTCCAAAACCTCCTGCGAAGAAGTTCTTCATCGGACTAATCGGTTGCTGCTGTTTAGCCATTTTTGTTTCTGGAGGAAAAAAGCAAGTAGTGAGTAGGACCAAGAACATAAAAAGCGACACGGCGACAGTGAACGAAAGTAGGTGTAAGTTCTCACCTATTTGGCTCTTTTTCGGATAAGTGAATATGAACGCTGCTGCTGCTGTCACTGCGGTCTGCAGGACCTTTGACCCAATTCATTCACCCGGACCTTTTTGACTGAAGCACAACCCTGCTCTGGCACGTCTCTGATTGACGTCCGGGTGGAAATTTTCAGAGTAAACCTTGATAATAAACGAATAGCCTAAACTAAAAAGAGAAATTTAAAGAATGAATAGAATAATTACGTCCTCAAATATTAAGGGACCAAGCTTCTATTCGATTCCATATTCACATAACATGTAAGAAAAAAATCACAAACGGGAGAATAAAAGTTGTTTTTTTCCTCCAAATGACCACGATTACAACATCAACACTAACACCAATAATGTGTGGCTCAATCCCGTCTAAGGAATGCAAAGAAAGAACCAAATTGTAACACAAAGTCCTTGAAATGAAATGCAAAAGATCACAAAAGGGGGAAAAAATCCACACAAGGAGGCGAAAATAAGATTGATGAGACTTAAAGACAATGCCACTCGAGGAAACACAACACGACCAAAACTGGGTCACAAAACAATCCAAAAGACTAGTTGTCTGTATCCTCAGAGAGATTATCTGGGTATTTGTATACATCTTATCCCCAGGGGTTCCTCTTTCATAATCCTTATATTTGTCTTTAATACCCAGTCATAACTTACATATAATATGTCTGTGCTTCTTGTCCTCTTTGTCTGTACTTCTGCTCTTCAGTTTTTATTTTTCATCACTAAACCTCAACAAAATTACTTTGTTTTTTTATCGGATTAATAGAAAAGGAAAGCCTATCCAAAATCAAAGCATACTAAAAATTAGCACAATCTGGTATTAAGACAAACGTTCATCTGATTGTTGTGTAACAGGCTTAACAGTCTGATACGCTGTTCATTCAAACTTTCAGCTTTGATCATGTTGTATATTCCACAACACCACATGAAAACGTTCACTGTTAAAATATAGCTTTATTAGTTTCATTATTACACAATTGCAGCATGTTTGCAGACAGTTATTAATGGAGATGTTCACCACCCACACGTCTTGTAAACAGACCCAATTAGTCAAATAATGTAGACACAGAGATCAACTAAAATCCAATATTTGTTCAGGATTGTGACAGGCTTTCAAAGCCATGCCAGGGACAAGATTAAACAAGGAAAGGCGTTAAGATGGAAAAACGTCAGTCACAACATTGTTGGGCAAAAACAAGGGAAATTGAACTGAAACCACCAGGAGATAAAAAATAAATGCCCTGCTTTTCCATTTCACTGTCTTCATTTTCAGCAGGAAGATGAGATTATAGTGAACAATGCCGTGCGATGTATCACCGCAGATAATAATCACGTAACATCATGCATCAGCTAAGGCTTGATGCCAAAACAATAGTTTGACTCTGTAAACAGTCGGTGATGGTCAGGGAGCTTTGAGTTTGCAAATACAGAGCAATTTCTGTAAATGTAAGGAAAAGTCCCATTTAACAGACTGAGATAGCTGCAGATGCAAAAACAGCAGGGACTCGATATGGAGCAGCAAGATACTCAGCTTCAAGCTTAACAATGGCAGCAAGAGTCAGGGTGTGCTTTGTTCATCTCACAAGAGAAGTAAACTTTTTTAACTTATTCACATTTCCCTAGCATCTTACGCATAATTAAATGTTGGTTAAATTAAACAGGAAGTCAGTTTTAAGAGTGCAGTACCGAGTTAAGAAAATAATACTCTCAGCAACACAGAGTAGTTTGGTCCCATCACAAGGGAAGTATGTAAAAGTTAAAAGTACAGTATTCTGTAAGCACTGAAATAACTCTTTTATGTGCATGCAACCACAGATCCGTCTCTTTCTTACAAATCTTTACATAGTCTCGGGGACCCATTTGGTTGAAGTCAGTTTGGTTAGAATAAGGTGCAGCTGTTGCTTTTATAACTTTTATGCCACAATCTCAAGCATGGGCAGCTCATATAAGGTTCAAACGGTTATTATTGCTAAGGATTCACTTTGAGAGCAGCTTTAAGGTTTGGCCTACAATTCACTGTGATTATTTCTATGATCTAAATGCTCTAAAGGTTGAGAAATTTTTCTTTTTCATTCTCGAAAAGCTGTGAAAATATTGATACTGCGTGCATGCTGCAGCCCTGCAAAGTCCAGAAAAAAACACTGCTCTGTTTTTCTCAGCTGGCACAGAATATCAGTTGTCCGCAAACTTCAGATCTTCCCTTTGGCAGCTTTACCATACCTCCTCACAGTAGATGGGAGCAGACTACAGAGTGTGTGCCTAATACTGATATGGTTAGTCCTGTTTCTCACAGATCTGTGGAAACTCCTTGTAGATCTGCTGTACTATTAGCTTATCCATCTGTTTGGCTGTGGCACTCCCTTCATCCTCTCCTGGATCTTCCTCCTCCCTAAGAATCCTCTGCAGGGTCCCCTGCAGGTCAGACAGACGGTGCTGGTGCTCCAGGTAGTCCGTCGAGCGCATTATGGAGTGCATGAGGGACAGATACTCCATTCGCAGCTTTCCCAGGAAGGAAAGTAAGCAGGTGTCATTATGGTTAATCTCAAATGTTTTAGGAAATAGTTTAAAGCTAACCTGATTCTGTTAAGAGATGACACAATTAAACTCACATACACCACTGTTAAACACATTATTTAATCTCACCTTTTCTCCAGGTGAAAGGTCAGATATTTGTCGTACGGCGATGTCGATCATCACCATCATGTCAGTGCGGTAGAAGATGTCGGAGGTCTCTCGGTCGGCAAAAACATCCTGCAGGAATTTGAGCACAGAGTGCGGTGCCGGTGGGGTGTGTTTGAACATACACACGGGGTCATCTGTAGATGACATCATGGAATATTTTATGAAGCAGAAGAAATTAAAACACAATGGAAAACAGGTTGAAAAATAAAAACACAATCTACTGCATTTTACCGCCTCTGTTCAGTAGCAGCAGGACTTTCTCTGTCAGGATCTTGACATTTTTCTGCTTCAGCTCCTGCATTATCACGTTGTTGCTGGGAGCTTATGGACAGACACACAAAGGACAAACACTGAGTTGGCTCGTCAAAACTAAAGACCACCTAAAAAAGGATGGAGGAAAATTCCTCACTGCCTTTGACTTGTCAAACTGTTGAGAAAGTGTCTGAGGTTGTTCTCACATGTGTGATGCAGGTTAAAGGCCAGCAGGAGGTTCAGGAAGATGTCAGGCAGCTGCTCTGTGGGATCAGAGGGAAGACCGTCCTCCACCACACCCAGCAGAAACTGAACAAAGTCGGCATTCAGGTGTTCTGAAGGCAGGATAGGGAAGGGTAATATCTGTTAAATGACTTCCTCTTCACAGCAGTATGGGAAAAAAGCGTATAAATAAATCTTACCGTAATGATGATATGGCACCTGCTCACCCATGGAGAAGATCATCGTAAGAACCAAAGCTGTGTAGCACATCTTCTGGTGTTCTGGTGAAAATTAAAAAGACAAACACAAAACTGAGATGTGTTCTTTTCTTTTTCTTTTTCAATAGATTTACGCAAATGTAAAGCCAACATCATAATTGACAGGATCAAATGCAGTCAATTAACAAAACTGGTCAAGTGTTAACACTTTCAAAATAAATCAAAGGGCATCCCTTTGGAGTTAATTCAGTCTGAGGTACAGATGTGGGGAGCTCTAAAATCTGAAAGTAAAACACAGTATTTGGGTAAATATTTAATCTGTGCTCTGTAATACAGTCAGAGAACTTTATTTACCAGAGGATTTTAGAATAACCCGACAGAGGAGGTCAGAGAATAGAAGCCACCATTTTTGTTTAATACACACAGAGCAACATTCCACAGCATCCTAACCAGATACCAAAAACTGTTCTGTTTTTAACAGTCAGATACCTTGAAGACAAGCATAACATACTGTCTCGCGATCATGACTGCCATATTACAAATCTGATGATCCAGCTATTACGCAAGCTAAAATAATCTCAGTGTGATGATGTGAGTTAGATGATGCTGACAGCTAATTCTGAACAGCTGTGATGTTCAGCTTTCTCGGTTCACTGGCCAAATGGAAGAAGAAAACTTCAAAACTATGTAAGCTCAATCAAGTTTCAAGTAAAGAACACTAAAGAACACTTTTGAAAAACACCATAGGTCAAGAAAAGTTTAATAAAGTCCTGACAGGGAAGCAGAAGAACCCTCACCCTGTTTGTCTGTCTGTAGGTCCCTGGCCAGCTCCATGGGGAGGATGGAGTTGAGGAGGGTGGAGATGAGAGCAGCGTCCAGGCTGCACATCGCCCCAAACACTTTGAGCAGAAGCAGCCGCAAAGACACTCGAAGCTCCTGCAGAAAGGCAGGGATGAGCTCGTGTCAGCCAGGTGTCCTCATTACAAAGACAGAGCAGTTCTACAATAATACAAATGCAAAGCTAAGAGCGGCTTCCTGGTTCTGGGTGATGGTTCCGAAAGAGGCATTGAGAAAAAAAAGTATTTCATGCCAAAGCATTTAATGCCAAAAGTAAAATGAATATTATTCCTGTTGACGGAAGATTTTAATTCCGAGACAAAACCTGTTGAACTAGTTTTAAAAAATAAAATGTAGTTCGAACTTGTTTCTCACCATCTGATAATATGAAACCAGCGACAGCACATTCTCACAGTCATCGTTCTTGCACATCCTCTTGCAAACCTCGGGATCGGCATCAGTCTGTGAACACAAACAGCAGCCAAATAAAACAACAAGCTGTGTAGCTTCATCATCTGTCAACAATTTCTGGACACACATCAACACGCAGGGGTCCAGCAGCACCCCACAAACACCCATCTGGGATGTGTGTTAAACTGGGTTCACATTAGATGTAAAAAGCATTGAATTCAGGGCGAGGTGCTGCAACACACAGTGTGTCTTAAGCACAGTCTGGTTAGCAGAGCGGCCTGAGCCGCTCTAATCCCATCAAACACGCCTGGTATTTGCAAACAACATCTGGACAGGTCCTGGGTTCACATCCCACATTTATCTCACATGATAAACACGATGGCAAAGCAGCAAACCAATCTCATCACATCCTCCTGAAAGCAATCGAACACACTAAACAGAATCTTGGGAGATTGCATGTTAAAGCTGATGTTGGCTGATTTTTTGCGAATCAAAATGTTCATTTCTCGAGAAATATGCAAAGAGTCCAACCCAATGCCTGTTTATTTAAGACAAAGAAACCCAACAGCTGTAATCCAACGTTACCTTCAGCTTTATCTGTCCCTGTTTCACCTTAAAGCGGATAACACATCTGTTGAGAAACGGGCCTCACAAAGAGACATGACTTGATTACCAGTATCTTCAGCAGCTCCTCCAGGTAGCAGGAAATGAGAGCGTGGTCCTCATGAAGCGCCCAGCTGCGCTGCTGCGAGTCGTCGCGGTGGCGGGTGAGGTCACTGAAGATCACCTCCAGCCGCTGTTCATCGTGACACACCTGACCCCGCGGCAGCGCGGCGCTGAAGTCCTGCAGAGGCACAGCATCAGCACACGCCCAAGTGTGACATCACTTGTAAAACCAGTAGAGAGAAACAACTGTGATTTTTTGGTGGGGCGGTTCCCTGTGCTTCTTAGTCAAAAATAAAAGCTTGTTTAACTTCAAAACAGAACTCAGATTGCTTTCTAAACCTTTGTTTGGCCACATGAGCACCCTATCTAAACTGTTAAACTGGTGTCATTTTCACCCAGATGTTATGATGTGCAGCAACCTGCTTTGTATAATGATGTCTTTTGCGTCTAGATATTTGTTTAAAATGACAATGTGGCATCCTTTAAGTCTAAATTCCTATTTTTAAGCTATAATTTATAGGCAAAAAAAAGAAGAATCTCACTGTTAGAAGGATAATTAGAGCGTATTAAAGAAATGTTGCTTATCCATGGCACCTATGGGTGCTGAGATTAGGCTCCCAGCTGACTGAGCCTGCAGATGTGTTTTGGGAGGAAGTTTCAAAGCCAGACAGAGATACAGCGGTCTGGTTTCTGTGTACACACGCCACAATGTAAATGAGAGATACGGCCAAAAGCTGCCTGCAGTTACGATCTGAGCTTTAACTGAGGGGAGGGGGAAAAGAGAGCGAATGGTGCAGTGTGAGGTGTCTGGAGCTGAAGAATGGGAGACGTGTCAGCTGAATACAAACTGCAGTGTAACACTAAACAGGTCACGCTCCGGGATGCTGAATCATGATGTAACGAAAACAAACCTGACCTTGCTTTCCACCAGCGAGAGCAGCACCTGCTCCAGAGCGGACGAGGCCTGAGGCAGAGCGGTCTGCAGGTGGCCGACCACCACGGCCACGGCCACCCGCGAGCGCTCGTAACTCAGGTCCGTGTTCTTCCGCACCATCTCGATCAGCTCAGCTCCGATGCTCACGGGAACCGGCTGAGCGGCGGTAGGGCTGCCGGGGGGGCTTTCGGCAACAGAAGGGGGGGCAACCGGCCAGTCTGTGTCCGGCTGCTCCTCCACTTTTGGCTGGACTGGACGGGGGGGCTCGGCGGGCTGAGGGGGCTGCGGCGCCGGGCTTTTCTTCGCAGGAGCCGGCTGGGGAGGAGAATCGGACGGCAGGACGTCGGGAGGGGGAGGGGGGGCGGGGGGCTTCACACGGGACGGAACGGGGGGAGGAGGGGTGCTGGACACACTTGGCAGACTGACATCAGAGGACACCAGGGAGTGGGAGGAGCCAGACTCCAGAGAGGTGGTGCTGATCGAGAGGGAGGGGGCGGGGGACGGTGGGAGAGAGGACACTCTGGAGGGGACCTCCGGCTCTGCAGAGAGGAGGGAGCTCCGGTTACAGAAGGGAGAGCGTAAACAGGGGTGACCTGTCTAAGAATAGAGTGTTTGCGCAGGATAAAACTGCAGCAGCAGGTAGCATCAGCAGAAACGCCGTCTGAGGCGGGCGGCGAGTGGAGGATTTCAGACGGAACTCACCTGGGCGCCGGCTGTTCCGCTGTTTTTCAGGGGGAGGTGGGGTGATCGGAGCCGCACGGCGAGGCTGAGGGGGAATCTGCAGGCAGGGAGAGACTGGATTACCACATCCACTTCAGTTGTGGGGACATGACTCCATTCTAATGTGTTGCCGGCGTCCAAAGTCCCACGATTTTGAGTGACTGACATTATGATGAAATCATTTCAATTGACATTGTTCTGCAATTTCATTCTTCATTCATTGATATTATAGTTAATACAAAGCAAATGAAAAAATGGACAGTGGTCATTCTCCCTGATGTTTGGAAGTAAATCAAAGTCCTTCTTTTCCTCTAAAATTCCTCTAAATTTGAAAAGTGAACAAAAACAAATAAATCTGTTCCACTACAAGGACTTCAGTTTAAATGAATGCAACCTCAGATAAATCACTTGCATTACACTGTGCCATTTTTCTTCTATTTCTTAATATTCTAAAAAGTAAAACAAGATAAAGTAAAAAGTAAACCACATGATTCCATATAAAACAGGAAACTGCAAAACTTTGTAAATCCACATTGTTGAAACATCCAAATCAATAAGAATAATCACAAATACAAAGTGGTGATCTGAGGTCATCTTACAACTGAAAATAAACTGATGTTGAATACTTCATATATGGATTTAATTTAAGGTCTTTAACTTTCATTAGTGTCTTTTATCTGTATCATAACATGGGGATATCTGCAGGGAGGGTGGACAAACGACAGGACTGTGCCAGCTGAACTTAACTTTGAAAATCTGCGTTGGCAGATTTCTACCTCAATAACAACCATGATCTCGTTCTGAACTTCAGGATTGCTTGGCCAGTGTAACTGCGTACGCTCTGAGAACAACTCGACTCCATGTGACTCAGAACAGACTGATCAGGTTTTGGGGTGAGAGTGAGCGTGTTACCTGGTAAAAGCCCTGCTCTCCGTGCATACTGTCCATGCTTCCTGACAAAGGCACGCTTCCCTGTCGCCCGTAGTCTCTGTTAAGGCCGTTGGGGGGAGGAGGGGTTTGACTGAGAGATATCTCGCTGCTGGAAGATGGGAGGCCTTGTTTGTGTCCGGCGGAAGAGGAACTTCGCCGAGCAAGAGTTTCCTTTCTGTGATGGATCAGCTTTCTGTGACACAGGGAAATAACAAGTCTCATTCATAACAAATGTCAGAACCACCGTCTTATATCCTGTTTTCAGAATCCACTGTGACTCACTGGAGAACGTCTCGCTGCTCGAGATTGTATTTGCCCCCATTTTTTAAGGCCACATTATGGATTCCCTCAATTGCTCTGTCGATGGACTGCAGCACGTCATCCTGCTCCGGAGCCTGCCGCAGAAGCAAAAAATAGAGGATGGAGAGCTTAAATATTCATTAACATTGCTGAGCCCACAGTAATTAAACTTTAAACTTAACAGGGCATGGCTTGGGGACATGTGCGACTTCAGGCTGAAACAAACTGGGACAGTTATCTAACAACAGCCTTTTAAGCAGTCACACATGCTCGGTGAAGCTTCAAATTCAGGCTCATTAAAGCTCCACTGCCTGCGCCATTAACTGCAGGAGAGAGCATTCCTCTCCTGCCAGAGCTTATAAGTCAGTGATATACACATGACAACACACAAGCTCTGACTCGCTCACTGCAAGTGAGGTCTTCGGAAAGAGGAGTCTCCTCATTACTAACACCCTGTGGATGTGAAGGAGAAAAATCCAAAGCTGTGAGGAGGAATGCATCAGCTCATCAAGCAGGAATCCAGCATCAACAGAAAAATACACAGTCACAGCAGCAGACACATCAGGTCTCTTGTCTTTGAATCTGTCCCGTCTCTTCTCATTTTCTCTAAATCACCACCCTCTGCAGCCATGTGCCGACCCTGTCCCACCTCGGTCTCTCCTCTCTCAGTGACAGTGCAGACAAGTCCGAGTTCCTGCCTCAAGCAAACTCCCCAGTAAATTCCTGTTCTCCTCGGTAAGCGTACATGTTCAGCCTGAACACGGCCTGCACCGCAACACTTTACCCGCAATGGATGGGTCCGTCTCAGTCTCCTCAATGCATCCATCGCCCTCACTACGCCCTCTCTGGGTCTCACTTCACCCCAGGGTGCAGCGATGATGGTCACCGCCTCATCCCAACATCCATCTCCACACAAATGGAAAGCTATCTCTTTCTTTAGCGTACGGTTTTACCTGTATTTTCTCGATGTATGAGGCAGGGATGTAGCCCGTCTCCCCCGAGCTGCACCGGGACCCCAGCCACCAGTGTTTGTTGCTCCTCTCAAGGATTAGGAAGCTTTCTCCGGCCCCGAAGTGCAGCGAGTTGGGCTCCGCGGATCGGAAGGCATACAAAGACCGGTACATGCTTGAATAACCTTTTAATGAGGCTAAATGTCCAAAGTCACCCACGAAATGTTGATCTGGAGGAAAGGAGTACCCGATCGCCAAGGGTCTGTTCAACTGAAAGTGATTTAAAGAGACTAAGAAGGCATGGCTTCGTCGTACCGCTGATGTCTATTTACAATGCAGCTCGGATCATCTGACCGAAGTGTTACCAGTAACCGCCACGAGGGGCGCTGTTGGAAATGAACACACCCACCGGACATTTTAATCGAATGCAGAGCTGCTCCTCCACCAAAGACCCAAAACACAGGCAGATCAGCTCATGGGTTATCTTGTGAATAATACACTTGCAAAATATATTAATTAATAACTCATCAAACTTCAGAAAATCACATATATAATTTTTTGTTTCAAAAGAGGTTAATTTTTTTATGTAATTTATTTAATATAATAATAAATATCGATAATATGAACCATAATTAAATTACAGTGCAATTATAATATGATATTTTAACCTTTTTTATGGGTTTATATTTAACCCAACACGGTGCCTTTTAGACTATCTTGTTCGATTTTTCAGGACGTGACACCGGAAACGCTGGTTTGGTGTTACAGAAAACCTCTTCCCCACTGTGTGTTCGGATAATTCCGTCAACATGGCCGCAGCAGTCTGTGGAAGATTCCTCCTTCAGAGATCAACCCAAGGGTTTCTGTTCTCTTCCAAAGCAGCACCAGCCTTCTCCAGGTGGACCAGCATTTTGTTAAAGGATTTACATCAGTTTTATTTAAAAAAAGAACCTGTAGCGCCTAATTAAATTAAGACATTGATATTTTCTCCCCCCATGTCTCTGGCTTGGGACATGACATTTAAAGGGCTTGTACCGGTAATAGTTATGAAACGCTTGAAGTTATCTCGAGAGTTTGTTGTACGGATTAAATTTACTATTGTAATCTCGTATGAGTTTTAAGATATTTTTCAAATGATACTTTAAAGAACAGTCATCTTTATGCTACAACAAGGCTGGATCTGTCTGTGTCCTGTTGGGAATACATTCAGGTTTTGATTTCGTTACTAGTTAGATTAGTCTAAATTGAATACTTTTTTAGAAAAATAATCTAGAAGAAGACAAAGCACGCAAAAATGTACCTTGAGGGGGAAAAAACTCGAATAACCTACAAGTAGACAGCTATACTCTGTGGCTCCACAACTGGGTTAGAATTGTTTTGTAACATGCTATTTATTGGATAGTCCCAATTTAATTGGATTTAGATCAGCTCTAATTGTTCTGTGGTAAATTGTCAATGGATACTATAAAATGTTAGTATCTTTAACTACAGAATTTGTCAACATTCTGTAACTTTAAATATCTTATCAGCAAATAGCCTACCTCCTAGTTAAGTTCACATGTGAGGATCTCTAATCCTTTATTCCACATCAAACAAAATAATAAAGACTAAATGGTAACATACGAAATTACTTCCATCTCCTCTTGGGAACAATAAAAGTCTATTCTACGATCAGAGAGGACTGTCAGAAAGGCTGATCGAGTTTTTTAGGTTGTACTAATGTTATGTTGAACTTCCATAAACATTTGCATAAACAAACTGCTAAATGTACCATAGTGTTTGTTTTTATGAACTGTGTCCCAAATTGATTTTGTGACCCCATTAGATGAATTCATTTTTGAGCAGTTTGTTAGGACTTTCCGAGGATAATTTTTAATTGATCTTTTAATCACGTCTCTTTGTGTGTGTTATTTTCATGTAATTTTCTCATGTCCTCGGTATACAGTTTTTTATTTAGCAGCATGCTGAATTTAGACTTAAGATATCTGGGCAGATTTCAAGGAACATAAAAGAAATTGGTGAGCCTATCTGAGATTCATGTAAGGCTATGGAACAAAGTGTAGTGGCACAAGCTGCGGCTCCTCAGAAAGGCCGAAATGTCTGTTTCTGTCTTGCAAAAACAAGGTTACTGCTTTTGGCGGACAGCCCTCTCAGTGGGGTGGCATGGGATTTTTGGCTTTAAAACTGGGTCATTTGGCTGATGTGAAATGGTGCTCAGTTTTGTGAAAATTAAAGGGACAGAGAAAGTACACATAATTGAATCATACACAGTCCCCCACTGTGTTTCAGACACATACAATCTTTGCAATAACATGACTAACGGGAGCATTCACAGGTATTCTGGCTCTAATTATTTTTGTATCTTTTGTTGTAGCCCGTTTCTATGCCGGGCTCACAGATTGGAACCTGGTGACGATGAGTTGTATCAACGAACCACGGTGTCGGTCATGAAAAGGGAGCAAGACAATGGCATCCTGATACATAGCTACAGTCCAGCAGGATTCAATATTGATGGAAACCGGGTGTTTGGGCCCTGTGCCTTGGTGCCTCCTGCCATCCTGCAGTGGAACGTGAGAGGAAAAATTTGATAATCCCCAGAATTCTGACTTTGTTGCATTGTGGCATCTGCGTACCGATTTTTGTGCAATGAAGTGTAATGTCCTTTCTGCAGGTTGGCAGTTATAAAGACATCACAGAAGAAAGCGTTTCACTCTTCCACATGCTTGAACCAACAATAGGTACAGACGGAAACACATCAACACCAAGTTTAGCTTTTTTTACAGTACAGAAAAACACGCATGTCCTCATGATAGTTTGTTCGTTTGTTTTTTCTCATCTTTTCTTTTCTCTCCGGCTCCTACAGAGATTCTCATACTGGGCACCGGCGCCAAGCTCGAGCGAATCAACCCCACGGTCCTCGCTCTTCTGAGGAGGAAAGGCATTGCCGTGGAGGTGCAGGACACGGTAAAGTGTCTCACTACTGGCTTTAAAGGACTTTAAAACAAAAGTTAAAGTAAAGAGAGTTTTCATTAATGACTTTTCTGTGTTTCGTTTGCAGCCAAATGCGTGTGCCACCTTCAACTTTCTGACCAGTGAGAGGAGAATGGTGGCCGCTGGCCTGATCCCTCCCTCTCCCAGCACGGCACTAGAAGTTCAAGAGGACTAAGTGTTTGGATGTTAACCACAGACTTTAAATCGAGGTTCACTAAAAAGTGACAAGAACCAAACTCCATTTCTGACATTTATTTATATGGATCGAATACGTTAAGCAAATGGCTGATGAGCCATTGGAGTATCTAGTTTTATTGAGTTATTTTTTTAATGGATTTCTTCATAGATTGTAAAGCAGTCAGGATTTGGTTGTGCTCAGGAAGGATGTGCTGGGTTTTAATGAGACAATCTAAATCTTGGCCTACAAGTCCAAATTTTCTTTCTGTTGATGGCGCCTGTGCTAAAAATGAACAAGAGCAGAAGTGTATGTTGGGAAAATAGGACACCAATGATGGACTGTAGATGTATTCCTCTGTACAAATACAAGTCTCGGTTGTATAGAATGTATAAGGTAAATGCTTAATATTGAATTTGATGCATTTATTATATTTTCAGCATGTACCTTAGATGTCTATCAGATCATCACAATATACTGTATTTGGTCATTTCTGTTCTTGTTGGTAAAAAGATGTATAACTAAATAGTGCACATGTGTAAATATGTTCCAGCCTGTTTGGACATGAGGTGGTGTTGGAGGCGACTGTCCTTCATCTGGATAAGCCTCTTTACTGCGTGCGTCTGTCTGTCGTCCTCCATCAGCAGCGCTGCCTGTGCAGCATATGACATAATTCAGTGGCTTTGTCCTTCTCACACTTAAGCCCCATAGAGATGAGAATCCACAAATCCTTTACACATCACTGTGATTCCTCTCTAATCATCTGTATCAGTGCATCATGTCCAGAGTCAGTCAGTGTTTAATACCACAGCATTCATCCGTAGCTAGAAAACATTCTCAAACAGGTTTTAGTCAGTTTGTCTTCATATACAGGACATATATATTCCTACTAAAGTTAACTAATAAACATATGGGATAAGACATTACATTGTCTCAGCGAAATGATCACCCAACACTGCTTTTTGGTTTCAAATGAAGTGAAAAAAGTGGTCTAATTTTATTCAGATAAATTTGGAAAGAGCATTGAGGTTCACAAAACAAGGGCCCATGCCTCACTAAGGTATCAACGATAAAAACTATGCACAAAAAACCTTTACTAATTATGCAGTTACATTTTCTCTAGCAAAAACATTTGAGATGTACGCAAATGAAAACATTTAATCTGGAAAAAAGGATCTCTGAATCTTCATGCATCATCACCATGTTTTGCAGAAGTTCACAAAAGGGAGAATCATACCTGACGCATCAGAGATAAAAAAGGAATTGCCAACATTTAAATACCAGACACGCTTTCTCGCTCTACTTGCTACATCACACCCTCTGCTTCACAGCTGTGTAGCTTCACCCTCCTGTTTGTTCCGTCGTGCATTGCAGGTGAGAGTGGCCATTCTCAGTCGTCGTCGGAGTTGTGAGACTGGTGTCGAGAGCTCCAGAAGCAGAGCTCCGTTCCCGTGAGCCGCTTGTACATGTCTTTGATGTCCTCACACTCTGTCTCAAAGTGGGTGGTTGCATCATATGAGCGGGACACAAATATCTATGGAGAAAATCACCAACGTTAGGCCTGACAAACTTTATCCCCTTTGTATACATTTTGGGTTATTTTCTGGTGAGTCCCCTTGTTACCTGGCTCTTTCTCCCATCCTCATTTGGAACAAGCAGGTTGCTGACAGACACAAATCTGTAACCACAAAGTAATTTGAACCTTTAAATCGATCCAACAAAAAAAAAAAAGCTGCACGGATAAAGATTTGGAAGTCTCACTAACTTCTGCACGATGGGCTCCAGAAGCTCTAGCCCCGGCTGCACCTCTTTCTCCGGGTTGCTGGTCTCTGCAGTGGTGCTCACAGTGGCAATGTACATCCCATCAGAGGCCACACTGTGGCCAAAGGCCACCACAGATATATAGATGTCTACACCCACAAAATCAAAGGTGACACATTTGGTTTGAGGGATCAAAGATTGAAGTTATAGTGTGTAGCATGCAGGCACACATGAACTGATCAGCATCCAAAGCAATGTTTAAATACCTGACTTCCTGTTGAGCTGTGTTTGAGGGATGATGATCTGACAGGAGCTGGCCTCATGAGTGTTTTTAACTGGATGGTTTAGTAAACAAATCACTCTCACTACACGTCCAACTTTCCTGACTCTGTTGGGGACGTAGCTGGGGTCACAGATCAGCTGTTTGCAGTGGAAAAGCTGCGAAAAGGGCAGAAAAAAATGAAATAGGCTAAATAAAAGCGGCACTTTTGGAATTTGTCTGTTTAGCTTCCACTTCACCTTTCCATCAGATTTCACAGCTTTCACTTTGCCGTTGTCCATCACAATCTCATCTACTGTCCTGTTCAGCAGGAAAGTTCCTCCATACTCTGCATTGAGTCTGAAACACACAAAAGCACGAGATGTAACACAGGATGCTTTCAGGGTGCGTGCATTGACATATTCATGCACTATTTTGTCATTGTGTTGTCTGAATTGTTCTATTCTAAGAAGAGTTATTGTGTCTTCAGTTTTACAGTCTGTTGTCCAGCGTTTTTATGTCTTGAAGCTCAGGGTCGCATCATAAATCAGCAACGATTCTGAGCAGATCGAAACATCGCAACTCAGGAAGCGAGGTGCTGATTTTCGTGCACCAATGGAAAAGTGAAACTTTACTGTTTTTCATAAAATCCCCCGTGCGCAGATCCGAGTTGCTCTGTTAATTTACATGAAACTATTCAACCATACATCACAGACACTGAGCCTGTATGGCACCTGGCAAATCCCTGCGGTAGTTCCCTGAGCCCGTACAGGGGGTAGAGGTACGGGCTGGTGTTGTGGCGGGAAGAGGACTCAGAGTACAGTTTGATCCGGTTGATAGTATCCAGACAGGGCTGGTCCAGGTAACTGAAAGGACAGGAGTATACAGGACTGGGTCGCTTGTGATTGATTCAGTATCTCTTGACTTGTTTTCTTAATTTTTATTTCTGACCTCTCACTGCTGTGTAAGGCCATGGCATGACCTGTGAACTCTATGACGTCTTGTCCCAGATCAAAGCGAGTGAACAGCTCCCGTGTGGTTGTTTTTTCAGGATCCACATCCTGGTGGGTGCGAGGGTTCCTTGTATCAAAATTCAGGGCAAAATGCAACAGCTTCTTGAACCTCCTCTTGTCAAACATGCCCAGCAGATCTGAAAATAGATGCAACTTTTACCAACTTATTGGCTAAGTGCCTTGAGAGTGACATTAAAACATGCATTTGCTTTCTTTTTAGTGACCTGAAGACTGGACATCTTCCTCTGTAGCTGGTACTTTGTGTAATTTGCCTGTTTTGTAGACGTAGCTGCCTTCAACGACTTTGAAGTCCAGATAGCGTGTAACCTCAGTGTGCACCAAGATTTTTACCAGCTGGCCTAATGTAAACACAAAGCTTTTACACTGATACAAGAACAGTTAGATACAAAGAAAGAAATTACACCTTCACATGAATTGTGCTCTCACCAGTAGCAATAAAAAACTTGGGAACAAGGTCAACATTCCATTCTTTTCCTCTGCGAATTGATTTAGGAGGACCAGAGACTTTAAACCTCTTGTACAGCTGAAAAAAAATAGGACATTAGATGTCAACAATACACAATCTTGTTTTAGGAAAATCAACATTTTGTAAAAAACACAGATTGTGACACACCTCTTCAAGGGGAGAAATAGATGCACTTTCTCCCCCATAATATGGATTCTTGTCAATGTGCAGAACCTTTTTTCCGCTTTGAGACATCAAACCAGAAAGGACACATTCCTGAAAGGACCCAGAAGTTAATGTCGAAGTAGGTTCAATCAAAATCAGCAATTATCTGTGCGTAAAGGGAGATCAGCGCTAGAACGATGAAGTCATTGTTACAAATCCCATTTGACAGCCTGTGGGAGCTCAGTGGGTCTGCAGCCTGTTCTGCCTACAAAGTAGTCAATTTATTAGATTAAAAAATAAAAACAGCGTTTATAACATTTGTAGCATTTCTAAATTTACAAGTTGACATGTTGCTTAAAGATACTTTCAGATCTGATTTAAAATGAGTCTCGGCCATTGACAGATTAAGTAAATAGTACTGGTACTATCAGCTTTAAATTTCTTGTTGTCAGCTGGTCTTAGTATGAGTGAAGTGGTAAGACTTTGTGTGATAGTTACAGTAAACATGTTGTTTCCAATTCAAAATTACAGCCTATTGTACCCAGAACAACGTACCATAGACGACAGTTCACATGCGTCTTAAGGATAAATCTCTGCAAAGATTCAGTGATCCGTATATCTGCAAGGTGCCGTGACTGTCTGAACACTTCTACACTGAGTGTAATTTGCTTTTTTATTCGCTGAAGGTTTGATTGTACAATAAACACAAGCTTTCTTACCTTGAGTCCAGTTCCAAGGACTATAATATCATACTCCTGCATCCTAAAAGTGTTTCCAGTTCAGCTGTACTGATCGCTGAGTCCCAGTCCTTTTCCTGCCTGTTCCAGTGTGTGTGTGGGGAGAAAAAGGTGTGATGATAATAGGTGACACTAATTGTTATGTCTTCCCCTAATCCATAATCCTCTTATGACTGGCACAACTATGCATTGTGTGCATGTGCACATTTGTAACAATAAGTGAGACGCATTGATTATTAGTTTAACAGAAAAGGAAAAGTTAAATTATTTGTAAGAATCCCCATTATGTCAGCAATTTAACATTAAAAGTAGCCAGTGTTAAGTACTTAATATTACAGTCGGTTCGTTGCTATCTTTGTAAATGATAATCAGCATTGTCTAAAAGGCTTTAAAATAATTAAACTATGTGAAAAGATTTGAACTTTTCACATAGTTCTACAAAGGCAAAACAGTGTGGACGTGTTTTCTCTCCTTTTTGGTTTTTGGTTTTGGTTTTAAATATATGCATGACAATAGAATATTCCATTAAAATAAGACACAAGAAGACTCTAAACTCTAAACTTCGAGGTGAATATATATCTTGTTTAAATGTTAATTTTACAATAATGAATTTAATTTGTTTTTGTCATTATGGAAGGGACATTCATTTATAAGCCTATCCGTGGATGGTTAGCGCTTCTCCGTTTGAAAAACTTCATTACCCATGAATCAACGAGACGATCGGCTCTGGGACAGGTCGTCTGAGGAGTAGTGGTGCTTGTAGTTTTTACCAAGACATTCGTTAGGCTCGGTGCTAAACATTTAGGCCGTCTCCGCCTTCCCCTGACGTGTTTCGGGATACGCGGGTGTAAAAGTGAAAGCGGACAGCACCGAGCAGCCGTCTGAGTGCCAGTTTGCTAGCATCTCAGAGTTTAACAAGCCAGAAAAATGTCTTCAGGAGAAACCGTGAGTGGGCTGAGTTACACTGTGTCTTTATATTTGATAAACGACAGCTCTTCAAGAGTTGGGTATTTGCACTCAACTCAGGGGTAGCACTTTAGCCTAATGTCTATTTAGCATGTAACTTCATCCAATTAATAGTGGTGTTTCTGCTCAGCGTTTGCCTTGTTGAACTATGTCAGATAGTGACTCTACTTAGAAGTTCGCAGTTATGTGTTGAGATGATTGATTAGTTTGCTGATACGTGTTTTTATTTAGACATTAGATGTAGGAAGTGCCAGAGGTGTGTCAATGTTTCACGCCCAAACTCCTTGTGTTATTGACTGTCCTCTGTTGTCCTTATAATGAAAAGATGGAAAGGTAACATAAAATGTGTAATTGTTCATTTTTACTGAATCATTCAGTGTTTTGGAGCTGCTTTTGAGTACTGCTACTGCTGTTTTATGCACTTTTGAGTTAAACAAATCTAAAGCAGAGTCTGTGTAAAAGGGGTGCAAAACACTCCTTCTCTTGGGGACATGGTTTTAGATAAGTAGGAAATTCTGTGTAATCATTCTTGTTTGTTTGCTGTTTTTGTGCATATTGAGCTGTTGTTGTTCGTTTCAGTTTTCAGGAAAAGACCCAGACCAGCACAAACGTGTGTCAGTAAAATCCAACCCAGGATTCCTGGAGCGCCTGAGCGATACAACAGGAGGAGCTGTTCTAGGCGTCGGGCTTTTTTTTCTGTCTGTCTATGTTCTCTTCACCAATGAGGTGAGAAACGGGAACAAAGTGATGAAACATGTTCCTTTTAAGTGTCTCCTATCAGCTGGAACAATTCATTTACTTGTTCAATGATTATTTTGACACATTAATTTCTATTATACTGCTTGTATCCTCAGGGACGAGCTCTGCGAATAGCTTCCTCCCTGGACGAAGGCCTTTCTCAGGTTGTGTCCCTGGGTTTTCACTCCAGTCTCAACCTGCAGAACGACAACAGTTTAGTTCACCTGTCTGCACCGCTGAATACTTTGCAGGTTGGCTGTCTTTTGTGTAGTTTTTAGCATTATTTGAACACCTCCTTTTAGTCACTAATTGTCATGTCTCTTATCATCACAGCTTAGCTGGGATTAGTTCCCAAGAGTTCCAACATTTGATGACCATTTGGTCAAAGCAAAAACTATGGTCTTATCCCACAGCATAAATGACCAAATGTAAATTTTCAAAATTGTTTATTTGTTTTTATAGTTGCAGCAAAGCACACAAACATTGTGTTGTTGCATGTATGATGATGCTACAATGGTATGTGGCATCTTCTCAAGCATTGTGGCATAGCCCTCAGTGCATGGCAGACATATTCCCAGATTAAACCTTCAGCAAGATGATACACTGACAAATAATATAAATGTTCAGGAATGATTTGGAAAGCAAAACAAAAAGCTAGGGGTGCTGACAGGTCCTCTTAGGTGTCGAGAACTAATTCCAGTAGAGATTCTGTTTGATGTGCTTTGTCTTAACTAACAGAGCACCTTCAACTTTCAGAGGCCTCCCTGACTCTGTGCCTGCTCAGTTGGAGCTGTATAGTGTTAAGTAAGAGAAATTGACACATAAAAAGCTTCCATATATTTATTTTAGGTAGTTGATGAGCAGTAGTTTTAGAATGCGAGACATTTGCTGTGATAAACAGTTGGTGGCGCCAGTTGTCCAGTTGAAAGCCATCATTATTCCATTTGAATCAAGCAAGTGTAATGTAGTTGGCAGGTGTTCCATTCAGTGACATGTTCGTCTGTGTGTGTTTGTGATTGTGTGTGTGTGCAGCCACTGCATGACCCCAACTACAGGGTGACGGTGCAGGCTGTGAAGCTGAGGAGGCAGGTGGAGATGTATCAGTGGGTGGAGTACAGTGAGAGCAAGTGAGTGTGTGTACTCTGCTCCAAGGATGGAGTTGAGTGTAAAGATGTGGAGGATGCAGCACGACTCAAACTGATTGCCGTCTATTTTAGAGACTACCAGGAGAACGGAGAAACCAAAACCGAAACCACGTACACCTACAGTGAGTGTCTTTGTTTTCTGCAGTTTGACTTTAGCAGCTCCTTCTGATGATACTCCTCCTTTTCTACAGACACGGAGTGGAAATCAGAGCTGGTCAATAGTCGACACTTTGATCGGGAAATTGGTCACCAGAACCCAAGGTAATAATTAACTAATGACCTTTTTTTGTGTTTGTGCGTGTAAAAGCGTGCCAGCATTTTCACACTGTCCTTTGTGTCCAAGTGCCATGGCAGTTGAGAGTGTGACAGTGGTGGCCCCTGAGGTTCGAGTGGGACCCTTTACTTTATCCAAAGGTATCTGTACATGCAAACGTACATAGATGCCTCATTTAGAGTGGAGTCTTATTCCCCCAGCTTTTTTCTGTCTCACGTGCAGGCCTGGTCGAGCAGATTAACAACTTTAAGACGCTGAGCTTGAGAGATTTTCCAGTCTTTGAGCTGAACCCATTCCTCTCCATTGATGACGATTATTTCTATCACACTCAGACCCCGCGTAGGCCGGAGGTGAGCAGCCGGAGCTGAACGTTTCTAAAGTATTCTTGCTTCATGAATTCCACACACAGGCAAATGTTATTAAAATTTGTGTGAATGTTTTTTTTTCATTCACGAGGTTGGAGATGTGCGTGTACTGTTCTCCTTCGCTGGACTGAGCAGTGAGAACTCTCGCCTGGGCCCGCCTCAGACTGTAGGTGCTCCTGATTGCCTTCTGCAACATTTAGAATAATCACTGTGGGTGACCACAGTAAAGGTTGCTGTGAATTGTTCTGAGCTGTGTGGGTGGCATGTGGCCCCTTACCGGATCCACGTGTTTATCCTTCCTTTTATCACCCTCACCTGTTTTCCTGTGTGTTTTTGAGGGCTTGTTAGTGTATCAGGTCACATAAAAACCACTCAAAAAGTCGACTATATGGTCATTTAAAGTAGTAATTAGAATTTTTAAGGTTTCGTGTGGTGCTGTGTCTTTAACATGAGCAGCCCAGTGACCAAAGCAAACTGCGTTAATGTGCAAACCTAATTTCTACTGTTGTGTTGTTTTGATTCCGCGGGGTCCTCTCCTGACCCACACATGTGATTGTGTTGCTGTTCACATTCGTCATCCTTCATATGATGACCTGAAATCCTTACAAAATGAAGCCGCAGTTTAGCTTTTTTAGGTAATACATAGATGATTAGTTAGGCAAATAATCATTTGGACTGTAAAATCCTCATTTTTTGTTAACTTCACGTGATTTAAAAGTATCACACCGGATGTCTAAAGGTTTGTCAATATGTAAAGATAATCATGATTGTGTGTGAGCAGCCCAAATAGATGGCTTACCAGTGCAGTATGTATATTGTTCATTCATAACTCATCCTTATGTTACTTTATAAGACCAATAAAAGATTCAGAACAGAATGACATATCAGACACAGAAAAATGACCTCGCCTTACAGGGAATGAATCAGAGAACATTTGCGACCAATTTAATTACAAAAATGTTCCCATTGATTTAATTTCAAAATAACTTCATAGGCTGTTTTTAGCTTTAATTTAATGACGTTCCTAGAGTGCACTGACTGTTTCAATTTTGATGCTGGCTGAAAATAGAAATGCCCTGTTTCCAGGTCAGCATTGTCGCCATGCAAAGAGGAGAGAAGCTGATGCCCTTTAAAACCAAGTCAGGGGGCACGCTGGAGATCCTCTATCTGGAGGAGCTCACTGCAGAGGTCAGCATGGACATCACTTCTCAGTTTCATAACTTTATCTCTGAGCGGCTTTCTCACACTCTGATTAAAGCACATGGGTTAAATGTGGGGCCGGATTGATTTCTGCAGGAGGTGTTTGCAAAGGAACACCAGTCCAACAGCATGAAGACATGGGGACTCCGGGCAGCCGGCTGGGCCCTCATGTTCATCAGTATTCAGCTGGTCATGCGGATCATCTACACACTGGGTACAGCAACACCGTGGGGGCACAGCCACATCAGATATTGCTTTTATCTCTCTGCATCTGCCACTCATGCCCCCTCTCTCTCTCTCTCCCACAGTGGACTGGGTTCCCATCCTCAGAGAGCTCATCTCCGTGGGCCTGAAGATCTTCGCCCTGTGCGTTTCCAGCTCGCTGTCCCTCCTGGTCATCGGAGCGGGCTGGCTGTTCTACCGACCGCTGGTGACGGCGGCTCTGGCAGCGCTAGCTCTGCTCCCGGTGTTCTTGACCCGCTCCCGGCTTCCAGCCAAGAAAAATGAATGACTTTTGAAGTGAGGATTAAAAAAGCCTTTTGCTGACCAGCGACAGACATCAGAGATGTGCAGCGGTCCGGTTTTCCACGTTGAGCAACAAGCTTGAAAATAGTCGCAAACTTTGGTTGATGGTCTTTTTTCTTTTCTTTTTCTTATCTTTTTAAATGTTTAAAGCGCTGGTCTGTAAATAGGTATCATTGTTTTGTGGCTAATGAAGGGTATCGAGGTACAAAAGGAAAGGATTTGGCAAAAGTTGAAGCTACTGTTGTCTTCAAATGTTATCTGATGAGACCTTTCAGAGGAGCACCAGGCATGAGAACCCTCTGTGGTCCTCAGGAGTAAAAAGCTGCTCATAGGGAGCAGCAGAAAAAAAGCAGTCGATTCATTTCGACTGTAGAAGGAAATTGCCAAAGTCGCTCTATACTAAATCTGGTCTCTTTTGACAATGAATGTAGATTCCTGTTTCTAATGCACCCCAAAGAGGCCTGTGGTCCGTCAGACTGGTGATGTCACTGCTTGGTGTGTTTTTTTTCTTTTTTTCTGCTGTAGCACTTTGTTCACAGAGCAAATCACAAGACCAAATCAGTTAAAAAGGTATCATGGCATTCTCTGTAACAGGACTAACTGAATGGTTGTCTTAGACCTTATTAGTTTATCTATAACAGATTGTGCCAACTAGCTAAATTCGGACTATTTCCGAAAGTAAATCAGTTTAGAGGATGGATTCAGACCACTGAATGAATGGAAAAATGGTACACCTTTAGCACCAATGTTATGATTAATACTTAGAACCATATTTGTACAGGAATGTACGTGAGCTAGCCAGGGAAAATGATTGTACATAAAACCTGCAATGCATCAATGGTCAGTGTATTTACAGCCCTACTGCAGAGAACAATGCAACTGCTCCTCAGGTCAGACGTTTGGCCCATCAGGTTGTTCACAGCTTGAAAATTGTAAGACTTGAGGTAAATCAAGAATAACTGAGACGTGTGGGGTGGAATTTTCCCAAATAAAGCTTTTTTTCCTCCTTTCTTTGTAGACGTGGGATGTCAGAATGTAACCTGGACTCAGAGACAGACACTAAATCAGAAACAGCAGACACTAGTTTGTCTGTCAGAGAACTAACGGTTTTATTTTTCAGATTTAAATGTCCTGTTTCAAACATATAATCTCATTTCATTGATAAGTTTTGGGATATCCAAAAGTTTTACCTTAAAAAAGAAAAAGCCATCAGTTAGGCTCTGTGAATGAGACGAAAGCCAAAAAGTGGCTCGTACTAATGAGCAGTGCCCTCCGTAAGTGCACTTGATCTTGTTGTTTCTGACCATGATCCCGAGACCTCAAACTAGCCACCGAGCAGTTATGTGTCTAAGCTGGTTGTTGAATGACTCGTACAAGTAAATGCCATTTATCAAGATTCTGACAAAGTAATTTATTACACAAAACACTTGCATTTTAGCAAAATGAGTTTCCAGTCTCATGTTGTGCATGTTATCATAATGCAGCTAGGGTTTGTCAATGTGTAGGCTCGCACACAAGTTTCTGCGTCGTGTGTGCGTCAATTTGTGGGACTAGTTGAATACAGGAATACAGGTCACAGTGTGCAGGTACCTCACCTCAGTTGGCTGTGGACACATTCCTAAGATCAGCAGCAGGGCTTAAGCACTTGACTGTAGTTGGCAGGTATGACACAACAGGTCCCCTGGCTGATCTTTTTAATTACATACATGTTAAAGGAGGTCTCATTATGGCAAATTTTACTTATGTTAGAAGTACAAAAAAGTATTTTCCATAACCTCAAAATTGAATACTGACAGAACCTGACTACTTTTGCTTAAGACAAAACAGTAAAAGCATTACACCTTTAGTAAAAACAGGGAAAACAGTCTTTTGTGTGGATGTGTTGGGGGGGAGGGGGGGAGTTGGATTGACCTAATTTTCTGCTTTCTTTCCCCCTGCAGGAAGCAGTCCCCGTGCCCCCGTTTACAGTAGGACGCATTTATTGCTCTTCTTCCCCCGCCTGGCCTGTAGTGCAGCCCTGGTGGCCATCTCGAACACTTCCCTCACACCATCCTTTGTTTTCGCAGAGCACTCCATGTATCCAAAGGCACTGATCCTGTTAGCCATGTCCCGGCCGTCCTCTGGTTTCACTGGTTCCTTAAGAAATTGACAAGATGGGGCTCTTAGGAAAACGTGCACGTTTATGTGGGGTGCTGACATGTGTCTGCTTTGTCTGAACTTTTACCTGCTTCATTTTGGCAAGCTCTCTCCGAGTGTGCTCATCGTTCCGCAGGTCCTTTTTATTCCCGACCAGAATGATGGGAACATTAGGACAGAAGTGTTTGACCTCGGGGGTCCACTTCTCAGGGATGTTTTCTGAGTAGGATGACACAATGCAAGAGCAGCTAGTAAATACGAGAACGGAAGAATCTGTACATTTACATGTTGATGAAATGCAGCCTTGTCTGTAAACTAATTAACTCTGTCATTGCAGCTTTAGATGAAAGATGGACTAAATTAGTCAATGAGAGCATTTTAATACCAAACTCAAGACATTTGCACCTACAAACAATCCAGATTTTCTGAGTAAAGTCCAGTTTGGTCCAGATGGCCAATCTGTGTTTCCTTTAAAGAACATCAGAAACAAAGCTCCCTGCCTACTGTTTACATATTTATGTCACTAACAGACATGAACACATCCACGGGGCACATGCTCTGTAAAGCATGTCAGATTCCCTGATGCTGCAGATTTGATCAGAAATTAGGCTGTAAAGTCTCTGACAGAAGTCTGGATTGACCAATGCATGTGTTACGAGTAAAAACAGCCTCAGGGGCTTTAATTACTATGGATGATAAAGCTAGCTGCAAACGAAGTACTTAGGATTTTACGTTTCAAAATATTTTTTAAAATTCTCTGACATATTGATTACGTATAATCAGATTGCAGCGAACAAAATTCTCCTGTTTCAAATTCATTAGATTAATTATTAATGTCTTGTTCTTATCAAATAATTTAGGCCACTGGGACCATTTTCTCTAAGATTATTCAACAACATGACACTAAATCTCAACGAAACGGTAGACTGTTTTTCCTCTTAACTTTCACAAAGTTGTAGATGGCTGCAAAGACCGCCAGACTTAATCGAGCTTCAGTGTCTACACTGGAAATGGTAAATGTGACAAAACATAGTCAGAGCTTTGTTTTCGTTCTTTTTTTTTTCTAGTTCTTACCAAGACTGTCGGGACTGTCGATGGAGAAGCACATGAGAATGACATCAGTGTCTGGATAAGAGAGCGGACGCAGCCTGTCATAGTCCTCTTGACCTGCTGTGTCCCAGAGCGCTAACTCAACCTGCCAAAGCAAAGTTTATGAGTTATCAAACAGAATACGTCAGCAGACCTCTGTTAGGCAACGGGTCTGACACTGAAGGAACACAGGCCTGTGCCTATCCTGTTCCAGACTTCTGATCAGGAGCACAAAAAACTAAAATACATTTGCTTGTTTCAAGTTACATATCTATTATGACAGTGTGCTAACTTTACATTTAGCCTAAACCTGGTGGTGTCTTGAAATGACTTCCTTTTGGTTGCCAATCACTACGTAGGATTTGTTTTATTATGAAAACAAGTGTTTTTCAGAATACAACGAGGTACTCAAATACAAACATCTGTCCAAACCTTAAATTATGATGTTACTTGTGATGTAATCGTTTATTACAGCACAGAGAGATTTGTTTATAATCACTAAGGTGACACAAGAGTTAGTTATAATTAGAAAACCGTCATTTACTTTATTGCAGAGATGTCTTATTTTTCTAAATATTAGAGGTATAATTTAGTTTGGAGGATTGAGCTCAAATTTATATCTCAAATTCATACCACAATCAAGAAATTTTTTGTGCTTTACAAAAAGTACCCTACCCCAATCAACACTTATTTTCTTAAACAACAGAATATTCAATAGAATTACGTGGCAGGGGTGACTTTATATTATAAATTCAATCAGTTAGAAATTCTCTGATTGATAGCAGGTCTACATGCTGCATGCATATGCGATTCCAGGCCAAACATATTTTCATTTATGCAAGTTACTCTCTCGACCAAAAGATGACTTTTACAACGGTTTATCCACTCTATGCATGTTATTAAGACCAACACATGCTTTGGTAAATGCCCTTGCACTCCATGAGCCCGTAATCAATACAGACCCTACGGATATGTATATTTCATCGGAACTAATCAACACATCACCTCTGACCCCAGCAGCTTTTCATGAGAGACCCAGAGATAACACGACCAACAAACAGCTGCTGATATGAGAGGTAAAGGCTTTGTTTCTCAACTGTGGAGAAAAACTAGAGTGAATCATACCTGTTTGCTGTCTACTTCAATGTCAGCTACGTAGTTCTCAAACACGGTGGGCACATAGACTTCAGGAAACTGGTCCTTGCTGAAAACAATGAGCAGACAGGTCTTCCCGCAGGCTCCATCTCCCACTATGACCAGCTTTTTTCTGATTGCTGCCATAGCTGCAGAAGAGAGAAAGAGAACAGGAGAGGTTACAACATTTAAATGTTTGTTTTTTTATCAGTAACGGGGCGGGTCATTTCCAATACACTGAGGAATTATGCAACTTACAACACTACGCCAGTGGGAAACGACGAGCAGCCAACAACCTTCAGCTGTGTTGTCAAAACCCCAAACCCCGTCTTGAAGCAACACCCGAGGCTAACTATTCAGCTTTCCGTGACAATATCGGCCCCTTGGCTGTTTGTGGTCCATTTTGTCAAGCGTTTAGAACTCACGGTGCGGCACACGGCCGAGAGCCCACGTCTTATGAGCTGATTTCGGACTGAACTTGTAGTCAGACTGAGGAGGCCGCTTTCCATTATAATACATTTCCGCTCAAGCTTCTATGGCCCACCCAAGCTTCAGTAATTATTCTGTTTAACCCCCTCGCCATCAATTACTGACAGACTTTACGGTACTGTGTAACTACGAATTGCAACAACGCTGTCTGACCTAGATTTAAACAAGCCAGGTAGATGGTCTGTTTACTAAAGACTTAACGATAGCTACCGCAGCTAGCCAACTAGCGTGAAACGGAGGATGTACTTTTCCTCAAAAGACCAGATTTAAAGTGTGTACAACTGCGATATAATCGAAATTAATTTTATATAACAAGCACAACTACATTATGTTTGTTTCCGGTCCAACACCACCACCGAAATCTGTTTTCCTTTTGGGCAAAAAAAAAAGTCCGGCACAGCTAGCCGGCTTAGCTTAGCACAACGGAAGTCAAAGCGAGTTTTATCGGTCCGTTAGCTCGGCAGCTAGCCTCAACAGATTATGGAAGAAAATGTTGATTATATATATATAAGTAAATGCGCGCCATGGGGCGAATAATAATTTGGAGAAATATGATCGATTTTCTGTGAATACCACAAACTTACCGAGTGATTGGTTAAAAAATGGGATCAAACGAAGTCAAAGTAGCGCTTTGTTAGCCTCCGTCGCCGCTGCCTGCCTGCGCTGCTGGAGGATTAACCGGAGGGAAGTGAGGGGGTGGGGACGGGAAAACAATACTGTACAAAACCCACAAACGAGCCCTTCTGAGTACACACCACCATTAGTAAAATGATCACAATTATTAGAATAGTAGTAACATAGTAGCAGCTGCATAAGTACTAAATAACTGACCACATTGGCATTGTTATAAATAATAATGACCATTATTAATAATTGATTGAATATTAGAATTTCTTGGACCGAATCCAATAAATATACCCAGGTATTGGCATTCCTTTAGATTTCTTAATCAAGACTGGTTTGGGATCAATTGAAAATATTGTCTCTAACAACATCTTCAGCATTACAATTTACTATTTGTAATGACAGCACAATTGGCCTTTTGAAATAATTCTTTAAAGCACAAAAATGTTTTTTTTTAACTGCAAGTGTCCAAATCCTCTAAAATTACAAAATCATCATCTTACATATTCAGAGTAAATCATGAAATACACTTTTCCAAATACACAATTTTGTTTATTTTGTTGTTGAGTAAATCTTACACTTTATAATAAATCAAGTGAAACTGTATATAAATACAAATACAAGAAGAATAGAATACAAATAGAAAAATTAAAGAATAGAAATTCTGGTAGAGATTGTGTTCCATATTTGCCAGCTTTGGAGTGTACAAATACACGGTTTGGCCTGCCAGAAGAGCTCTTACCATTCAAAGCGAGAACCTCAGTAAAGGAGTTTTTCCAGCCCTGAATGCATTTACTAATGAGGACTGGTATACTAAATCTTAAAGTGCCATGCTCTATACTGTAAAAGTACAGCAGAAAGTAACAAGCTGATATAAAAAAAAATAATTTTCAGACACATGCTGATTATTAATTAAAATACTGTTAACTGTCTTTGACATGCTGTGTTAAAACAGGCCTTTTCATAGCAAACATGTTTTGAAAGGAGGAGTAAGCATTGTCAGTGTGACACTCGAGTAGCTAAACCAAATATAGTCTATTGCAACATCTTCTGTGGAAAAAATGCTTATTAACTAAAATGTCAGTGTTCAAACCACATCAGGCTCCTGATGTGGTTTTGTGACTGTACATTTGAATTAACAGTGGTCCTAATTTATCCTTTACTTTCTTGGTTTTCGTAAAAAAGTGAAAAGTAATTTATACATTTTTTAATAATAGTTCATCCCACAGAATACAATCAGTTTTTGCATTGTATTCTTGCAGAATATAGGCTGAGAAGAAACACTGCCTTACCTGGATACATTTAAGTGTTTACTCACTGAAACAACTTTGATTTGAAATTATCAATCAGATGCTTTAAATGTAAATAATCAGTAGAAAAATGTGTCACTATAATCAACAGGAACCTGATCTTAAGGGAGGTATTGTTAAAAGTGTCAGAGAAAAGCTGATCATTTAACTGTGAAAAAACAATTTTCAGACCAGTCGGGTTAAAGCTACAAGCCAGACCGACATGGTTCATAATCAGCACAGCAGTGTATTAATAACTGTGGCTCTTACTCTAATCCTGCTAAGAGGCTTTCTCAGTGCTGCTCAGTCTGAGCTCGTGGAAATAAACTCAGATGCATTTCCATGAAAACAGATATCCACATTCATATCTACGCTGGTGTGGCCAGTCGCTAGAAATAAAGAATGCCGGATTTTTTCCCCCTGAAATCCAGAGGCAAGTTTGATCCGATTCTCAGAATAATTTTGAAAAAAGGAAGCAATTTAAGCAGAGATTTCTTTTTAAACTGTTGTTCTGGATGAACAGAGTTTGATGCCGGTCAATAATTCAAAGTGAAAAGGAACATTTTTTCCAGCACTCACGAGAAAGATATCCAATAGAAGTTCAGGACTTTGCTTTTAAAAAGAAACACAAAATATTCACCGTAACAAATTCTTTATTTCTATCTTTTAAAAAAAGGCTTGTAAACTACAACAGGTTCTCCAGTTGGAACATCATATAGCAATAGTCTGATCAAATTCACTTACATTTTCTTCCTTGACTTCATTCTTTGCAAAGGAGACTTTTTCAATAAGCTCCAAATAGCAGATATTTTCGATATCCAAACCTGACCCATTTTCTACTCTCGTCACATTTTCACTGATTCAATCATTTATTGGTTGACTGGTGACTGGTGGTAAATTAGACATCAGAAATAAAGTAAAAACGCACACATTGGCATTTCACGTTTCACAGTGGCTAAGGCGAACATAAAATAATTTAAAGAAAAATTCTGTGCTGGAGTAAGACTGAACTCATTCGTGAGCAGTGAGGTCACACTGAGGTCTATTGTGCTTGAACCATTTCAGTCTTCCCCTCCCCTGGCCATCCTGTCACGCAGGGTCTAACGCTATCACAAACTCACAGCGTGTGGTCATGAAGAGTGACCCTCACTGTGTGACTGTCTTTCTCTGCCCCTCGGAGGTCCTCATACAGAGAAGGGGTAGTTCCGCAGGAAGCGCAGCAGAGGCTTTGGGAGGGGCAGCTGCTCGGGGGATTTTGTGTGTTTGTTGATGGCGAGACGTGTCAGATGCTGCAAAGAGGGGAAACCCTGCGATCTGTGCAAAGGACGCACCAGCTTCAGAGGGACTCCACTGTCTTTAGCGTCAGTCTTTGTCTGAGGGCGGATCGCTGCCAGGTCCCGCGACGTCTGGCCTGAGAGGGAGTAGTGTTGGACCAGGCTGAGGACGTCAGGGAAGGACTTCAGCTGGGGAACGCCGGGGGAGGTGGAGTCCAGCCAGAAACAGCCCCTGTTGTACTCTATGCGCACGCTGGTGGGTCCACAGCAGGTCTTCACTGACAGGGCCAGCATGTACTGAGGGTGGGTGCTGTCACGCACCAGGAATGTGCCTTCAGACTTCGTCAGGAGAGCTTCCCGAGCTTCGCTGGCCGAGATCGAGCCCCAGTACCAACCTGTGAAACGAGAAATGTTTCAAACATTGGCCCGTATTTTTGACAAATGCCTGTGTTTATAGATTCTCATGGATGAGAGACGTGGAAGTGTTCATCAGTTAGATGCTGTCCCTAACCCCGTATGGTACGCATGTAAATAGTGCAATCACTCCATTCTCACATATTGAATTAATGATGTGAGCTGGACTGCAAATCTGTGCTGGACTACCTGAGGTCTGGAGGTACTGGAAGTTGGTGGTGATGCAGCGGAGGTCCTCTGCCGGGTCCCAGAGTGGAGGAGGAGGTTGTGGTGAGCAGGAACCTCCTTGTTCCCCGTGGTGCAAAATGGATATGGACTGGGCTACCATTTCTGACGTACAGCAGACCTGTCAAAGTTAATATTTATGGTGAAACAGGAAAATGACTTATTTTTCTAAACAGGAAAAACTGGAATTTCTGAACATGTGAGGCTCAAAATGTTTTAAATTCACACAAATGTTTCCTTTGTTTTAGAGAAAGATATATAAAAAAATGTTTTTCCTGTTGATTCTTCAACATCTGTAAGAAGTTAAAAATCAAACAGTCTAAAAGAAAATAACGGACAAAATGCATTATTTAATGAATCCTTATTAAGATAAAATAAAGAGTAAAATGGCTCAGTAAAGATCCGAGTAAATAATTTATTCACTTGGTGCCATACTGCTGTTTTGGGGGGCAACTGGACGCAAACAGAGAAGTAAACATCAAATGGATCCAAAACTAACAAAATGCAGAACCTCAGTGAATATAAAACAAAAAGAAATCATCACCAGTGTCAACAAAATAAGTGGTATGTATGGCAACATACGCAAAACAAATACATAGATAGAAAAACCCAATGCCCATAACCACCAAAGAAGCGATAGAATAAAATCTTACCTCAATTCGAGAAAATTCAACACGGTGGCAACCATAAAATAAAAACGAATCTTTGCAACGAATTTGAAATAAGCATAAAAGTCAGAAACAGAGAAAAAAAAGCGTCCGTGCGCTCTTCTGGTGAAACGGCGTCTGGGTGAGCTCTTTGCAAAGTACACAGCGCAGATCAGGCCGACGCACGGATTCTTGGAAGCTGTTTCCAGGAAAGGTTTTGTGTTTCAGCGCCCGCAGTGACAGAAAGGTTGCAACGAGCAACAGCCCAAGCCGCCGTCAACACGTCAGGGACACCACTTCCGGTTGACGTGTCACAATAAAGCGAAAAACGCCACTTCCGCCTCTTGTGAGAAAAGATGAGTAAATGTCCAAGTTGCAGATGTCACATCAGGTCATCTGGCCAGAGGAATGGTGGCATTGGCCTCCAGCTTCGTTCTATCCTTTGTCTATCTTAACGTTGCAATATTCAGGAGACACATCCAGGGGAGAACCCTGATTTTTGGGTAATGACATCTGGGATAGGCCACAGAACTTAAAAAGTACCTGGATATGATCAAGTGGGTATAGATGTATGGATAGATGACAGGAAAGTGTATAAGATGCATTACAAAAAGAATCATAATGCAAATTATTTCAGCTCCTCATCAAAATGAAATCAAATTAAAGTGAACATTTCTATACAGAAGTCCAGAACGAAACACAGAGCATGAACCGATAAACTGTGTGAAATTTCACATAAAAGACTTAAAAATGACCACTTCTATAATTGATATTTGTTTTATATGTGCACTAAATAAGCAGAATATCTATCCGATGCATCAATGAATATTCAACAACTTCATTGTTTTTTATGTGCAAATAATCTGTTCCACCAAAATAAATTCCCAATGTAATCACTTTACATTATTTTCAAAATATGTTTTGAACCCTCCATCAGATCCCAGACTCCAGCTAAATCAGGCAGGGACCTGTCTGTTCCGTCATGCCAATGCAGATGTTTAGCAACTTTTTACCTGAAGGTCGCCAGCGGTACTTCCGGTTTATGCATCGATTTGGAACTGACCACCGGTAACAGCGGTGAGTTTCATGTTGCATTCAAGTCCGACACAAATGCTGATAAACATGGAGTGCTTGAATCCCAGTAATGTTCTCTGACTTTAACTCAGTAAGGGTTACAAAATCTACATGAATATACCGCTAAAATATTCTATACGATTTTTAAATTTGATCACTAATCTCTCTAAATAATTTTTAGCAGGTTTATGCCTTTTTCATGGTCAGAAAAGGAAAGAATAAACAAAAAATAGCTTGAGACACAAATTGAATCTCTTGGAATTTAACTGTCTTATCTGAAGAGGACATGTCTTCATAAATTCATCCTAACCCACGCCTTATTACCAAGTAACGAGACAATGACCACTTGAAAGCTGCTATTCAGCACTGAACCCTGCTTTCCAAGAAGAAATCTTTATATCAGTTTCCCATGAGTCATGAAAGCAGCAGAGAACACAGCTGAAGGCTTCTGAGTAGAGCGCCTTCTTGGAAAACACACTCAACCCTGTGACCCCTGCTGCTGCCTGCCTGCATGACTATGGGATATCAGTCACACGCAGGCATTTAGAAAAAGAGGAAACGAGGGCACGCTCACTGTAGCAGCGACAGAAACTGTTTTATTGTAGAACCATGAAAAACAACATCCTTTAGCTGAGTGCTGTGGATGCTGAGAGGCAGCAGCAAATTTCTCGCTGATGAATTTGGATTTTGTAAAGCCTGAACATTCTGCATGTTGTTTGTCTTGAATACATGACTGATAATCTACCCTAAAGCAGAAAATCCACAGCAAGCTAACCCTTTTTAAATGATGTTTCTCAGTTGAATCAATTATAGATTGAATAAAAAAAAAAAAAAGAGAGCTAAGGCAAGAAAAAAACAAAGATGGAGGGAAGCTGGTGATTGTAATTCTACCTGGAAAAAATATGTCTATGTAAAAAAATCTCAAAACATCTCGAGTCAAGCTTTACAAGGTTGGCAATAGGTCTGAAATTATTATTTTTTGGTGGATTAAAGCCAATCAGTTTGCTGTTGCGGTTTGATATTTGAGAAAAAAAGACCAATTTAAATATAATTCAACCAGATTACACAGAGTTTAAGATTAAATTTTAATATTTGATGGAGAATTGGTTTAGGTTTACATGCCCCAGTGTTATTAGTTTTTAAAATATTACATTCAACTCTAACTTTTAACTTACCACTTGATGTGTGTAGAGTCTGATATATGTTCTGTACTCTGTTTTTTGTGGGGCAAATTCTCTTAATAGCTGCACTGTCTGAGCTTGGGCAGAGCTTGTTCGCATGTCTAGTCCTGGGAAGATGACAACCATCTTCATTGAATTCAACTTTTATTACTGTAGAATCATGGACACTGAGTTGTTTGTAAAGGGCCTTATATCCCTTCCCAGAATGATGGACGGCAGTGGTTTCATGTCAGTGGTGACATCTTTCCTCCTTGACATTTTGTTAACACATGTCCAAATGCTCCTGACCTGGAAAGAGCCAAAACCTCTTCCTGATTACGTGGAAATCAACTCCCTTTGATCAACAACACTTGGCTGTTACTTAGCCACTTAATTCTGATGGAACCATTGAGGGTGCACTTAACAACAGACATTGTGGTTGTTAAAATATGGTCACAGTAACTACAGAAACCTCTGAATCTCTCTGAATTTAAAAAAATGTTTGGCTGCATTGCATCAACATGTAGTGACTTACAGAGTTTATAGAAACTTTAGACAAAATCTGTCTGCACAATGACCTATCATTGGAAACTATAAATGGATTAATTCAGTTTCATTGTGGATGCATTTCCCTCATTTTCATCCTGTAATGTGCACATTGACATACAAATTCATTATCAAAGACTTCAAGCTAAACACTCAAATAACAAGTCAATCCTTAAATATCATGACATTTATTTGTGTAGGTGTGTGCATGTGTGCCTAATTTTCTTCCCAGTTCTCTCCCACCCCTTTGATGAGGCGTTTGTTGCCCCTCTTCCCTCCTGGTCCACGGGGTTTAGCAAAGGCCTGCTTCAAGGTGTGCTCCATCGGGTGGACCTCCTCATACAAGAAGTCCTCCGTCAGACCATCGCCACTGTCAGTCTCCATCTAAGCACACATGCAGGTGAGTAATATGCTGCTTATATGTGCGTATAACACTGCAGTTTTAGCCAGTCTTTGTGTTGATGTACCTTCTTGGTCACCTCCAGCTGGTAGTCCCGCTCCACCTCATCCAGTAGCCTGTTCTTACAACTGGAGTACAGCATCCGCTCCTTGATGCTACAGGTATATCCAGGCATTGAATAGATGAACACTGAAAAGATGTGAAATTGGGTAGAAGACATTTGCTGCATCACAGAGATGTCTTACCATCAATGAAACATTCATCATCACAGCCTTATTGCTCCTGAACTGACCCAAAAGCCATTAGAAAAAGACCTTTCTGTATTTGTCGTGTTGAGATTACACCCAAAGGTTTGCTGAAGGGATTAAGATTATCTGCGTGTCAGTTACATTCAGTTCGTTGTGGCTTGGTCCACACCTCTATCAAGGTATCAGATTTTCTTGTGTGCTACAAAAGTTTTTTTCTTTAAAAGACACGCAACTGGAGGGAAGTCCAGAGATGAGTAATAATTTTCTGCTGGTGCATCAGCATGAGATAACCATTCACATCACACAGTCATTTCATTCATAGTTGATATGTGGAAAAATACTCATTTGCAAAGGTTTGAGTCTGGAGTTGACATCTTGACAAGGACATGAGATTCTGGGAAAAATTAACATGCCCCACAAGGTTTCAAGTAAAAGTGAATGCTTTCTTTGCACGCAAGTGGGATTCAAATCAGTCTCAGACATAGAAAGCAAAAAGGGTCTGTAAGCACCTACTCTTACTTCATTCTGTAAAATACAATCTGGGGTTTTTAACCAATTTTTTTTTATTTTGTTTATTATTTCTCATACTTATTTCGTTGTACTTATATTCACTGGTTATAGGCTACAACTGGAAGACATTTTGCACTATCCACTCATCTAAATCAAATCAGTCAAAGCATTTGAGGCATTTATATCATTTCTAAGTGATTACTTCCCGGTGTCCCTGTTTGACACTGAGTGACGTTGATACTTTTAAATGCAAACCGGACGGCGCACTGACCTAGCGCCTCCTGCAGCTGGCCTTGGTGGGAATGTTTGAAGACAAAGAAGTGATATCTTGGGGAGTCTGTGGGAATCCTGAAAGGAAGCTCGTGGGTTTCTGTCGGTTTGGTGTGAACCAGCTCAATGGTCTCTTTCTCTACATCCAGCCTCTGCAGCGGCACAACACGCAGACACAAGCAAACTTTGTTCAGACACCAAATCGTTTACAGCCACTGCGTTCCGCTGGCAAAAGCAAATCCTTTAAGGTTCTTTGCAGAGGGTTTGTCACACTAAGTGTTGCATGCTGCGTGATGACTGGTAGATATTGTTCTGCCAGAGCTCACCAGCTGTATGTAGTTAATGCGTTTCTGCTTGAGCTGCTGCAGTGCTCGTTTGGCCTCTTCTTGTAAAGGGAATGCAAGGCCCTGAAGAGTCTGGGCTCTCTTGTCTAAGCCAAACTCCATCGTAACCTGAGGGGGAAATACATAAAAGATTCTGTAGATGTTTTTTTTTCCAGTCTGCCACATTACACAGCCGCATAAGCAGAACATGTATCTGTATACAGAGCACTTAACAAACCCTGGCTCGTGCTGTTGGAGTCCCAATTCGCCTGCATTCATCCTGCCGACATAACAAACAGTGTTTATCTCTATAAAACATTCCCTTGTCTCCAACACATTAAAAAGGATTTTTTATCAGAACAAAAATTAACTTACCCAAACAACTTTATCCTGCACGGAAAAAAGTTGAAGCGCAAAGGATGAGCTCATGCATGCCATTCAAGTTTTGAATCTAAATTTCAGGCATGCTAAATCTGTCATGTGTACCTCTGTGACTCTGATTCGTTGAAGCTCCTGCTCAGCTTGTGTCAGTGGAACTGGCGAGGAGCAGGAAGAGTTGTGGCGCAGGTATCCCTGAAAGCACAGGTCATCCTGCAGACCGAAAGATCCCAAAAACACACAGACTAAATCACCAAAGGAGGAAAGCTAACTAATCAGCCATTAGGACAGGTGGATTTTTCAAACCTCAACAGTGCCAAACATCTCATCCTTGATGTGGCCTCCTCCAAACTCTTTCTTCAGTGTGGCACGGGTGGCAGCGTACATCATCTTCTGCCTCACCTACAGCACATAAAGAGGAGGACATAAGGAACTGCCACCACTGATTGTTTTTTTTACTTGCACTGTAGGAGTGTTTGTTTGTTCTCAGGGTTTTATCTTGGTGTCTCTGGCACACAATGGCTGTTTTCACATTCATCTGCTGACGGTAGGAAAGTCCATAAAAAATAGTAACAGTCAATAATAGTCCAAGAGCAGATCTTATGAATAAAGTTATTTTCGGTAATATGAACGAGAATGACTTTTTGTATTGTTTATGTATTCAAGAACTTCTAAGGTGACAACATTTTTTTATTATCTTTATCTTTGGCTCTTTTTTTCGTCTTGCCATGAAACACAGGCTAAATGGGTTCCTGCAGGGTGTGTGTTATAATGTGTGAATACTAGGATACGAGTGCAAAAGTTGAAATTTTGAGTTACTAAGGAAGAGAACTCCTTATTTTAGTTTATAACCAGCATCTTGATTTTGATCGCTGATATGAAAGAAAAACTGAGGACGTTCATCATCTCCAGACGCACAGGTGATTGGTCAGGTGACCAGGCGATGAAGATCCACTCATATCCCTGTGCATTCTGGGAATCCAGACGGTAGAGGATGTAGCAAGGCTGCTGAGGCGTGAGCAAAGGAAGCAGGAACTGATCATAGTCCTTATCCCAGCTCTGTGCTGGCTCTCGGCACGAATCTAGCACCAACTCCTCTGAAAAAACAGAAAACATGTCAGCGCAGATTAGAACAGGTCCAGTGATGGGTAGGTGCCTCTGAACGTGTTTACCGTTTCTGATGATGATTTTCATGATCCTGATAGAACCTCCTCTTGCTCGTGCCAGGAATTCTTTCAGCTCAGAAGTTGCTGCAAGGAGCAAAAATGAGGCAGACAAAGTCAAAACTGAGGATGGGAGGTCGAACACAAGAGAGACAGTCTGGTAAGAAAGAAGCTGTTACTCCACTTCAGGGAGAACATTTGATCCTCAGCCGGGTATTCACATCTTCTGCTACTCTGACTCAGAGAAGTCTCATATGCCAACACATCAATGGCAGACGTGAGTTTCAGGGACTAAATTACTCCATTCTCCAGTTCCCCAAAAATACTCCTTAGTGCAATATTACAAAAAAATATGAATTTGTCAGACTCCCTCTTTCTGTTTTGCCATGGTTACCAAACACAGCAAAGTCATAAATGATGTAGGACCAGGTGAGAAAGGTGAGAGGTGAGAGAGGTGCGCTTCCGTCAACCAGCCTCCCTACGCTCCAGTTACAAATGCCATAACTCTCATTCATTTGCACTGCCACTAAACTACCTGACAATTAACATCACTGTTTACTCAGCAGCAGTTTTTACAAAGAATTGTGTAGCTTCCACTGTTTACAGACATTTTAATTTCAAACATGATAATATATACTGTGTTTAGTGACAACAAGAAAGGATGTAACAGGCAAAAGCATCAGGAACAGTGTGAGGATGCCCTATTTGCAATAATTAAGAAGTGCGGTAAAAACTCAATTCAATGAAAGACAGTCTTACCGTTGATTCCAGTCTGATGGGACATCTTTTGGCAGTCAGAATTCGCAGGTCCACGTTCCTCTTATGCAAGAAACACCACGTCCAGGTCTGAGTGTCCTCGCTCAGCAGGTTGGCAGCCTCTCCTCTGATGGCAGACCGATTGGACCCACAAGTGACATAAACGCCTTGAGGGTGACTTGGGAGCTTCCTAACACTTGAAATACAATCTGCGGAACTGCAGCTGATGAGTAATAACGCGGCTGTCAGTGGATATGCCACCCCAACCACTGATCTAAAACTCTTCGCGTATCAGTGACCGCAACACTAATGGTCGCAGTGGGGGAGCCTCAGGCTGGCCGTTCCTCTGCTGTGTGCAACGATCTACTGTTCATGACTCCACTGGGCTGTGCGCTGTATCCAGATGTTGTCCGGCTGCCACATGTAAAGACATTTTACCACTCATTCACAGAGTGGCTGATCGACCGGGGCAGACGCAACCACATCATCTCAAATTCCAGCCACCTGGTCACAGAAATGTGACACCAAGGAAGAATCTGACCGGTACATTTCAGCATTGTTCCTGTTCCCGGGTTCATGTGGTCACTTTATTTTGTGCCCTTGATCGATGGATAAGTGAACAAAAAGAAGTGTAGGGCAGGTGCCGGCTCCCCACGTCTCCCAGTTTAAAACTTAGAAATGTGAGGTCTTGTATTTCAAAAGGCAGTACTCGTCTGTATGTGTACGCTGAGGAGCTGGACCATGAACTGAATGATAGGTACAAATACATCCATCACTAGCAGCTGACAACAGCATGAGGGCTTCACGTAGACACAACAGGACCTGTTTGCAGCACACAACTGAGCAAAGTTAACTTAAAATGGTGGGAGTATCAAAGTACTAAGTGCTTAAACTCTCACACCTTATTTCTGGCATTTGTCCCTGCACACATGTTGGCGTTTCTCTCACACACACACACACACACACACACTCATCCATGTGGGTGAGAAGAAGATAAGTGTGTTCCTGTGAGGTTACCTGTGATGGGATCATCCATAATTCATTCAGTGGTGAGTACACAACCCAAGCATCTATACATTATTGAACATGGCTCCCACCCCTCTTCTCCACTTCAGGAAGACACACTTTAACCAAAGTGAAAACTCACACACACACAAATAATACTCTTCATCCACCTGAAAAAAACATTCAGCAATTCTGCTGGTGTTAAGTTTATGTTTGCGTTTGTAACTGCAGAGTTATCGAGAGAGTCACTGACATACTAATCATATGGGGATCTAATATGTTTCCATTTAGGTTGTATTTAGGTTGTACAACCTAAATGGGAACAGCTCCTGTTGAGATATTGTGCTTTTCTTTGTTTTATCTAACAGATAGCTGAATATGTTATAGTTGCTAAATTCATTCATGGAGTGGGCGTGTTTAAAAAAAAAGTTTATTATACCAAATTCAAACAATAAAAACATGGATTAGTTACAACATAATAAAACCGCATAATAGGGGTAGAAATAATAATGATATTTATATTATGGTGTTAAAAGTAACTTTTTGCAGAAAACAACTATTGTTTGGCTCAGCACATGCCGCATCCACTCACTCAACATCTTCAGGATGCTGCTGGTAAAAGAAATTGACTTAAAAAACGTAGTTTGCTCCGAAGAAAAATCTCTTGTGCCAACGGATCCTACTGTGCCACAAAGGAGCGTCCATCACTAATATAGCACACCTCAAGGGGTGGGTTAAGTGTTTTGGTTGCTTTATGGCTCATCGAGGCAGGGGAGCCAAAAAGTCTGATGAGAGAACAAATAAAAAGAAAAGTAAGGATAAGCAAACATTTACAAGCACTTTTTTCCAACAGCACGTCAATGCACAAATGCTGCGATCCTATTCCTCTCACCATGTTTGTGCAGGCACTGGCAAAGGTCATGTATCTGGGATTAAACTGCAGAGTGTTGATGGGTCCTGGATGCTTGCCATCTAACACCGCCACTTTCATCCCACTCTCAGTGCTCCAAACGTGAACCCTTCCATCCTCTGAACCTGCATGAGACAGACTTGTTACCCTGTTTTGAGCTGACTGGAAGGGGCCGCAAGGCCAAAGATGAAGTGCTGCTGCTCACCGATCATGACGAACTTTGAGTCTGGAGTGAAGCAGGCCTCCAGAGAGATGCCTTTACTGTTGTTATAGCCCTTGATATGAGCACACAAAGAGCCCAGGTCAACTACTGCAAACAATCCCCCAAAATTAAACATGGGTGCATTTACGCAGGTGTTGAGTCTTACTGAAAAAGTGTGCAGCACACATCCACTGAAGGCATCCAGGACGCGAATGGCCCCTCCATTTGTACAGATGAGGATCTGATTCCCGTCGCTGCTGAATTTGAGTCCAGTCCAGTCACAGACACGATTAAACCTGGTCTCAAAGCTGGCAAAGGGACCCTTTCAAGCACAGGGTAAAGGATAGCATCAGTTACAATAGTAGCAGGAAGCTGAAGGTCAGGTCTCAGGTTGAGGTATATGAGCACAAACACAAAACCATCACACACTTAAATGTACCTTATCAAAAGCACGGAGGTCATACAGCTTAATGGCCTGAGATTCCACCCCAGCAGCAAATATCAGACCATCCGGGTCAAATGTGCACACAGGTTTCCCCAGAGGATTAGTCAAACCCTGAACAGACATAAACAGAGAGGAAAAGAGTGAATTTTGGAGTTTGGGAAATACGGAGAAATTTAAGTCATACTTAAGTCCTATTAAAAAACATGTGTTTGCTTACATCTTTTATGAAATGTACACTGTGCGCACAGCTTTAGTCAAGCTTTGCTTTCATGTCTATCTGAGTAGATCCAGCTTAACGTCGCTACAGCATGTCTGGGTGCCCTCACAGGGAACGGTACAGTAATCTGGGTTCACTATTAGTATACATTCAAGTGAGCGCCAAAAGAGATACAGGAGAAAATGTCGTCAGCTCGGAGACACTACCCACCTGGCAGTTGGGAGAACGCAGGTCCCAGATTCGGATAGTCTTGTCCAACGAGCTGGAGATGAAGGTATCGTCCACTGGAGACATGGAGAGCGCAGTGACCCTGACACACAAACAACTTTAGGTGGGAGCTGAAAGTTTTGATTTGGGAATGTTTCTAATAAATTGCTCAAAATTGCAAAATATCACAAAGATGGATTTTCTTCTTATTTTCTTTTATGAACATTTGTTCCTATGCTTCTATGAGCATAGGGGGAAAAAACTACTTTCAAATGATGCTGCTGCTTCTTGGTTTGATCTGTTAAATTAGCCATGAGGCATGTTTATAGTAAATACACCCTTCATCGGTTAAGCACAGCATGTGTGTCCATACTAGCTGATACTAGTGTGTGCAGTCTGTAGTTATCACTGCCTTATAAGATTCACGAACATCTCTGAACATCCTCATCCTTCGGTTTGATTCAGAGTGGTGTTTCCTTACCGAGCAGTGTGACCTGGGAAATATCTGATGTACTTGTTGTCAGTGAGGGACAAGTATCGGATGGTATCTGGAGAACATGAAATGACACATTTCTGAGCATTACATATCTAGTGCCTCTGATAATAACTGATTGACGGAGTCCAATGGTTACCATCCAGTTTGTTGGAGCTGTAGACCACTGTGTGTGTGTCTCCATGCGTGTAGCGGATGAGATCTACTCCATACTTCTTGCTGTACAGGGTCCTACTTGGTCTAACAGGGGCCAAAAAAGTGAGATGAATCAGTAATAAATATTTTCAATAAAGAAAATATTGCATGAATATAAGCCAACAGGTTATACAATTACTCCTCCAATCATAAATATACTTAAATATTTAGTCTTAAAATGGACCAAATGGTTCAGGTTTGCGGTATCATAATAAACCCGACTTACTTTCCTTCTTGGATGTTATATAACACAATGCAGTCGTCGTTGCTGCTTGATATCGCATTTTCACCATTTGGGCTGTAGTCTATACAATTAACCTTTTCTGAATTGTTTCGATATGTCCTGGCTACCCTAAAGCTCCGTAACGCACTATCTGTGATCTTCATATCTGCGGAATTTCATTCAAACTGGGACCTACTGACTTTCCACCACATCAGTGGTTCATTTTTTCAACTGATGGAGCTTCCGAATAACTATTGCTAAGTTGTGCATCTTTTCATCACTGCCCTCAGGATGGTTTATGCCTGTTTTCCTTTACAAACAACAAAAATATCCAGCAAAAAAGCGTAATCTAACGCATGAGATCATATGGCTGGTTTTAAGTTGCACTATCTGCAAGACGGGCGGCGTTCCAAAGTTTGCGTTAGATTATGAGGTTGTAGCACAGCGGACTGTAAAGGTGTTCAAAACGAGCCCAACGCTTGAAGAGAAACAGGAACCTGCAAATATTTTACCGGAAGTTTCTTTTATACTTTGTTTTTGTGTTTTGTTGTAGCTGTTTTTGCGGGTAAAACATTGGAATTCAAACGAACGAATGACATTTGAAAGCATTTCTAAAATAATTGAAGTGCTGGACATTTTTGTGGTTCCTCACTTGATTACGAGTTCAACTTTGCTTTTACATTGAAAGGGGTCACCTGGAAGTTATTTAGCCTCACTGTAAACGTGTTTTGGGACTCATGCCTGCTGTTTGACCGAAAACACGACAATGAACAGTTGTAGAAGAATAGTTTTTATGAGGGACCGCGCCTCCTGTCACAACATGGTCCGCTCTTTCGTCAAACCGCGGAGTCTGGACACAGCCCCGTCCTTCAGCCGGAGTCAGGGCACCGCAGCCACGCCAGCTCCAGAGTCCGATGAGAAACCCGGGCTGAGGGCTATCGACCTCGCTCGAAAGGTCCGGCAAGAAAAGGCAAAGACAACGGCGAAAGAGCCCCCGGTGTCCGCCTTGCAGGCGAGGGTGGCGGAGCTGAAGAGTATCACACAACAGCTTCAAAACGTCCACCCGAACGTGCTGGCCAAACACCTGCACAGAACCGTGCTGTACCGGGATAAAGATGTGGTGGTCCTCAACAAACCGTATGGTGTCCTGGTCCGAGGTAAACCAAACATTAGGGTGGACAGAAAGGTTTAGCCGACAGCTTGCAGCCACCTTCTGTTTGATGTCACTTATGGGGAACTGGATGCTGACCAAAGTCCTTGCATTTTTATACATAGATGAGCTTCTCTGTTATTTGTGGGTTTTAGTTAAATGTTTCTCTGTAAAAGGCCCTATCAAGTCCCATTTGCTGAACTAGTAGTAGGACTCCAGAACCACAGAACATAATGATTATGATTAGATACGTCAAATATGAAAGGTTTAACCACTTGAGTTTGATCAAATGATTGTTTGCTGTTGTCTCCCAGAGGACTCAGAGAATACATCCATCTCCTCTGTGCTTCCTGTTCTCTCCAAAATGATGGATGGGATTAAAGTAAAGTCTGACTCCATACTGATCCCCTGTCTGGGTCAGGAGAAGGACTCGACGGGGGCCCTCCTGCTGGCCAGGAGTGAGGTGGTGCTGGAGCACATACTCTCCCTACACAGACATAACCAGGTCCAGAGGAAATACTGGTGAGGTGAAGGATGGTCATGTAGCTGGAGCAGATCTCAAGTGTTTGTAGTCATAGCTGTCAAAAGCTTACGGATAACCTTTTCTTCTTCAGGGTTGTAACGGTTGGCATTCCCGTGCCATCTGAAGGACTGATTGATATTCCCATCATAGAAAGAGAGGTTTCAGGACCTCAGCCACACTTCAAGGTGTTTTTTCTAACACTTTATCTTTCAAATTATCCAAATTCCCAAGTAAAAAATATGTTGTTTTGTTAGTCACACTGAGGTTTTTAACCTGTTTTGGATGTAGTAAAGTAGTCCCAGGTAAAGTACTCAAGAGGATTACCATAACTGTAGAAGACTTCTTGTGAACATGCTTGAATTTTGGGATTTCAGATGGCTCTGAGTCCACTTTTCCGAATGAACGACTTGGGGGATGGCATGACCAAAGTGCGGGGCCATCGTCAGTCCCATCCTGCAGTGACCAAGTACAGAGTGCTGGACAGCAGAAGCGGCTGCAGCCTGGTGGAGCTGCAGCCTTTAACCGGTCAGGCTTGTTTTCATAAAATAACTTTCACATTCGTTTCATAATTTTTAATACTATTTTTCCTCCTGACACCCACAGAGGTGAAGCACCAGATCAGGGTTCACATGGCGCTGGCTCTTGCGTGCCCTGTTCTGGGTGACCACAAGTACTCCAACTGGAGCAAACTGGCACCACAGGTAAAACATGTTTACAACCAGCCAGAGTGACCCGATTACACAGTGACACACTCGGAGGCACCAGTAAAACAGTGGTTTTAATACGCCAACAAAGCCTTTACAACACGATATGGTGTATTTGAGAGAAAAGAGAAAAAAGTTGACAAATCCTTTCACCCCTCATTCTTAGTGTGGCACCACCTGTAGGCGACAGGTTTATCATCTCTGCCACTGCTGTCTCTATGGTTTGCAGAGCCTGTGCTGTAAAGTTAGCTCAGTGAAATGGGACGTCTTTTAGTGCTTCAACCAATCAGCATCTTGTACCTTTCACCCCCTTGGCATGGTCTTTTTGATTGTTATCTTATACAGATTAAAGATAGCGGCCTTTTGTTTAGTTACTCATGACCAACTCACTCCAGTGGGAGCAAAAATAATGCCTTTTCCATTTTTAATGATCATGTTTAATGTTAAATTGTCCAGTTGCTGCTGGGTACTTGATTACACACAATACAGAAAGAACAGGGGGACCCACGGTTGTGCCACCAATATTAAATAACATACTGTCCCTTCACAGAAATTACCAGAGCGTGTGCTGAAGAAGCTTGGACTGGAGCAGAGCAAGACCCGGCACCTTCCTCTCCATCTGCACGCACGGCAGCTGGTCCTGCCTGGACGCAGCCGGCCCGACATCAGCGTGTCCTGCCCACTGCCCAAATACTTCATTCAATCCCTCAATCGACTGAATTTGACATTTCCAGATGATAGCAAAGCTGATAAATAACACTCTCCCCAACCAGATTGTTGGGCGTTGGTTGTAAAATATCTGAACGCAAGACAGTGAAAACCATTTAAATTAAATAAAAGCACGGAGTATTTTTTTTTTTTTTTGAAAAGGGGAAATATGGAGCCTGTATAGAGAGAGGTATACAAAATGTTTTCATAATAAACAAGTGTTTCAGTGTGATTTTTTTTTCTTCTTCAATGTGTCACATATATGAAATGGCCTACAGCTAATTATTAGGCACGCGGTGCTGACTTCTCTTCTATATGTGGTGTTTGAAATGATTTTTCATACAAGGAGATTTACATCTGTATTTCTGTCTCCCACACGCAGACGTGGAGAAATAAGTTGGCATATATTTTGAAGGGTGTTCCAAATAGCTAATTTTGACCTGAGAAGAAAAAAAAGTTTCCATTCCACTGAATGACTAAAATATAGCACTTGATCCTATGAATAGCTGAAGTTCAACTCAACAATCCACAAGCCTAAATTATGTTTAAAAAAGAAAGAAAGAAAAAAAAGACAGGCACAAGTTTTTCATCTTTGAACATATAGATACATCACCCAGAATGCAGTCATAATACAAAAACTGAGCAGTGGGTCCCTGTAACTTAAGCTTTAATGTTTCAGAGAGGCCTGGAGGAGAAGTCGGAGCAGGGCGTTAAAGATCAGTGACTGACGCTGAAAGGAACTCTACAGGAAAATGTACCATCTCTGCTCAGGAGCATCAGTCACCAGCCAGCAGCGAGACTCAAACCTCACTCACTTGAAGGTTCAAAGTTAAAAGAGCTAGTGTCTTATAAAGATAGTCACCAGAAAGATGTGTCCAACCCATCAGATGAAATCAAACTGTAGAAGGAAAGATCTCTGATACTAGCAAGTGCAATCGTGATACTCTCCTCAGAAGAAAATGATTGTTTCAGAACTGTCCTCTTTGCAGAGGCCTATTGAGGTTTATAGAGACAGGATGGGTACTGCATAGTCAACAATCTGGAGTCCTGTCCTCATCTTAGCTCACGTTTTGTCCACCGCTGCCAATGATCTCCTGGATCTCTCTGACCACGAGAATCCGGGCTAGCATGTGCTCCACTTGCTTACTGGTGAGGGGCTGGGACGAGTACCACATCGGGCTGTTTGGGGCCACCACGGGTTCTGGGGTCATGTAGTACGCGTCGTTGCGTCCTTTGACACTTTGGGGACTGGAAAAGAAGAAGGCAGGCATGTTTTTGAAATGCAAGCAAAAGGGTGATCCAGTTCACAAGATTTGTAAACAGAGACACCCACCATTTGAAGAGGTAAAAGTCGTAAAGTTTAATGGGACAACGAAGCGGGTTCTCGGGATCTTCGATCTGCTCCTCGTACATGTCATCGGTGCCTGAGAGAGATGCCACGCAGCAGCTCAGAAACTGATTTACTGACACTCTGGGTGAGTATATCTGCCTTCCATACCTTTCTGCCCAGTATTGTGTTGGCCTTGAACCTTCAGAAGGCGGATACTCGTAGCTTTGTCCTTGGCATTGGTGGGATTCTTCCTCGTGTGTCTCAACACCTTGGAGAAAGCGACTTTCATATGCTGCTCTGGTGTTATCAGCCGGAAATATCTGCATGACATACGATACCACACTCAGTGTTTTTTATAAAATCAGCTTTACCAGAGATCAAATCCTCAGTGCACACTGGGGGTGTACTTACTTAGTGTTGAAGTACATTAAAGTTGTGAGCAATGTGGCCGGTGAATGTGCACCGAGCTGTTTACACTCCCACAGCATCTCCTCTGTTACATGACTTGGAATAATATAACCTAAGAAGATAAACAGAAAATAAGTCACTCTCTATACAAACAGACACCTGAACCACATCGGTGATTTTGACTTACCTAAAGGATGGACACTGGGTCTCCAGTCATGGAGGATTTTGTGTAAGCTCTCACAGAAACGCGTGTAATAAGGATCAGAAAAAATGTCATCCACACGTCCATTTTCAGACAGATACTGTTATAAAACAAAAGAAACAAACAGTGACGGGTCACTTCAGAGAGTTTGTTGGCATTGTTGCTTCCATGTGTTGGGATACTAACCTTTTGTATACACAAAAACACGTAATATAGAACATCTGGTGCAAACTGCTCATCCTCTGAACCTCGAGCCTCCTGAGTCATCAGCGAAAGAGCCAGATTTAGCTCAGCTACCGCACTGGACACCAAGTCTTCTTGAAATCGCATGGGCTGTCGCCCTGCACACAGAAACAAAGGTAAAGATGACTCCCTCTTCTTAAACTAGAAGTCCCATCAGTAATCCAAACACTTAGGGATTTCAGGAAGAAAAAGATTTACTCACGTCCAATTGGTGCGAGTTTCGTTGTTTCTTGCTTGCTCAGCTCTGCATTTTTACGACTGGACCAGAGGCGCCACACCTCCAGGCCCTCCTCTGGCTTCAGAGACACAGGGACCAGAATCTCTGTAGGGGGCTCCGCATCAGCTTCCGTCTCCACTTGGCTCTGTACAAAACAAAGATGGATGAGGTCTCACAGTTTTCATTTCCCATTCAGGCATGGCCTTTTGGGGCTGTGAGAGCTGGCTTGACTCGTGCTGTCTTTAAAGAAATATGTTTACAGATTGTAAGGCCTCACACAGAAGTTTTTCAACTGGCTGAAAAAAAAAAAGACCTGCGATACATCTACTGTCCAGCAAACAAAAAACATGCCCAATGACATTAATGTTGAGCTTATCAGAACTAGCGGTGAATAAAATTCAATTTCTGCTTTTCAAAGTTTCATGAATGTTAAATTTTCCGTTAGCCTTTATCGTATCTTTTTTCTGTTATTCAAAGCTAACTCCTGGTTGACACACTGCCCTGGCTTACAGGCTTGTCCTATGTTATAGTGAGAGCCATTGACCATAATTGGTTAGGAAATTATCTGAACAACTTGTCTTATGATGTACCTGCATTAAAGACAAACACTAAAGGGCGGCTTTTCTAACCTGCAGGTGGAGCTGCTGCTCCTGGACCTCTCCGCCTTGGCTCTGCTGATGATTTGGGTCCCATATGTGCACGGACTGGGTAGTGTTGTAGGTCCCTCCAACAGTTTGAACTGCCACGGGGATGTGGATGTTTCCGTTCATGAACTGTGCTGGGAACAGGGTCTGGACTATTTCTTCTTGCGTTGTGGTGGAGACTGACTGCACGTCTGTGGACCTTGTGGTGGAACTCGGGGACATTTTGTCCTTGCCGTTGGTGGTGGTGACCTGCACGGTGCTGTATGTCTCCTGTGGTATAGCGATGTGGGTCACGCCTTGCTGCTGCGGAGTGGAGTACACAGGGATGGTCCAGGTCTCTCCGGTGGGACCGGTGATTGTTCCTGTAGCGCTGTACAGCTGAGCACTGTCAACTGTCAGCAAATCTGGTCGTAGGGACACATAGCTTTGCTGCTGCCCTTGAGGAATGGTCAGAACTGTGGCCAACTGTTGCCCCTGTGGTACGGTGTAGGAAACAGCCAGAGGTACATCCACTTTCCTCTTCTTGGCTGGCTGGAGCACGGTTGCGCCAGTGGCAGACCTTCTGTCAGCCTCCCTGGGAGACTCCTGCTGCTGGGAAGGAGACATGGCCTCTATGGTCTGGATCTGGATCTGTTGGCCACCTTGTAGCTGAATCTGTTGACCAGCTTGGAGTTGAATTTGCTGTCCTCCCTGCAGCTGAATATGCTGTGTCCCTTGTAACTGGATTTGCTCGCCACTCGACAACTGGATTTGCTGCCCTCCAGCAACAGCTGCAACCAACTGAGCCTGTATCTGCGACACACAGGGGGCACACTCACAAAACAGCAACAGGCCATCTGATGGAAGCACTCCACCAGGATGTCTGAGGTGTATCCTGTACCTGCTGCTGCTGCTCCTCTGTGAGCTCCCCGTGCTGGACCAGCTGGGCCGTAGAGATTCCCTGCAGGTCCTGCTGAGAGGGAGCGGTCACCTGAAGGACCTGGCCCACCGTTTGGCCCGCCTGCTCCTGGATCTGAACCTGACACTAGGGGGAGGCACAGGATTTAAGGGACCTGACACCGAAGTATGGATAAAAAAGTCATTTTAAAATATCTTCTCCCACAGTTGGGGATCAAAAGTTGCACTAGATATTCTGGTTTCGGATTCTACATAACATTAGGGTCAGGAAATAAGGCAAAAAGTAATGCCATGGCAATATTTTCTATTCTGACTGAAGGGTTTGTTTCAGTAGCGTACCACTAATGAGCTCAACATTAAACATCACACAGGCCGGTATTTTCATGCTCTCACTGAATCACTGACCCACTCAGGTGGTCAAACAAATAATTTTGGTGTTGACCAATGACAAAGTTTGCACATTAGTTCTTCATATTTAACAAATCAAACCACGGCCACATCTCTGACATAACGGGAACTTTTAGATCAGCAGCTTTGTTTATAGTTCAGTCGCTTTCTCACCCTTTTAGCTGCATTCGGTCTATCCAACTTTCTGTTCAGCCTCCTTTTTAAATTAACTGGTAGGTCATTGTGTGTCTATATACATATACATATATATATACATTTTTTTTTTTTTTTTCTTCAGGCCAGGGTTTTCTTGGCATAAGGTGAACTGCTTACAGAGATATTACTGCCATCTCGTGGGGTGGAGTGTTAGTACAGCTGGCTTTGTGGACAGAAAATGTGACGTGCTGGTCACAGAGATAGACGGAAATTTAATCACAGTCTAACTATGCCATTGTTTTGTTCCCCGGCCCTGACAGACATCCTTTAACAAAGCTGATCCCAGCTGAGGATGATTCCATGGCATAGTGGTTATTGTAATAACACATTCCATTGTGTCAAAATGTTGTCCATTAGGTTGTGCTTCTTTGTCAGAGTTGGTGAGCAGATAAAACAGTCCTGTTCACATCTTTATGTGGACTGAGCAGCTATTTACCTGTGCACTAACTTTGGGAGAAAGTTAATCTCAAATTACTTATGCCGACTTGAATTTATCCCAGGAGTTAGCTGGATAATAGAAAATACTTCCAGGATAGTATATATAGAAGATTTTGGATTGTCAGGAGATATAATGTGTCCAGGCTGGCCAAACATGTGATAACGGGTTGGGCTCCACTTAGGTTAATACTCCTGTCTGAGACTTCAGCCCACTGACACGTAACATCACATTACTGGACAGATGTTTGTGAGCTTAAGGTTGGCATAATCATCTTTTTTATTCCTAAAGAAAGGAAACGATTCTTCTGGCAAGGGTGTGACAAAGTTTATCTTTGGCTTTTACTTAAGTGGATCTTTCTTTTTTGCATTTACAAGATTGGGTTTGTAGGAAGAGAATCTGGGAGGCTCGGCTTTACTGGCCTACTAACATCTCAACCGCAACACCCTCATTGGTTAATAATTCATGATGAGTATTGTAACATTTAAAATTACCTGCACTTGAAGCTGCTGTTCAGGCCCTTGATGCACAGACATTTGGGGTGAAATCTCTGTTGAGGTCACTTGCACCTGTTATAAAACATGTACACTTATAAAGTTAAGCAGTTATTGTTTCAGGATTAGCAGTGAAAACGTTTCTCATGTCACAGGACAACAATTTTCAAGAAAGGAAACTTAACATGTTATGCTAAAAGCTTTTATGCAAATGATTGGAAAGAAATGTCTTATATGACATTTTATTTTGATTTCAAGCTACTAACTGAACATAGTGCAGTAAGGTGGACAGTGCTACTATACACATAATGTCTGCTCAATGCTGGAGGTGGCAAAACTGATAGCAAAATCTCTTATCTTCTAACAGGATGTCCACATATCACACATTATGTATGTATATATGTGTGTTGGTGTGTAAATAGATAAAGAAAGAGAAATATACTGAGGTAGCTCAAAGTCCAATATCAGTCAAGCTCTGTAAGAGATGCAGTGAACTATAGATAATGGTTACACCTTCAGCCTCCAGAGTGTCAGTGCTTTAATTAGTGGCATATAGGTGATTTCTGTTAATTGTTTCAGAGGGTAAAATGGGGAAAAGGTCCTGCTCAACAGTCCTTGATTTTTTCCTTTATTTCCATTTAGAAGCTAACAACTGGTCAGCTGATGACACTAAACTGTACATGACAATAAAACCCCACAGTCTTGCTATTCCCTCAGCATGTCATTTTGAGAATGCCCAAAGATTTCCTTAAATTCAGCAATAATTCAGGTTTTCTCCCAAATTATTTTACCCCTGATAACTCAGTGCACAATTAAAACAAGATTATAATATAAGGAGTCCTAGCTTTACACGATGTATGAATTACTTTTTTTTTTAATTGGGTCATTTTAACTGCTGACTAACAAAATATATGCGCTTGGGTCTATTTTTACCTTGACAAAGGTAATTCATTATGCACAGGTAGCAGCCAGGGCTCATTCTGTTGTTTTCAGTTCATTCAAAATGCTGCAGCTAAACTCAGAACTAAAACAAAAAGGCGGCAAACACACTTTGCCTGGGCTTGTCTCTCAGCACAAAACCATCTCACAGGAACGATTTTAGCTTTCTAAAATTAATCTCATCCCCCCCTACCCTGTTTAAACACGACAATGACGGAAGTTGTAACACACCAGATCTCAGCAACATTGGAATATAAAAATGTCTTACTGGACAGGCCAGCTCTAGAAGGGATCCAGCCACCTCTGTGCTGTCTGTGTAGACACAGTTTGCACCCTGCTGCTGGTACACCATGGCTGTGGTGGTGGCTGCCCCTCCCTGTTGGCTGAACTCCTGCAGAACCTCTGGGCCCTTGGCAAGAGACTCCAGGAACTCCTTCATCCTGTGCTGAGGCACAGTGCGGGCCTTCTGCCGCACATATTCATCAAAGGAGACCACCCCACCCTCCTGCTCATTCATCGTTACTGGACCTAGAAAGATAGCAGTACATTTAGATCAGCTGACAGTTGAATTAAATCAAAATATACTTACAGCTACAATTCACTGAACTGAAAGTATAGACAGATGTAATCAACTCAATACTAGTGAAAATGTGCTGGCTTTTAACTATTGCATCTGAAATGCCAAATGCAAAACAAAACGTTGATGCATTTCAAATGGCCACTTAGGGACGTTTAATAATGCAGTCAGGTATGTGGAATAAATAATCATTGGACGGAGGCTAATATGCGCCAATCAACTTTTTATGTTACTTTAAAGTGACAAATACCACCAGGTGATGACTACATGTGAAACCTAGGCCTCATTTCTTCAAAACTTTGGAAATCTGTGACTAAATGAGTTAAAATTTTGTTCTGCCGATTTGATATTATTGATTATCTATCAACAGTATTTCCGTTTAGGCTACTTGTTAGCATGCTAACTTTGTAATGTTAGCAGGGCGCCGTTTTGTCACAGCCCGTAGGCATAGCTATCTGGCTGGTAACCGCGTGCCGTATTTTACATAGTCAAAAATAAATATATTGGCAACTGCAAATGACAAAATTAAGCAACAAAGTTGGCCCAAGAACAAAGATAATACACGATACTCCATTCATATTAACAACACGACGCTAGCAAGTCATTGTGCTAGTGTTAGCTAGCTAGCTAACTAGCTTGATGCATCTGGATTCTGTCATGCTACCTTAAATAAAACGAAATCCTCTCCTTTCCGCCAAGGCACGGTGTTTAAAACTAAAAAGCCGATAAACGTCTAACAGCTACCATCAGCATGCCATTCACTTAGCTACATAGTGCTTGTAGTAGCCGTGAGATCCCGAAATCGACGCTGTGATTAGACCGCGATAAAATTTAACAGCAGCGAGCAGACGAAGTCTCTGACGTCTGCTTATTTCGCGCAGAGATCCAGGCTGCCGTCGGTGTACAACTTTCTCCACCCCTAGCACAACACAGATTCATCCATCCTTCGAAATGCCTCTTAGTAATTCTACCACTTACACTACGCCTCGACTTTTGCAAAAACCCTTCTCTCTTTATCCAGTGATACGTAAAATAAAATGACGGAAGTACAGGCCCCGAAAACAACGCGTCTCCTCTCCAGAATGGTGTGCCAGCTAACAGCCAGCAGCACGGTGCTCCGAAACAGGAGTTTTCATAGCAAAACCAGCTGTTCACGGAGCAGTGAAATGAAAGCATATGCTGTTCATATACAGCTGACTACTCCAATGATGTCCCATCGGCTTTTGGCAGCAATCTGTTCCGAATGGACAGAGGAAAGACTAATAATCTCTAAAAGTCTATTTAGATATTTGCAGGTATTTTAACCACACTTTCACCCTATTTTGTATAACCAGCATGGATCAATTGGGCTCTGTGTGCTACAGATACATCAATCGCTCTAGGTTTCTGGAAGCATGCATTTATGCTGCAATGAAAAATAATAAAGCAGAATTTTAATATCTTTCCGTGTGAAAGTCAACTGCCTTGTGAGAGAAAGGGGGTGAAATTGACTCATTTCAGTTAGCTTTTTCTTGACCATAGATAGCTGGAGATTGAATTAAATCATTCAAAATGGGTACATGCACATGTAAAATTTGGTGCAATGTTAAAGAACTTTTCACGATGGCCCCAGTGAAGCTTTGCAGACATTTGAATGCTTGTGCCTTTAACAAAATCTAACTTCCAGTCTGCCTTAAAGAGCCAGGCATGTGCTGCTGAGGGCCTCCCCCTGCTCTCTCCACAACAAACTGCCCCGTGCTGTTCTTAAGGTAGACCCAGTTAGATGTACTTTGCGAATGGGCTGTGGCCCTCACACACTGGAATGGGAAGAGTTAATTCCCACTTTCACTGTACACTGTTCAGCAGGGGCTTTCTGGTGGAAGTTATGGTAATACTTATGCAGAGTATCCATATTTGTATTTGTATGAAATTAGCTTACACACCTCGATTGATTTTAAAGGCTGCCCCAATTTCCCGATTCTGTCATATACACAACATCCACTGTCCATTTTTGATGTGAAGTCTGCATACGGTCTAAGCTGACCCGAAATGCAACAAGTCACTTGACCTGTTCTCGTGTGGCTGGCATCACATTATCACCTCATGTGACTTCTTGCCACTTTAAGATTCTTAAAGTAATCCTTTCCAGAAGGGATTTGTCTCAAAACAACTGTTGCACAGAAACAGGTGAAGCTCCAGGCATTTGCTAACCATCGGCTGGTGGGAAAACAGCTTTCTCCTTAAAGTTTGTTTATATAAAAAAGTTAAGTTATTTCTATTTGAACACATTTTGTGTGGTATTCAGGACCTGCTTTTTGTTGCTGCTGTGTGGGTGAGATCCTGATGGCACATGTTGACGAGTAACCAGCAAGCTGCAGCGAGATAACAGAAACGTAAGCTCGAAGGTTGGATGCTTGTGACTGTACTTGTAAAACGCCTTGTATTTTAGAGGATTTTCATGTAGCCAAATTTTTAATCAGAACAATTTGGCCTGTCTCGTAAAGAGTGAATGCAACTAGTAACTTACTGGAGGTGAAAGAGGAGAATGGGCAGCAGAAGGCACTTGTGGGAAGCCGACTGGTTATATCATGGCTAAAGTTTGAATGAAATGTTTCGTATTTAAGAATAATCATGTTTAGAATTTTTATGTTTGTCACCAAAAATCAGCTGCTGAGTCAGACCACCAACAAGAATCTGAGAATATTTTGAGATGCTTTAGTTTTATGTTTGAAGATGGGTGTAAACTTTCAGTATTTTCTAAACTCATACAATGTTGCAACTAGGTGGTGGATTGCTACTTTTAGAAAGCGCATTTAAATGGATGACAAAACAATTAAGAAGGATTTTGCCCCTTTTGGTAATTGTTGTCATTGATAATCTGTGTTTGAAATGCAACGTGCCATTTGCTCGTTGATGCAAGTGGCAGGTTGGCATTTATAACTTAAAGGTCACAGACAGATCAGACTGTCTCACACTGTGCATCTCCATGTTTTCCCTTGCCCTGTTTTGTTTTGCTGAGATAAACCATCTGCAGATTTTGGACGTCCAAACCCTCTGGATTAGACAGGGAGTAACCGGATTGAAGCACAAGATCTTCCGAGGATCTGTCTGACATTTTAAACCAACTCCAACGTTAAAGTCTTTCTACTATCCCACTTTTGCAATTTTTCAGAGACAGTATACAAGATGAATATGTTCAGCGAAGCATCCTGTTGGTGCAGAGTCACACTGATAAATAAATTGGTGTAATAATCATTTGAGGTATTAAATGTATTTTGTGGGGGACAAAATACACAGTGCAGTTTAAAATTAGGTTTCTTTTGGTTTTTGGCTTTTGTTGCAACTAAATTTTGAAACAGTCTCTTTGCCCTCCCATGAGGACCTCACCAATAGCTGACATTTGCAAAAAACATTTGAAATCTAATTAATATTCTTTGACATTTGAAGTAGCTCTGATCATTGGATGACCATTGATATATTGGTGTCTTTTCCATTTTAACTATTACCGTTTTATCCATTGCCTTTTAGTTGTCGTTAACACTTGTTGTTCTCATGTCCTTTTGGACGATCAAATTGACAAAAGTGACTATAAGCATTTTTGAAATGGATAAAATATTCAGGAAAATGTTGAAGCACATTAAACTCGTCTTCTCTTTCTCCACCACAGATCTCGGGCTTTTCATAAAAAGAAAATGGGGTACCCATTTTTTCTCCTTGTCATGCTCAACATCTGCTCATTTGGAAGTTTATTGCAAACATCTTTTGCATTGGGCATCTTTGATACAGTCCAGACAACTCACACCACAGGTGGAACCATCACTGGTTTGGATAATGCAGAAAGTGAAGTTATATTTCATACTGACGGCTCTGAGGATGGCAGTGGCCTTAATCCTAGCAGTGTTGCCTCACCCCAAAGCGAAACGCTAAAAAAGCTTGAACAAGAAACCAAAGAAAACTACCATGGACCTGGATTCAAACTAATTACAGAACCAGCTCTTGTTGAGCACCATACAGAGGCTCATAATCAAGGAGCTGACAAAGCTAATGCTTCTATAACAGGATACTCTCAGTCCACTGTGGTTTCAGAAGAGGCTCTTTTGGAAGGCAGTCAAATGATATCTGAAGAAGAGCTACAGAGTCATGCATCTACAATGAAATATGATCCTCAGACTCGTGAGTAATCTAAAGAAAGTTACATACAGTGTGTATATATATATATACTGTATATATATATATATAGATCTATACATATATACAGATATAGTGTTGTTAGGCCAAAGACTGTGAAAAAAATAATCTTAAAGTTTTCTCTCACTCTTGCAGGTGGAAACAGTGCTAAACTCACCATCCAAACTAATGTCTTTCCCCTCATGACAAATCATTACCTGATGGGACCTGGAGAGCCCTGTGTGCTTGGTGATCCACCCTGTGCTGTTTTTAATAACGTCAATGGCACCAGTTTACTTTGGGATGACATGAAACGCACTCTGGCATTTGCCTGGGAGCTGCACGTCTATGGATCAGCAAGCCTCTTCACACTGATGGCAGTCTTGGCTCTTTTGGGAATAGCTGGAGCATGCACTCTTCCTCATCCTCTCTGTGACATCCTGGCCTTGTCAAATATTCTGCTAATTGTGGGTGGTGCTTTTAGAGCTGGCCTCCTTTTACTTGATCCTTACGGTACCCGTCAGATCCTGCCACATGTCACACTGGCGGCTCTACATAATCTTCCCCTGCAGCTGCTTCTGTGGACCCAGATTGCCCTTGCGCTAGTCACAATGAGAGGGATACAACTATTAGTTTTCCCATTAAAACTGGAGCACCCGTGGGTAGTTGGATGGGTTGTTCTGTCCCATTGCACTGCATTAGTTGCAGCAGACTTATACTCTTCAACCTTTTCCCCTGTTGTCCCTCTTTTACTGCAAACCCTCTCCCTATGTTGGGGCATTCCTTTCTGTTTGTTGATCCTCACTAAGTCCTTCTCCGATCCTCATCCCCTCCACAGGTCCTCTGTACCACAGTGGGTTCCCTCAAAGAGGACAGAAAGGCTTGGAAAACGGGTAATAGCAGTATGTGCCTTCCTCGGGTTGCTGTGCTGCAGCCTTCAGATGTATAGTCTCTTTTGGCTTTATGGGCTGCTGGGAAATTGGAGGCAGTTTGGATGGGGTTGGTGGCTGAGTCAGTTTTGGGCCAGAATTCTTGAATTGGCATGGGGTTTCTCATTGCTCTTCTTGGGATCTTGGATCTTCTGGACACCATCTAAGGGTCATGCAAGAGGTGACCATGGGCAAAGTGGAGGAGAGGAGTCTAAAAGTGTGGAAGAGAAGAGCTTTTGGCGTAAACTCAAGGCTGCTGTGCTGAAAGGCCCACTGAGAAAATCTGAAAAATCCTGGGAAGCCCTGATTCCTAATAACTGGGCAAAGTATAAGCTGTCAAAGGAAGGCATCAACAACAATGCCATGTACCCATGCAATGACGAACCAGACCCTATTGCCAAGGAATATTTCTCCGATCCAATTAGCAGTGGCAGCGCTGACTCACAGTCTGCTCTGCTGTGGCAAAAGGTTGGCGAGCGGGAATGTGTACTTTCACTTGTAGAATTTGACATTGGCCCCCCATCTCCTATTAACCTCAGACGTAGTATTGACAACGCCCTTTATCACGGGCAGCTTGTGGCAGGCGGTTTATTTACACCTCCACCTCCTACTTGGAATATGCACACAGATGGAGACACCGGTGCAACAACGTTCCGTCCAGGTTATGTTGGCTACAGGTGGAATCTGGATACAGAGTCTATATCTACGTCCCTTGACCATTTCCAGGCCAAAGAACCTGCACAGTCACTTGATTGTAACAGCCTCACTGGGTCTCTTGCAGCTGCCCGAAAGGGAGAAGAATTCTCAGTGGTTATGCATCAGCATGACTGGTCTGATGACGACATCACAGACCTCTGAACTGTGGTCCATCTTAGGAACCCCTAATCTGAAAATAATGCTACCTTCAAGAACGGACACAAGCATGAGACATAGAGTGTAGTGCTCTGTCAGGATGGGACCACACGAGAGGTGAAGCTGAACTTGTGTTGTCTAATGATTATTTATTGGGGTCTATTTTGCTCGTATTCATCATAGAAACTAACAATGACTAATTATATTTTTCAAAAACTCTCAATTTACATGGTATGTAGGTTTTACAGAATATGGTTTTAATTTAAATGACTCCTGTGAATTACTTTAATTTTGTTTGTTTTAGAACAAATGCACAGAAATGTCTGACAAAGTACAATTTGGCAAAATGTATTTTGCAGAGATATTTGCACTTGATGTGGATACAATTGATTATTGTTGGCCAACCTATGTCTGTGTTATTTGTTGGTGTTGAACTGACGAATTTTAAATCACCAAGCTTTAATGTCTTATGATCTCAGTTAAAACATTCAGTTCCAAACTTTGTTTGAGATTTTTGCACAAATTAATAACTCAATGTGTATATTCTGCTATTTATTAATAAAGACACTTTACAGAAATTGTTACCCTCATGTCTCTCAAATCCATCTGCACTAACAACATCTTGTGTCAATGTTCATCTTAACATTTGATTCCAAAGACAGAGGCTTTCCTGTATTATTTCAAAAGGGCGTTGATAGGTTTTGATAACGTTCCTCAAAGAAAGGCATACAACATTTCCATGAAAATATGAGGCAACTGGATAAGTGATGGGGAAAAGAAGTGGCAGACCTTAAAACTATCTGCTGCAGATAACCAGTATTTCAAGGTGCTGTTCTTAAAAATTATAAGAGTAAAGATCTGGCAGCACCTGAGAAATACATCCGGTCCTTCAGTTTATCCATCTGTTGTTCACTGAAGCTTCATTAGAAATGATTTCTTTGGAAGTTGTCAGGTTGTCAAGAGGTCCTTCCTAAAGAACAACAACAAGAAAGAAAGGCTGTCACATTCCAAATAACACAAGGGAAGGACTACAAATTAGTGGCAGCAGGTCATAATAGCAGGTCAGCAGGTCATATAAATTCTCCCCATTGCCAAAGCGTCAACATGACATGATTGTCTTGAGCAAAAGGCAACTTACATTAAAAGAAGAGCATTGTGATGTCCTTCAGGAAGCTTGGAAAACAATTTCTTTTGAGTGTTCAAACAGACGACAAAAAGAATACACTAAATTATGTCCTTCAAGCTACCTAAATGTGTAAAAACATTTTCAATTTCAATTGATGTTTGCCTAAATGAATCGCTGCATCTATGTGACCTTTTTGCGGTCAATACCTAAAGAAATAAAGGACAAGACCTTTTTACAGTAGCCATTGATATTATTCAACTCTAGATTCTGGGTGCCAACGAGTCCTCAGATTTAATTCAGACCCTATTTTTTAGAGCGGTCCCTCTGCCATTGAACACAACACGGTCACCGGCCATCATCACGCGCCTCTCCATCAACAGGTGCACGGTGTGACGTAGCGATGATTGATTGGTCAATTAACCCTCACTTCTCACTATATTTGTCATGATCGGCACCGTGGCGGCCTAGGCCATAAACTGTTCCAAAGCACACGCATGATATATTCAGAGAGGTGTGATGGCCGGGAAGAATCATTTGATGTGTGTTTCCGTAATAGCGATTTTAGCGTCCCTCGAACTCTGTGAAGGACAAGCAGTGGAAGAAGAAGTCGATAAGGGGGGGCGCCCGGTGCGAGGCAGCCATAACCTCAGGAGGGTGGTGTCTGGTTTAAAACAGGAACCCGAGGCTCAGAAAAGACCCGGTTCGCTTGTGTTCCAGAACGACCCGAAGGGAGGCTTGTATTCTTCTAATGGTAAGTTTTCGAAAACTGAATTTCCGCTGGTTACGTTGGACATTTGCCACCATTGCTAGTTGTCTTTTTAGTGTATTTCTCTTTTTATTGCGTAAAATAAATCTGCTGTAAACTGGGTTGAAAGAAAAACATTTTGAAATTCTACCGGACATTCCTTACAGTGTCTCTGGCTTTATTTGGAGGCTGTACCTTGAGTGTATTTTGCACCTTGTGTTTTAGTCCATATCTCTGTGATCATGACTGAATGCTCTTTCACATTAGTTGGACCAGGAAAATAAGTCTTTTTAGATTATTGTGCCTCTACTTGTCTGGCATAAGGTGGCAACTATCCTGTAGTGAGTAGTTTTGTGCATCTAACCAAAGGTGATTTCATCAGAATTATTTTTTGTTAAAAGAAACATCTTCACATCTGTCTATCACTTCAACCAAACTATTGCAGACATCACATTTGTTAGATCCTTTTTTTGGTAAAACATAGGGTGAAAACCCATATTTTCACATCTAAAACTGAACGGCTGATTTAATTTTTATAAACATTTTTGAAGGGGTTGATGAACAAAATCCAATGTTCATGAAGCTCAATTTTTGCTGAAATATAAAGTTTGAAGGGTTTAAAAAAAGTGTTTTCTGTTTTCAGTGTCACAGGATGTGTTGGCTGCTAAACTGAAGCAAATGGATCCATCAGTGCAGTGTAGTGAAAGCCTCATGACCCTGACAGTCAAACGGATTGGAGCTGCTTTGTTTCTTGTGGATAGTGGTGGGTGTCTGCATTGGGAATCTAGTTTTGGTACATGTGGGGCAGAATTGAAACGTTCTCCTCTTTTTTCAATCAGGTGAGGAAACTCTTACTCCGCTGTCTCAGATGCGCTCTTCATGTGGCTACTCTGTGAAGAGGTCCCGTAGAGATGTGCAGTATGCTGCAAACTATCAGGGCTGCCATGTTAACAAGCAGGTCAGATTCATCTGCAATCCTGGGATCTACAATTTATTTTTTCTTTACAACACTGTTCCTCCAAGTCAAAGCATACTGTCTGAAGTTGGTCTTTGGTCTGTTCTCCCTCTGTAGGATGGTGACTATGTCCTACCGCTACGTTTATGGGGCTCACCAGTGGCGATGTCTTGTCCCGTTATGCTGCCGTCGCCCATTATTTTCTGCTTTCCGTCTAAGATGGTACTGAAGATTAGTGGAGTTTCTGCAAATGAACTCAAAGTAAAGAGTAAGTGACGCATATTCTTGACTCCAGGAAATGGCTTCAACTCATTTTCTTATCGGTTGTTAAAACTTCTGCAGTGTCTGGCACGTGGCAGCCGCTCTCATTGGCATGCAGCAGTTGTGGGCTGAATTTTAACGATTTTGCTGGAGAACTAACTCTTTCTGCACCCTACAACACGGGCCCGTGCATGCAGGTCAAGGTATGGCCAGGCCGCTCGTGTGTTCAGAATTGGATGGTGAATTGCAACGATGCTTTTGATTTACTGTGCGTTTTTCTTGCAGGATGAGGAGTATCTGCTCACTCTACAGTGGGCAGATTTTGAGCTTGAGGCCACATGTCCTTCAGCACCAAAAACTGACCCTTCAAAGGGAACAAGTACTCCTCCGAGTGACAGGGATCAGGTTCCGCAGAATCCTCTCTACCCTTATTTCCCAATGTTCTCCCAATATCTGGAGCCCCCGCCGACACGCAGTCCAGCCACCGTGGCATCATTGCCTCAGTTCTCCTTTGTTGCTGGAGATGCCACGAACAAACCGTTCGTGGCCTCCTCCGCTCAGCACCCTTCAGTCCCATTCATGCCGCAGTTTCCTCCGTTTTTCTTGGTTCCCAGATCTGAGACACCAGCAATCCCTTCATCAAATCAGGGTGCTGCTGCTCCCCAGGCTCCGTTTCCGCTAATGCCACATCAATATCCAATCCCATTTTTTCCACAATTCCACATGGTTCCGGGAATTTCCCAACCAACAACCCCAACTCCCCCTCATGCCACTCAGGTTTCAGTAAGCACACCTTCATCTTCTACAGGGAAGGAAACGCTTCAAGCCCCTGGCCTTGTTTTTTCAGTATCAAAATACCCCTTTAATTCATTCCCTAAACACCCATCATCCCCAGGAGTTCAAACCCAAGCTGCAAAGGATCCCAAACCTGCAATCCAACAGCCCAAACCACAAGATCTGTACCACAGAAAATTTCCCATCCCTGTATTGCATCCACAACTGAATTATGATTCTTCAAGATTAAATTATCAGCTGCAGGCTCCTGCTCCTACCCCTGTCAGTGCACCTAGCACAGAGAAACAGGCAGCTGAAGAGCAATTTTATCAGCCGCACCCTTTCATGCCACTCTACATGGTTCCTAAACGGGGTCCCATGCCTGTCTATCTTGATTATCCAGCTGTGCATCCTATAAATGTTCCTCCATCAGATCATCACAAACTTGGGACCATCTACAAGCTGGTGAATCCTCTCTTCCCTTTCCCTTCTGATCAGAGGAAAAAGGCACTTGAAGAAAGGCGGTAGAGGTACTGCCGAGTTGGCGTCAGAGCATCACAGTCCGCAACAATCTGTCTACCCTGGTCAGATCTTAAGATATTTTACAGCAGGAGCTCGCACTGTAAATGTTTCTGAGGGACAATAAAGTCAAGGCAGTTGCATCAACACGTAATTGGTTTTGTTTTTGTCTGTCCTGCAAAATGCCAGAAACCCATGGCCAGCACCCCTTCATTTTAAGGCGAAATAAATCTGAGATTAATAGATATAGGACAGCAGCAACGTGGACATGGAAATCAACCTGTTTAATTCTTTGAAGAGGCTTTATTAAAGATCCAGTAGGAGTATTATTCTCTTAATTGGGGAAAAAATAAATAAAAATACATGATTAACCAATATTGCCAGGAAAACCCCACTTAAAAAATTTAAGGGAAAACAATCTTTTAGGTCTTTGCAGATTTCCTTCCTCCTGGCCACAGTAACTTTCGTATCTTTAATCATTTAATTGCTCGCAGACCAGGTGTTGAGTTAGATATGCGTCCACGTGCCCGGTGGTGGCTCCGCAGACCCGGCCGTGAGGCTGCGGAGGGCCCGGACCACCTGGGCGGATCGTCCGGGGCTGCTAGCTGTAGTCTGCCACCGTGACGTGGGGCACGCTATTTGACGTCACCGTGGGAGTGTCCACCACAGGGAGAAATGAACGGTCATCAACACAATCCTCTCAGCGAGCATGTAAGTTAAAGCCAGCAAGGCGCACCCCCCCCCCACCCCTCTGCCCCCCCCTTTCTTAAAACAAAATAGTCTGTCAGCGAAGTGTGTCTGCAGGCGGCTGTCAGACGGGCCGGAGCCGGGCTGAATTTCCGTTGTTTATCCTGGTGCCGCTGCCGCCTGGCGGCGTGCCCCGCTCGCCTGTAGCTAGCCATGGCTGGAGCCGAGGCGGTGTTTTTTAGCCGGGGAGCTTAGCCAGCCAGCTAATTGACAGACTGAGTGGCCAGGCGGAGAGTAAGCGCCTGATTTGCCACCCAAGATATTCAGGATGGGCGACGTCAAATGTATTTAAACCTGTTGACGAGAGGCGAAACCAATGCTCACGTTTTCATAAGGAAAACTCAAGAGGACAACTTTGAGGACGACACCCCGGCGTGATTAGGTGATGTTTTGACACGGTTTTAGAGTCGGCCATTAAAGTAATGCATGAAGGTAAAGCTGAGCCATTTTGACGTTTGTTTATCTGAAGTAAAGGCTAAAGAAGAGGGGGGGGAACTAAAGCACGCCCGCTGTGGGGCTATAAACGCCGCCATGAAATACAAGAGAGCAAGGTGTGATTAAGAAAACCTGGTGGGAGTATGTTACAGATGGCAACCCAATACCCGGTCTAAGCCGGGGGATCGAGCTTTTCACACCTGTGAGCACCGTCTTCCCTCGTTGCTGTAGGTTTGCCAATATGTCGCCGTTTCTCTTGAGTTTAAAAAAATATAATTTAATGTTTTTATTTTCTATTTTGGTGTTATTGATGCACTTGTTATTCAACTACAGCAGTTAGTTCGTGATCATATAAGGAATGACTGTTTAACTAAACTGTAACAACCTCTGGCATTTATTATTGTGGCGATAGGGACTAAATCGTATGGATAAATGCTTCACTTTTTGGAAACGGTTAAAGGGAAACTTGCATTGCTGTAGTAATGCAATGCCTAAAAAGGCTGATGGATCCCATTGCATGGTATGTACTCTGTGCAAATCAGTCATGCTGGAGTTGACCCGTCAACTTGGTGTAAAAGTAAAACAGCAGCCATTGCACCACAGTGATTTAAATCATGAATGATTGAATACATTTCAAGCTCGGCACTGCTCAGGGGGCATCAGTGTTAAGTGGTCTGGGTGTGTTGCCCCATAAAGCCGTGGGAGCTTTTGCATGCAACTAATCCTATTAGCTTCGTTTTCGTAGCTTCACATCACCGGAGGATGTGTTATCAAACTCTAGCAGCTGTATTGCAGATATTAACATCTGTACTACACGATTGACTAACTCGACCCCCTGACCTCGCCCCCGCACAACAGCACCGGTGTGCACCGCACAGTGAAGTAAACGCCCTCAGGCGCACCACGTTAGCTTCCGTTGCTAACTACTATTTGTGCTGACAAGCTATCGAAACGGGGCTTGCAATGTTCTTACAATAGTTGTTTGTGGCACTGCCGTAAAACGAATCGGAAAACAGATCCATTGTCTTAAGAAAATGCTTTTTTGGTGGTGTGGTTTTGAAAGGCTTGGCCTTCGACCGTTAGCTAGCAAGCTGCTAATTTCATCCCCTTTTTTAGCTAAAGTGTTAGGACTCAACATTTTCAAAAACTTATCAGCGTCAGCCAGAAATAAAGCCTGGTTTTGTTATGCACAATTGACTTCATCAGCTCTTTTTTTTTTTTTACGAAGGCTGCAAGTGATAAGCCTGAATGCACCTGTAATCTAAAGGGCAGAGCTATTACAAAAAACAAGGCTGCAAAATGATAGTGAGCTATTTAGCAAAGGACTTTGGTTAAGGCTTTTCTATCTCAAAAAGGACCACTCAAAGGGAAAAATTGGGAGTGAGTGGTGATAATTGAATTCTACAGAGAGCCACATGTACTTAAAGGCACACCTTTCACAGCTGTTGCCCACTTTTCAGTGTTGTATATCAGTTTTGCAGGACATTTACAATTTGACAGGCGAATGGTTAATGCCCTGCAGACAGTCCCAATGAACTATTCTGCACTTTAATTAAGATTGCACAGTTAATTAAGCTAAATGTCCTCTGAGGCCCCTGATGTCTAAAATGAAACCAAATGAAATGGATTAGACTCTTTAATATGATGTTTCCAAATTCCCCTGTGGGTTTTTCACTTTGAACCTTTTATTCATTTCCTGTGCACCATAAATGACGCCACCGTAATAACACCATAACCTGTAATAACCGGCGTACTATATTATTGGATATAAAGTTTTTCTGTTGAAGTCCTTGCACTGGTCTGTCTGCAAGACCCTTTTTGTTGTGGACCGACAGCGCTCTGCATCGTCTTAAGCTCTCGCAGCAATTGATTTTAGAAACCTGTTTCGATAATGTACTTGTGCTCCTAATTTCCTTTTATTTTTGCTTTTATAGAGGCAAGTTAGTGTCGAGGGGCTTCTTTGTTTGTATCAAGTTTCCCCACACTGCAGTTTCTCATACGTGTTCTCTTTTTTTCTTTCTATTCCCAGCATGTGATTTTTCTAAATTTCTATGGAAACAGCTGACTAAAGTTTGACAGTGATTTGATTTGGGATTAATTGCCCAGTGGAAGCCGTGCTGGAAACTTGCCCGGGTTGTTAAGCCTCATTTCTGTGTCAGTAGATGCACAGATCTGCGGCTGATGACCACATCTGAAGGTATGTTTCTCTGCTGTGGTATCTATGGCTCAGTTGAGAGTGGTTTTATGGTAAGATACTTCTATTATTTTTTTATGACTCGTTTGATGTATGTTGTCTTTTTATCTCTGTTTGAATGCATTTTTGTGAACATAACAGTGTTTACGTCGAAGCCGTCTTTGTTGGTTTAATATACTGTAACAATACCTTCTTTTTGTTGGCCCATTAGTAGCATTTAAATCATTCAGATGTTAACCAGGTTAATAATTGTCCTAAACTAGATCTGTAATAATACATGTCGCCTAATTAGTGTCTAAAAAATGCTTAGAACAAACCAACTGTTCCTTCACCTGTCCAGGACAAACTGTAATGGGTGGGAGGTCAGAGCACTACATTCACACAGTGATAGGTAAACTGGCTGTTGGCTGACCCACTTTAAAGTACACTTTGCCCTCAGCCTGGAGGAGTTGGATGTCGTCGTATTTTCACTACTGATGCAGAATACGTCTGTGCTGGATGTTGAGCATGCCCTCACTTGAGTTTTGAGTTTAGAAAAATGATTGGATCTCTTTAATCTGAGATTGTGTAGATGTGGATAAAGCTCTACTGCTTTAATTTAGGGCTGGAGTCACCGAGTGGTTTAGAGTTATAAAGACGGGTTATGTCGACTACTGTGGAGATGTAAAACGCAAGTCATAAAGCCGTCTTTAACACAATCTCAGTCCTAAATGAGTTATTGTGTGCTGTATTTCCACTGAAATGACCATATGTTCTAAAAGCTAGCAGAGCGAGATCAAAACAAGTCGCTGTGCATCAGCAGTAGAGCATTTCTTTGGGTTTTAGGTGCTGGATTGCTCTGCCGGCTTGTTAAATGATACTTGGTGTCTGTGCTGACTCATGGGATCATTTTCTCTTTGTCTGCATGGTCCATAAGCTTCACAGTCGGAGGCATCATTTCCAGTTTAGCTTGTTTTCAGAAGGATTCTTGGAAACACAGCTCACCTGGTTTCTTAAGACTGAGTCATAGAACATCAGAATGTGCAACTGCATATCAAGTATGATCCATTACTGTTTGTCAGAATTGTAACCAGCTCAAAGGCACAAAAGACCACAAAAGCTTTCAGCATTTGTGTCTAGCTGAAATTTAAGAGCTCAATGTAATTGGATTTGTGTGTATGTTGCGAAAGCAAATTCCTGCCAAATGGACAGGAGTTACAGGGGTTCTCAATAAATATCTTAAAGCTACAATTTGAAGATGCTATGCAGGTTTGTTGGTTGTGAAACCTGTTCGGACCGGATCGATGACTTCCAGCCTGTGCGGTGACAGCTCCTCAGAGCTGTTCTGAGCTGCCACGTCTCCATGTTCTCTTTCTGATTTGGCCATGACTGTTCATTTAATGTCACGTTACTGTTTTCATGTCATGTCATGTGAACGTCATGCATGCTGCGCGGTGCGATATTTGTTCTTATGTAACAATAAACGCCTGCCTTATTGTGAATCAAACCAGCGCTCTGTTGGATGATCAGCGGCTTCTATATCTCAGCTTGTTTGGAGCCTGTCAGTCATTTGGTGTGGCGTTTTTTTCAGGGCATTACCAGAATGAGGTGACTCGATTTTGTGCAGATTCCATTCAGGTTTTCAGAAAATACAGTCTAGAGAGTGACAGCATCACAGAGCACTTCCACACCGCTGCTTGCAAACGTCAGAGCTGCTTGTCTAAGTCACATCTCCCAAGTGGCCTCATAAATGTTACATTTTCTGGTGATTTTGAAACAAAGCAGACAAAAAAACGCCTTTGATACATATGGGTTTCAGTTCAGTTGACATGAAAGTCAGTCCCAAGTGTGATTAGAGGACATCAAATGTGATATTAATTGTATTCAAACTGAACAATGTGGCCTTTATATTTATTTTGTCAGCCACTCCTAATAAGTAGTTCTTTGTTTAGGTGTTGTTGTTGTTACAGTTTTTTTTCTTAAAATGACTATTTTGAACTTTCTGTTGCATGAAATCTATTCTTGTATTTTTACGCTTCATTTAGCCTGCCCTGAGTTGTGAGTCAGAAGAGGAGAGGCTGGGCTGATGGTAAGCTCCCTATTACAGTCTCACCTCCTCTGTTACCTTCTTTCTCACTGTGTCATTATATGCTGATAACTAAAATGAAATATGTTTAGCATAAACTGAGGCCTGCGAGCCAATGACTTCAACTGAGCCTTCATACTGAAGGATTTAACCATGGTAGGAACTTGGATTCAAAGGGAAGGTGGCTGATAGTGGAACACCATTCTCGCATGAGTTAGAAAATGCTCATTCTCCATGTAGACCTTTATTTGACTGTAGATATTATTATTTCTATTTTTCACACCATGTAGTAATTTTTCTAGCATCATTCAAGCATTTTTATTTGCTGAGTGAACACTTTCTGAAATGTTATTTGAAGGATGAGTTCACAAAAAACCATGTTTAGCAGGTCAACTGAAATGTTTCAGAAAACGTTCACAAAGCTGTTTGCTTTATATTTTATTGTTGTTATTTTTCTTTGTAGAATCTGCCTTTATGTATTTCTGGGCTGACACTTGCAGACATGCCACGATATGATGAGGCAACTTTTTCCTCTTAAAGTAAAAATCTGTTCTTTTCTCTGGTCATGAATGAGATTCAGAGGAATGACTTGAAATAGAAAAAGTGGCCATGTCTTTGTCAGCCCAGTTTTTGTTGCTTAGTTTTTCACATTGTGCTTCTGCTTACGTTCCTCAGTCACTGCTGCATGTCATAATGCATTTTATTTTCCTTTTTGTGGTAGACAAGCATGACATTGAGCCAGGCCACAGATGCATGCCCACTCAAAAGGCCCAACTGAGAGCCAACCCCCTCTGCTTCCCGGCTTTCACCCAGCCTCTCAGAGGTGGGGTGTCGACGGGGCGTAGCTAGTCTCCTGCACCCCCACGTAGAACCTCACTGTGAAACTGGAGGTGTCTGATGGATCAGGGTAGTAGCGAGCAGAGTCCAGAGGAGCCGGACGCAGGAGGCCGAGCAGAGCTGGAGGTCGGCAGGAGGGCGTCGGAGTCAGAGCACGGCTTGTCCAAAATCACCCATAATGCCCTGGAGAACATGGGAGCGTTGGGCCATGGCCTGAAGCAGTTCTTCCAGCCACAGCGCCGACGCTCCTCCGTTTCCCCACATGACTCTGTCTCGTCCTGTGCAAGCGCCCCTCCCTCTGAGCCCGCTGACGCAGGGTCTGAAGTAGGGGACGCTCCTGCCTCCTCGGCCCTGCCTCTGGATTCTGACAACCACGCTGCTTCCGCCCCCCCTGCAGCTCTGAGCCGTGTCCTGCAGCAGATCCGAGGCCCACCCATGATGAAGCGAGGCACCAGCCTGCAGAGCCGCCGCAGCAAGGCTGGGGGCCCCGGGGACCCTCCCCAGAAAGGTAGCCCACAGATCCACCGCCGCAGCACACATGAGGCCCTGCTGCAGGCTGGGCGCCCGCGCTCATCCTCCACCACAGATACCCCCACCAGCCCCGCTCTGGACATGCTGCTGACCTCCGGTTACCATTCCACTGAAGAGCCTGACAAGGTGAGTGTCCCAATCAGGGGCGAGGAGTAAAGCACAACCATGCAGCTGTACATTCTGCACAGGGTGCACGTGGGCTCACACTCCAACACTTTTCAAGTATCCCCCTTCAGATGATTTAAGATCTTTTGGACCCGCAAACATGACAGATAGAGATTAGATAATGGACATTACAAAGTGTCCAACAAAATTAAGATAAGCATAAATTTTTGGAAGAACTGGCTTCTGCCTATGAATCATCCATTTTAAATGAATTTCTATACACAAGTTAAGCAAGAAGTGTTGTATTTGGATTATTGGCTATGAAAAACGGAAGCTCTGTATAAACATCAATCAGTAAAGGAATAAATAAATATAAAAGACTAAGATACATTTTTTGATGTTTGGTTATACATGAAAACCAATGGAACTGGGTAGTCATATCAAGTGTCCTAATGATTTAGTCGTGCCTGGATCCACCACTGAATGTGGAGATGAGCTGTCGGTGTTGGAAGGTCAGAGATTGCCTTTGACTGGTTGGTCACTATGTGCTTTAAGCCTTTCTAAATTTAACATTTGCCGTCTCTCAGTGTACTTCAGGTCAGAGAAGGCTTGCAGGGGTAAACAAAACTCAAACTTGTGTGACGATACATTGTTTGACAGTAAACATTCAAAGGCAAAAGACATTGGACTTTTCTAACTTTGGGGCCCTCCAGATTGTCTTTCAACGAACTGCCACTGAAGACATTCAAAACATGTTTGAACCTAAATTTGACAGAAAAATTAGATGTATGTACAGATTAACACATTGAATAGATTCTCCTCTGTAACTGGAGCAGATTTCAGATATATTATTGCTCATGACGTGAGTCATCTGCATGTTCTTGGAATTATTTCTGATGTATTTATGGAGGTTCTGGAGCAACAAGCAAAAGCACCAAGATATCTCTTATGAAGGAAGGTCACTCATTTACTGTTTATACACAGTACATATTCACACTGTTTTATAAGTTTTTTTAGGCTACACATCAAGTGCACAGCTCAGCAGCTTTCATGCTTCCAGCTGTTCGCAGACACATGGGGTTCTTCCTTTCCCTTTAATAAGCACCATTTAAATGTCCCTGCTTTTCCTGTTTCCTGAGGATGTGCCTCAGTGCCCAGATTACTTCATGGAATTTAGTCGCCCTTTGTGAGTGTGTATTACAAAAGGGCAAATAACTGAAAACTTTGTCAGATATCCACCTAAAGAAATATATATATATATATGCACACTGTATGAGTCAGAGGGTCATATTTCATTGTAGATGCATGACTCTCTCACTCTTCTTCAGATATCATTTGACTACCTTCCATGTGTGTTTTAATTTTTATTCTTTAGTTATGTTATCGGTTCACCTGCAGGGCTTGAGCTTAAACCCTTGTGTTACAGGCGCCCTCTGCTGTGTTGAGTGTGTATTTACTGAAACAACCAGTGCAAAAAATGTGTTTTCAGAAAAATCATAATTGCCACTCTTTTTGACTGCTAGTAACTACCCAAAGCACACATCTGTATTATGGCCTTTCTGGTAATCTCCCACATTCATGATCTTCATTTCAGTGTTTGTCCTTACAAAATGCACATCTACATCATAGTTCCCATTCCCATGCAAAACAGTCTTTTGTATTCAGTGTAGAGAGATGATGTTATCAGAGCAAAAATGATCAGCATCAAACTGACTGATATCAAACATATCTCTTAAAAAAAAAATCATAAAGCAGCACCTTTTAATCTACAACAAAAAAACTGAGATGTATGAATTATTTTCACCCATTTACATCTCCAGATTTAGCTAATAATAACCCATATTAAATTTTCAGCCATTCACATACTTCTGTTACTAAATCCTAAATCCTAAATGATTAAAACAGTTTGGTTGTCTGTCTCTTTTGTTTTAAGCTGGATAGATATGATGGATCGGGCCTTGCAGTGTCACCCAATGCCCTCCCCTACGGTGCAGATGGGTACGATGTTGTGGACAGTACTCCAGACCCACAGCGGACTAAGCAGGCTATTGCCCAGCTACAACAGAAGATCCTCAAGCTCACAGAACAAATAAAGATAGAACAGACTGCTCGGGACGACAACGTGGCTGAATACCTGAAACTAGCCAATAACGCAGACAAGCAGCAGAGCGCACGCATCAAACAGGTGTTTGAGAAGAAGAACCAAAAGTCGGCTCAGACGATCCAGCAACTGCAGAGGAAGCTGGAGCACTACCACCGAAAGCTTCGTGAGGTGGAGCACAATGGCATCCCTCGCCAACCCAAAGATGTTTTCCGAGACATGCATCAGGGTCTGAAAGACGTTGGAGCAAAGGTTTGTGTTCTCTGTGGCTCTTCTGCCAAGAATCATTCTGAAGTTTCTATAGCGCTTCACAAAGATGTTCTGTGTGATTGCTACTATTCAGGATTGTTTTCCCATAAAAAAATGTACCATTAAAATTAGCCATGTTTCTGCTATTATCTGCTGCTAAAAACTTTGCTGAAGTTGTTTTCACACAGTTCTGTTTTTAGAGGGTTGTCAGCACTCAACAATTGCCAGAGACTGCTTGGAGAGATTTCCACTAAGCATTTTTGTAAAAAAAAAAAAAGTCCAGAGTCAGCGGGTGTGTGCTGACTAAAGTGGATATGTAATGACTCACACAGTAGTCATATAACAGAAAGGAGCCTCATCTGTTATTACCAGTGTGTTGTAAAAAAAGCCAAATTGTTCACACTTTCTCCTGAAAGTCTTTGGTTTTGATATGTAAATGCTTTACAGTGGCCTTTTAGGAATGACCTAAAAGCTTTATTTAGTCACAAGATTACCTAGAAAATATGTTTGATAAAACTTGGCATCATTGAGAGAAATGTATTTCCTTGTTTATTCAAAATAATTAACCACAGATGATGATGAGAGGCAGAACTATGGAAACATTTAGTTTCATCCTTTGAGCTCACGTGCTCTCATATCAAGCATTGTAGTAACTAACAACTTTTTACATCAGGTTATCCCTGATAGAAGATGTCCACTTCCTGTACTTTCTGCATTACAGAAACAACCGTTTGTATCCTGAGCACTGATCTGACTACTTCTTACAGGTAACGGGGGGCCTGTCCAGCTTCTCTCAAGCCACCCATTCTGCAGCTGGAGCGGTGGTGTCCAAGCCAAGAGAAATAGCCTCCCTCATCCGCAACAAGTTTGGCAGTGCCGATAACATTGCAGCCCTGAAGGACTCTCTGGATGAAACCCAGGGAGATGAGGGTGTTGGCACGGGGGGATCACGGACCCTGGGCGCGGGCCAGTTGCAATCCAGCCCAAAGTACGGGAGCGATGAGGACTGCTCTAGTGCTACGTCTGGTTCTGCTGGAGCCAACAGCACCCCCGGAGCCCCCGGTGGCCCCCCCAGCTCCAGGGGCAATACTCTTGAACAGGCCCAAGCTTCAGGCTTTGATGCTATACTGCACGAGATTCAAGAGCTCCGGGACAACCAAGGTCGACTAGAGGAGTCCTTTGAAGATTTAAAGGCCCATTATCAGCGGGACTACACCATGATCATGGAGGCTCTGCAGGAGGAGCGATACAGGTAGTGACACACACAAGATGTATAATGTTCTGTATTAGGCTGATCTGAAGAAGTAGCTTTGTTCTCTGAACTGGTGATGTTTTATCAGGTGTGAGCGTTTAGAGGAACAACTCAATGACTTGACGGAGCTCCACCAGAATGAAATCCTGAACTTGAAGCAGGAACTTGCCAGTATGGAGGAGAAGATTGCTTATCAGTCTTATGAAAGAGCGAGAGACATACAGGTAAGGCTGACTTGGAATACAACACCATTTCTGCATATCTGAGCGGCTCATCTGACCACTTTCATGTCTGACTGTTAGGAGGCACTGGAGGCTTGTCAGACCCGCATCTCCAAGATGGAGCTGCAGCAGCAGCAGCAACAGCAGCAGCAGGTGGAGAACGCCACAGCTCGGACTCTTCTGGGAAAACTGATCAATGTGCTGCTAGCTGTTATGGCCGTCCTTTTGGTGTTTGTATCCACTGTGGCCAACTGTGTCGTCCCTTTGATGAAAACACGGAGCCGCACTCTTTCCACGCTGCTCCTCATTATCATGCTCGCCTTCCTGTGGAGACACTGGGATGCTATTTCAGAGTATCTGCACCGCTTTCTCCTGCACCCCAGATGACCGACTTGGGGGGGCATATTGAAAATGATGAAGGGTCTTTGGCTTTGAAGCTGAGGTGTGAAGGCAGAACATGTACTGCTGAAGGTTGAGTCTTAATTGTCCTTAATTTCCCTATTTTTTCTCAAGACAATCAGGAGTGTATCAGAAGTCTATCACTTACCACTTTCTGAACTGCGTTTTTGAGAAGAAAATATCCAAAAAGGGAAAGATAACGGATGGAAGCTTGACGTAGGTGCAATTGTGACACGAGTACATGCTGTAAAGGTGAAGGGAGTGTAGTTGAAGAAGAGGCTGAGAGAACTGCACACTTTATTTCTCTGCTGAGGGAATTTGTTTACATGTGGAGAACATCATTGTTTCTTCACAGAAGAAATTCAGTTGTATTACTTTTGAGCTGATTCAAGTGGTATTGTTTTGAAGTCACTGCTATTTTTATTACAGACGATCGATGAGTTTCTCTTTTGTAATGAGCTGACGGTGTTGTGCAGATGTAGTTGCCCACATTGTTTTTTTGTTTTGTTTTTAAAAAAAAAAAGCTTTTTCTCTTCTGGTCTTGTGATTCTGATATTTTCAGTCTGCTTTTTTTTCTCCTTTTCTCAATCTTTTTTTAAATTTCAGCTTTCAAGGCCACCTCCTCTTCTTGCTCTCTACACGCTGAAGAATGGGCTGCCTGCACATCAGCCAAATTGCTCTGGAATCAGACTTGTCACTGGATCAAATATTTGTGGCTTCTTGATTAGTTCCTTTTAGACTTATGGAGTCAATAACACTGGTTCTGCCACAACCATGATGCGATACTATCAAAGACTTTTGCGTTTGGAGTTGTGACCCTGCCAAGTGGATGCTACTCTCCTGGTGGCTCTCTCACTGCAGAAGAATAATCTATGAACTGAATTAACATACTTGAAGAGCATCTAAAGTGCTCAAAGACTCAGTGCTTCCGTACTGTTTCTATTAGTGACAATGAAATAGTAATACTTTTCAGTTGTTTTTATTTTTATTTTTTAAAGATGAATAAATTTGCTGTTTTAAAAAGGAAAATTATGTCTTACACCTGTTTGCTTAGTGTTTCAAAAGACAAAAAAAGCACCTAGTACAAAAAAAACAAATACTTAGCCATCTCACTGTAAATCTTTTTGTTTCTAACCTAGTGTGACTAGTGTATAATATTGCATTGAAAACAATTATCATCAGTAGCAGGTCAATGGGATTATAGATGGTAAAGGTGGGTCATCATTATTTTTATCCGCCAGAAATGTTAGTTTCCTAATTGTGTCAAAGCATGACTCAGAAAAATGAAAGAGAGCTCTGTGGTAACAGGAATATCAATTGATCCTTTTTTTCCTGCATGCACACACAATACTAACCCTAACATGTTCCAGAGAGGATGTAATATCCTCCAAGTGCCTTAATTGCTCAGTGCCTATTATACTACTATAGCTGTTGAAGGGATGTGTGCTGCAAACTCTATTCTTCTCTTTTCAGCCTGAATCATCAATGGTAAACTTATTTTTCTGAATTTCCATATTGATGTTTACAAAAAACAAAACAAAATAAGTTTGGAAAATAAGCAAAGCCCTCAGATTTCTCTGTGGTTGTCACCATATTTTCACTGAACTTCCAACTCTTACTGTTCTGTTAACAAGTCAGAATGGCGCTCATATGTCTATGATAGCGCTACAGCTGGCGGAAACGGAAACACGTCATCTTACCAGAATAAAAATAAGCGCGTTAGTAAACGCATACCGGAGACAGATACTTTATTGTTGCTTAACAACGCGAAAAGACCATAGCTACTCTGATTGAATACATTTAAGTATGTTTATAAACCAGATTGAAATAGTCTTATGAAACCAATACTTAAGTTGGCTATAAAGTGTCAACATACATCGACTTCTGGCTTTTCTAAAGTTTTTGAAACCCATTTTGCATACCAGATATTTCCAGATAAGTAAGTACAGTCTAGCGACACGACCTACTTCAGAAGCGCAAGTCTTCTCAAACGAAGGCATTCTTCTCCTTAACAGGCAATTGGGCAGCTTTTACGATCTGACTTCTATCGCCACCAAACAATCAAACTCTGTCAGTCATTTTTAGAAACGCCTTGTTCGTCTGGAAGAGATGAAGAGGAAGCCAACAACTTCTGTGTCACACCGGCGGAAGAACATACTCTGAAAAGAGCCATGCTTTGCATCTGGTCGTCGTCAAGGTGGGTGTGTTACAATAAAGAGGGAAAACAAGGAAGGAAAAGTGGTTAAAGATTAAATGTAGTCATCTTAATTTAAACGGGCTTCCAATTCAACCGTATAGTGCAGTTTTTTTCACAGTTAGTTTCTTCTATTGAAATAAACAATAGGAGATCTGAATAGTATTTATAAGTAAGGTGTGCCTGTGTCTCCACAAATTGGCTTCTGGAAGGTCAGTCTAGATTAATTCCCTCCACTTCTTACATTTTTTACTCAGATCTTAGACCTGTTTATTGTTTTTATGTTATATTTCCACGTTTCTTTTACAATAATCCCATTTCACGATTTCCGAATCCTGTCATGTTCTCTACAGGTCTACAAGTGCAGTTCCGAAATGAGAACAAATTCTTTCATCTTCACGGGAAAGTCTGGCAAAGCTGCAAACACCGACAGCCTGAATGACCAACATGAAAACCAGGAAGAAGGTGGGGTTAGCTCAGGGGAAGCAGCAGCAGCCTCTGGCACAGCAGAGATGCCGTCCGACAGTGATAACGGCTCCTCCAGTGCCGATGCAGGGCCTACAAGGGGCAGTGACACATATGACGAGGCATCAGAAATTAAAGCAGTGCTCTCTGAGATCCAAGAACTCTGGGAAAACCAAGGAAAACTCAAAGAATCCTTTAAAAACCTTAGAGCCACCTACCAGCAAAGGAACACAGAGATCCTGGAGGCCCTGCAAGAGGAACAATTCAGGTAGAATGTTTGTCCTGTGGGCTAAAGCACCCACAGACTTATTTCCCATTTGTAATTTGCTATGATGTTTTGCAGGGGTGAACTTTTGGAAGAGCAACTCAACAGCTTTACTGACCTGTATGAAAATGAATATCTCAACTTAAAAGAACACTTAAGTTGTACACAGGATTCAATTGATTCATCTAGTGACACAGATTTTTATGTAGGTATCCAACCATTAAAAAAAATGAATAAAAAAATCCATGCATCTCTGAACTTATGTTGTAATCAAGTTTTAGCTCTTAGTTACAATTTCTGTACTTTGGACTAAAGAGTAGGATTTAGACCCTGTTCATTTTGTATCTGGTCTGTAGGAGGTGCTGGAGGCTTTTCAGACACGACTCTTGAAGATGGAGTTACGGCAGGAACAGATGGTGCATAAAGAGATGTATGAGAACACTGCAACACAGAATATTTTTGTAAAACTAATGAATGTCCCGCTAGCATTTATCTTAATTCTTTTAGTGTTTGTGTCCAGATTTGCACACGTGGTTATTCTGTTTAAGCCACTTGGCCGCTTGCTTTCTACATTGATTTTTGCAAGTCTGTTTTTTTGTATCTGGAAACACTGGGATGTTGTTTTAGAGCATTATAATTCTGCATTACACCTTCTAAGAAGGGACAGTCAATAAAAAGCCTCGACTTGGATTTCATCTCATGCATTGGATCTATAACATCTTTGCCCAACTGACTTACAGACCTGATCAATTCTGCAGTATTTAATAATTCAGTTACAAATCTGAGAATTAATATTTTATTGCAAAGTGTAAAAGCCAGTTAAGAAAAAAAAAAAAAAAGTACATTTACTCAGTCTTCTTCCCTCGTTTCCCCGTTGCTTTACTGGCAGGGCCATCAGCATCCACTTTATTAGCTTTACTCTGGGCTGCCTTTCCAGTCTTTGTCCCTTTGGCGGCTTTTACCGCTTTAGTTTTGGTTGCATCAGAACTTCCTTCACTCCCTTTTCCATCAGCACTTTTAGCTTTTGGCTTCTTTGCTGGAGGAACCTTTGGTCCGGCAGCCCCTTCAGCTTTCTTGGACTTTTTAGGAGGCTTGTCCTAAAATAAAAACAAATTTATTACACAGAGTTGTAGCCAGGACCCTGAAAGTCATAGGCATAGACAACCCAAGATAGTTAAACATACTCAGGCTTAGCCAACCATCCACCAAAAATCAGATTTGAATTAATTTAAAGAGGATTGCTGGACATTTGATATGTTAAGGAATAGGACCAACGGTAAACTGCAAGAACCACAGGTTAAATCCCTCTTTTGCTCCCTTACCTCTGAGGGAAGCGTCTCTTCACTCGCAGGGTTTTTCTTTTTAGGGGCAACTTTAAAAAGAAAAGAAATGTTAAGACACAATCGGATGACAATGTACACACAGTGTCTTGGTTTCACACCTGCTTTCTTTGGTTTCTTCTCTCCATCCTTGGCAGCTTTAGGAACCGTTTTCACATTGGGATCCGTGTTCTCACTTTTTGGTTTCAAGTCTTTGACTTTCGGTGCAAGCTAAATCCAGAGAGAGATGATGAAGGGTGGCAAAAAAATGAACAGTATTTCTACAGGAATAAAGGATCTGTGTGCATTTGACATCTCACCCTGAACTTTCCCATAGCGCCTGTGGTGACGCTGGCGTTGGCGGGCCTCACCAGTGTGCCAGTCTCTATTCCCTTTTTCAGAGAATTGCGGACCAAATGCTTCAACCTCACCAAATCCACCGATGGGTATTTTTCTTTAATGTAGCTCTGTATCGCTTGGGATGAGACTCCCTTGCGTGAGTCCAGAGCCTGAAGCGCCTCTTTAACCATGACGGCTGTGGTCGGGTGGGCTGATAGTTTGCGCAGCGGCGCAGCCGCTAGACAGGGCGACACGTGCATTTAAAATGGTCACAGGGAAAAAACAAACAAAAAAAAACACACATTTCAGAAACATTTTCAATTTAACTTCAGTTTGCAAACAGACCAGATTTCTTCTCGGCCGTCTCTTTCTCTGGAGCCTCGCTTGAAGTCGGCTCAGGAAGTTCGGCGGAGTCCACTGTTGTTTTTTTGGGAGGCATTCTGAACAATATGAACGACAAGACACGGACCAAAGGCTAAACTAAGTATAAAACTATTTGGTTTCGCACGGTGTTTGCGTCTTTATGCGTCCGCTTCCGGTAAAATGTGACCAGGTGAATCTCATCTGATTACGCGCAGCTGATTTTGCCGCGTGCATCAGAGTAGGAACCAGGTCCCGCTGGACCCCCGAGAAATATAGCATTCACTTTCAGGTCTCTTTGGTTGGTACAGTTTGCCCCTTGCAAAATTATAGAGAACTTGTATAACCACAAAAAAAAAGTTGTTGCAACACAAGAAGAAGATCAAAACCTTCAGCACACTGTACGGTGCAGCTTCCAGGTTAACCACTTCAGCTGCTCCGGACAAGGTTTAGTAATACTTTTGACAGTTTGATGAAAAGATGGATCTCTGAAGTGCAAAGTATTAAGGTTAAAGAATTAATCAAACTATAACTATTTATTTGTTATCCTTAAACTAACTTCCTTATGTAGCCTATACTAACGACACCTCTAACTTTTATTTCTGGAAATTGAACTTTGCTGTTAAAACATGTATGTTAACATAGCACTGTGCATCTCCAAGACATACTGTATTGAGACAAAACACAAGTAAATGCATATGAAAAAGCAACAAACCAAAAGTGATGATCACAAAGAAAGATCCAGAATGACTTTAGAACTTTAGAAATCATTTAGAAAAATATGTTATACATATTTACAGCATGTAGAATTTTATGGAGTTCAAAAGGTCATGTTCAGAAATGTTCTTTAATCATGTTACAAAATTAGATATGATATGAGAGACAGTGTTAAGAATTGAAGGGAAGCACAAGTGCTTTATCGGTGCACAGAAATGCTGCATGTGCACATAGAAAATGACCACAAAGCATGGTCAAAGCAGAACACTATTTTGTATGATGACCTTTATACCATCAAACAATTAAGTGTTTGTAGCAACAGGGCTGTTGGGTTTCCAAGAAAAACTAATCGTGAGAAAAAGAAATAAGGACCTCATTTAGACGCATTAAGCAGAAGATGAGACTGTGTGTGTTTGTGATCTGTGATGTTTATTGTGGTTTTCCGGTTATAGAGCTTCAAAATTGACAAGTTAGAGTGTGAAAGTCCATTAGGCGATGATTCACATATGAAGGCCTTTCTCAGAGTACAGTTTTCATTTTTATCATGGCTGTACACACCGTCCTTTTTGTAATGATAGGTGAGATAATCTTTCTACAGATATCTATTGTTTAGTCGCTAACATGGTTCATAACAAGCTAATGCTTTTTTTTACTTTGGTTGATGATTTTATATTGATTTCTGATTGCTTGTACGTACTCTCAGCAGCTTTCTTCTTTGCTTTGTTTGGTTGGGAAATGGCAGGAGGGTGTTAGAACATGTGAAAAAACAAGTGGAAATCAATACTTAAACCTGTCTAAATCTACAATCTAAATATGTCTGCTTAAATTGATCATTTTTTAAATTTCCAGCTTGTTTTCAAGACATTCAAGTACAAGGTCAGTTTGATCCATGTTTTGATTTTCCCTGTTAGCATATGTTGTCATATGTATGTCTTTGGTGCTTGAATATTTTACAGTTTGACTTTTTTAAGAAGATATTTGATTTTCTATGATTATCTATTATTTTGCTATTCTTTATGTACAAAACTATAAAAAAATGATGACAGGTGGTTATCAGAACAGGACGTATACATGATCTCATTGGAAACAATTTTCTTTTATATCCAGTTTTTCTGTTACATACTATAATGTGAGATAATCATCCAATTTGAAGAATTGTTTAAAAAAATGAAGTGGCACTCATTATTTATTTGAATAAAATGTTATAAAATGACTCATATCTGACTCTCTTTCAGCTGCCGGAGTTCAACCTCAGCCTAAACTGAATGTGAATCCAGCATGGATCACAGAGACGGACTCAGCCACTCTGAGCTGTGAACCTCCATCTCATTTTTCTATG